CAAGATATCTGGTTGTTTCCGGCCAAATCTTTGATGGTGTAGACAGCATCACTGACCCTTTGCATGGTACCCTGCAGGGGTGGAAGACCGGTGTCAATGGCAGCGAGCTCTGGCAGATGCTGGACCAATCGATCGGCTGGCTCTCAAGCAAGGGCTACACAACCAAGGCCGGCACCGTGCAGCAATTCCCAGTCGTAGTGGGCGAGTTCGGCTCCTCTCTTGTCAACGAGGGGGTACGTTTGCTGACAATTTCACAGCCTCTTTTCCCACCAATAGCCAGGCCTGTTTTTTTCACAGCTGAGTGATACTCTACAAGTCATTTGTTGCCTGAATGGAGCCATCATGTTGGGAGATTGATTTCTTCAAGGGAATATCTTGAAGCCTGTTGACGGGTTATTTGATGCAAGGGTGTGGCCATTATCGGGTCTGAGGAATGCTACTGAGGTTGATATGCTGCGAAAGGGTCTTTTAAATCCTGTCTTCAGGCTTAGCATGGTGTGAGATTATTGCAATTTCGGCATCATTCTGTCTGCTCGCTTGTCAAGTTGAAGCAAAGCAAATGAGGGTCTTGCTGAGGGTCTCTGCAATGGTTTACAGGAGCAGTCCTTCCTGAGGGATTTGGCTCTGTACGCCAATAATCTGGGGGGCGCGAACGCCAACCCCCACAGCAACCTCACCTCCTGGACCTGGTGAGTCACTCGCGCTGACTAATCAGCCTTTCGGTTGCTTTGCGGGGGATGACTTAGCACAGATGGCACCTGTTCACTGACTCACTCTCCAGGGGTTGTCACTCTGTTGGCCATGCATTGCTTTGTTGAAATGCCTTTGTTGTAAGTCTACATGCCAGACACCCTCCTGCAAGTTGCTGGAGCAGGCTGCCTGCTTATTCAGCTGCAATGCTCTGCTTTAGAGCCCTGATGTTGCACCATCTTTCCCTCAGCCGGGCTCTGCAGTATCCAAAGGAGAACAAGCAGATTGTGTCGGTCGGGAGCTTAATTGACACACCAGGTACATTTGTCAGTATTGTGGTGCTTGAAATTAAGATTTTGGATGTGCGTGCCTGCCAGGTACGACTGGTTTGGCAACCACAACCTTCCCTGGCAGACCGACCTGCTCACCTACAACTCGACCGTCGACTGGGCAAAGCTCAACGCGATCACAGCATCGCCCAACACCTTCGACAACCGCGACGTCTCGCAGACCGGCGGCGGCTTCGGGCTGCTTCCCTGGTACCTGCGCTCGGCGGCCGCCGCCGCGCAGCCGGCCCCGGCCCCGGCCGGCGCGCAGGCCAACGGCCGGCACTGAGTCCTCCGCCGCTAGTCGCGAAGAGCCAGCGGCCCCGGGACCGAGTTCGCGATGAGTCAGCCTTCCCGCGCTCGCAGCTGATCGGCAGCCGACGCGCAGGCGAATGGGCGGCGCTGACTCAGCCGTTAGTCTTGGTGTGTCGGGGGTTCCTGGGGCTGAGTCAGCCGTCGGTCGCGGTGAGTCAGCGGCTCCCGCGCGCTCGCGGTGCCGCCGAGTCACCCGTGAGTCACAATGACACACTGGCGCGGGCGCCAAAGTTTGCACTGTTGAGAAGAATGAGTGCCGAAGACAGCTGGGCCTTCGGCAGAGTGAGGTTGAGCGCTGCTGAGAGGATGGCCCATGGTCATCCCCATGCTGACAGCGCTGCCAGGTTTCTGCTGACCGACTGCTGCTCTGACAGATATTTGGTATGAGTAATGCATGACTGATGAAGAGCGCCACGTTATTCCACGAGGTGTTTGCTGCTTGTTCTCTGGGCCTCTGACAAATTTGCATCTTTGGTCTTTGCATGTCTGAACTTCCACCGCATGGTTGGTCCCTTGAGCAGTGTGCGGATGAACTTTAGTAATATCCCATGACTGGAGTTGAGTCCCTGTCTTTTCCAGGATTATCGGCCGAGAAAGTCTGGCAGCACTGGTTGCAGCAGATCGCACATGGCAATTCAAGGTACTATTTTCAGAGCGCAAAGAGGTCAAGCAATCTGGAAGGAGTGAGATACTCAGCGCTGAAGCACGTTAGCCGACACGGGATTGACCTGAAAATCGAATTGGTATCGGGATTGGTATCTTCTTTATTAGTGCTTGCCTTCTGTAGCTGCTTCCTGCTCTTAATTTGCAGTCTCATGCACCTTAGAGTGGGGTCAATTGAGAGCATATGGTGCCGTGACATTTTTTAAATTTGCTATTATTAACATCAGTGAGACTATAGTTCCTTTGATGTGAGGCACATGCAAGCAAGGCAGGACTCAGGCCTAGCAACCACTGGTCATTCAGATGTCTTGTGCATAACCTAGGCTCTAGAGCTCCTGTTTTTGCCTCGGCATATCATGTGGAATCGTACTTTCCAATTATCACAGCTTGGGTTTCCAGAGTTCTTGCTAGTGCATGCAATGAGATTTCTTTATTTGCTAGACATTGCCGGAGGGTGGTAAGCATTTTCAAGGCGGAATGCAGAGGAAATGCCATTATGTTTGGTCAGTGACATGTCAATGATTTGTAATTAAATGCATTATAATCATGGCCTTTTACTGAAACAATTGCAATGCAGAAAGACACCCAAGCACATGCTTACCCAATATTGCTGTGCATGGTCCCCTTGTGAAGCGAAAGTGCATGATGTGACTTCGCAGCATGTCATGACATCACCAAATCGCACAGGTTACAAACTGTCATGCCTCTTCACTATCTAATTTGCCGTCTCACATAGTTTGCTAGACAGACAACAGGCTAGCATTATCACTCTAGGCAGTTGCACATGAAATACCCTGATCGCTTCATCCCTCAAATCATATTGCATCCTATTAGAGGCTACCCCCACAACATGTGGAAAGGTACAGCCGATTTTGCTTAAAGTTTGCTGTCGCTCTTCTTGCACTTCTCAGCTCGACATGACAACTACGATCCGATGAGTCATCCTGTGCAAGCTTCGACTTGAATGTCAATTTTCCTGAGACCACCCGGAGATTTAAAGCACGTGCCATCTCATCACATCAAAAGTAAAAAGGCTCTGAGTTACCAATGCCATATACACCCTCGTCTCCCAAACCCTTCACGGACCCTGAAGACCAGGGGTCCGTGAAATGAATCTTAAATAAGAATTCGTACTCACAAAACCCCTGCCTGTACGGCGCAATCACCCTCACCCCAGATATCCCCTTGCCGTCAATATATATGTACGAATGCTACTTGAATACAACTCTGAACCCGATCGAAGATATAAAAATGCATTCTCGATCTGGCGGCTGCCTTTCTCAAACCGGCACCGCCCAAATCTTCTAACCATTTCTGCGCGGGCCTGAGCCGAAGCCGGCAACAGGCGCCCAGCTACACACAAGGAACCAAGCCGGGCTCACATGAGCCTGACATGAACCCACAAAAGCCAGCGGCACACTGTGAAGCCGGCCAGGGGAGAATCCGCCAGTGCTCACTTCCGGCCTGCCGTCAGAAGCCCCCGGCAAAATTTGCGTGCGCACAGCCAAACAAGTTTTAGCAGTTGATAGAGGCTGAGTCACGCGCCGGACAGTGCATGCATGCAGATGCCTTGCGCGCTGCAAGCAAGCATTCTTTTCGCACACAGTGCACAAACAGCCCACGAATACGAAGAGCCTGCCAGCTGACACTGCAAGCATATATATGAAACACCCCCGCTTTTAGTAACCCGGTGTGCTCCCAGCCGTCAGCATTTTAAGCCCTCGCAATCAGGACTTTCAATCTGTCCTCAGCAGCTGCCACATATGACGAGGCATAAAACGGCGTTTAAAATTCAAAAAAGGACGCCTCAGAAAAGCAGGGAGCTGCAGAGAATCGTGCAATTAAAAATTCTGCCTGAGAAGGCAGGATCAAAGCGCAGGAGTGCCGGCCATGCACGGGCAGGCGGGCTTTCGAATTTTTTTGTCACCCCTTTCCGAGCCCCCTGGATTATAAGCCCTCGCCCGCACCCCGCCAGGCCGGCACCCATTGCCCCAACAAGTATCTTCTGAACGGTTCTCTTCGCCGCCACAGTGCAGACGCTGCTTCTCACGTTCATTCATTCATTGATATCATCCGAGGACTCTGCCAAATGGGTGTCTGCTCAATGGGCAAGCCCTGGAAATAAGTGCACGACAGTGCTCTGAAGGAAATATATCCCTGGTCTGACAGAGCCCCGGCATAACCTGTGTGCAGGAATGCACATGCAGCGCTGAGGCCTGCTATGAATGGAACATGGGAAAAAAAGGGGGGTTTTAGGGTCCATCCGCCCTGGCCGCCCGATATCGGCATGCGCTCCGGATTCGAATTCGAACAGCCCTCCGCCGGATAGCATGTGAGCAACATGGATTTTTGGCGTCCCGAGGGCTGCTTTCAGGCAGGAAAACAGGCACTGCCGCACCAAGAAACCAGAGCCAGCTGTCTACCGCCCGTCACCGGTCAAGTGCTGGGCGGCAAAAATTTTAGAAGCCAGGCCCGGCAATAGAAATTTGTCCCCCTGAAAATGACAGCAGTCACCAGCGCATGTCACGCTGCCGCCATGCAGAGGGAGAGAGGCCTGGAAGACACTGAATATCGCCTGCTCCCTTGCATGGCTCCCGCCACAGGGCCAAGGCCTGAGCTGTCCTCTCAGCCGTGACCCCGGTTGCTGACGGCGGCGCCAGCCGGCACATTGGGTCATGCTTAGTCACCGCCGGCCCTCGGCGCCAGCCGGCACGTTAGTCATGTTGAGTCATCGCTGACGCGCGCCCTCACAATCGCCGGCCAGTGGGTCAGTCATGCCGTTCACCGCCGACACGCCCCCTCGGCGCCGGCCGGCGAATTAGTGATGATCAGTCACCGCCGACACGCACCCTTCGCGCCGGCCGGCGGATCGGTCATGCCGTTCACCGCCGACACGCGCCCTCGGCGCCAACCGGCGAATTAGTGATGATCAGACACCGCTGGCGCTCACAATCGCCGGCCGGCGGATCGGTCATGCCGTTCACCGCCGACATTGATCGTGATTGGTCACCGCTGACGTGAGCCCTCGTCACCCCGCAACTGCTCCTGCTGCGGCGGCTGCTGCTGCTGCTGCTGCTGCTGCGCGGGGTCTGTCTGCTCGACGTTGTAGAAGCTCTCAAAGGGGGGCCTGCCGGCCATTCCCATGCCCTCCATCCCCTGGGAATATAAACCCTGCGCCACACGCACACGCCCACATCAGCACCCACAAGCGCATGCATGACATGCGGTTCTCCTCAGTGGCGTGCACCTTCACTTTCAATCTATACCGCAGGCAGTGCTGATGAGTGCAGTTCCAATGCACACAGAAACTGGGAGCACTTGCACAGCAAGCCAAAAATGCCGGCCACACTCTGAGGCACGACCTTTGCCAAGTGGGACAGAAGCTGAAGCGCTACGCAGGTGCCGAAAAGGTAGTAAAGGCAATATAAGAGGAAAACTCACCGGGGGAATGATGGGCGCGCCGTCCTGGCCGGTCTGGAAGACGGGGTCTGACAGGGATCGCATCATTTCGTCCCATGACAGGTTCCCGTAGTGGCCGCCCGGCTGCATGCTGAATGGCTGGTGCAGGGAACCCCTCTGCTGCCCAGACCCGCTCGGAGGCAACGCCGCCGGATCTGAGCCCTGCACATCGCCCCACGATTGCACGGTCAGCAGGATCACCGTGCAAGCATGCCAGATTCCTGCCTCGATAAGCCAAGGGAGAATGCAAACATCGAAACGAAGCAAGCGCCAATGAAGGGAGATAGGTTGCCCTGCAGCAGAAGAGAGTGCATAAACAATACAAGAACTTCTACCCAGGCATATGAGGCAACTGAGTTTTCAGAATTCCTGGAAACTGCCCAGTAAGCGGCACGGCGAGCGCTGATTTTCTGTCGTTTCATGGGGTCAATGTGACAAGATCACTACCGTTAGAAAGTTACCGTAGGATGATTAGACTCAGAGCTTCACCTGCATGGAGAGGCCCCGGAAGGCCTGCATGACATTCCCCACCGGGCCCCCGGCGACCGGGTAGGGCTGCTGCGCGCGCGAACCGAGCGGCCAGCCGACCTGCGGCGGCTGCTGCCAGCTCTGCACATCCTCCGCCTCTGGCACCGATGGGAAGTGCTGCACCTGCTGCTGCTGCTGCCTCCAGGAGGGCGTGTCTGATCATACACCAGAGAGATGGTCAGCCGGGCAGATGACAGGAAGAGAGCCAGAGCCAAGGACAAGTCCATCACAAGAAGTGAGAGTGTTCGGAATGCCACAAGTGTAAACGCCTTTCTCTCCAAGCCGCAATAGCCCTTAAGGCAATAAGGAAGTTAATGCTTTGCGCCGGCACAGAAAACAACCAAAGAGGGCTCTGGGTATCCCTTCATGCTCAAGGGAAGGCAATGAAACACTGTGGCCTTGCAGAAGGCATCCACACAAAGCAAGCAGGGCATATCTGCATTCACTACAGCATGCAGTCGTCAGCTGAAGCTCTGCATCACCTTGCGCGGAGCGGCGCTCCTCGATCTGGAACGCGCTGGCCGGCACGGACACGCGGAACGGGTCCGGCTGCGCGGCAGCCGCCGGGCCGGCCGCCTCGGCCGCCACGCGGGCGGGCGCGCCCCCGGAGCCCGCGCCGCTGCCGGCAGCGGAAGGAACGGGCGCAGACAGGGTCCGCACGGCTGCGCGTCGCGCCGCGGCGTCCTCTCTCGCCAGCGGGAACGTGTTGCCCCGGCCGGCCGTCGCCAGCGCCTGCCGCCGCGACTCGGCCGCCGCTGCGAGCAAACAAAGATATGCCTTCAAACTCTTGTCTACTGCACATTGTCAAAGCGCCTTCTGGCATCCATGAGAAGCCTGACAGCACAGCGATTCTCCATAACAGCAATCACGCATAAGGCAGGCAAGAGTAAATAGACAGGGTGCAAGACGCACCCTCAGAACCGGGGAGATCGGCCGAGAACCGGACACTACGGCGCTCCGCCAGAGCGAGCGCGGCAATGGCCGCGTCGCGCACCGCCTCGGTGGATGTCGGCCCAGCCGTGGCGCGCGTCCCCTCCGCGGCCGACGACTCCGCGGCGGCTGCCGCCGCCGCGTCGGCCACGGCGGCCGGCAGCGGCGCGGAGGCGGGGCGCTCGAGGGAGGGGTGCGATGCGAGTGTGTTCTGCTCCCGTGGCGTTGCCGCGCCTGCACGCACGCATTCAGAGGTGAGCCTGCTCCTTGAGGAACGAAAGACACATTAGTCAATCCTGACCCCTACCCCGCACCCTCCTGACCCTGACCGATGCACAGAGCAGATTGGCGCAGCACACTCGCAATTCGAATATGGAGATGATGGACACCTTGCAACGCTGGCGCATCCTCCGCATTCCATATCCCCAGGCCACATTTGCAGAGCATGAATTCACACCCAAAAAGGGGAGAGCGGGGTACCTTGCATGGCCACAGAGGGCCGCTCCGGGGCCGGCTGCCGGCCCCCGTCGAGCTGCGGCGGCGGCTGGGTTGGCGGCTGCGGCGGCGGCGGCTGCCGCCGCGGGTGCTGCTGCCGCTGCCTGCTTTGGCGCTGCTGCTGCGGCAGGGGCTGGTAGTAGGCGCCCCCTGGCGGGGGGGGCTCCATTAGTAACCCGCCCCGCTGCTGCGGCACCGGCTGCATGGCGGGGAGTTGTGCCATGGGGAACTGGGGGACGTAGGCCGGCTGGAACTGCTGCACTCCCACCGGGTACTGCTGGAATCCGCTACCTGCACAGAGACTAGCAATGTCAAAAGTCTGTGCCCTGCCCACTTTTGTCAAACCACTCTGGCAAAGAAGGACGCCCCACAAAAGTGCATATTAATGACTAAGCTGCAGCGAATAATCTGCACGCTCTGCACTGTGACAATAGCAGCACTGCCCTCAAACGACTCATGCGCTCATCAACGTGAGGACAGCCTCTAAAACACTTGCTCACGCGCACTTTATCAGGCCTACCAGGAGAGAGGGCACCTTCTTCTAGACCTGCACCCCTTTAAGAGACGCATGTTACCACGCATACACAATTCAACGGGCCGGTTTCTGAGAGAGGGTGCCGTGCCTGCAAAGCCGGGGAGGCCGTATTGGGAGGCCAGCTGCTGCTGCAGGGCGATGTCTGACAGCTGCGGCGGCAGCTGCCCCCCAGGCATCAGCTGCTGCGCCTGCAACTGCTGCTGTTCCTGCAGTGCCAGGCAACACCCAGTCATTTCTTACGCAATGCAGGGCTGCCAATTCCGTCCCCTTTCTTGGACTGCACGGAAGCACCAGAAGACAGAAAGATCACCCACAAGAGGATCAACAGCACACCCTTTCATGCGCTCCCTGCATGTCCACCTCTCCCGACCGCTTACAATGATACTTGATTCACTTTTGCATCACAAGAAAATTGCGATCCTGTCTTGAGTAAGCATTACCCCTGCTATTGCAAGGCTGACCCTTACTGTTGCTACACTTGCCACTGGACATGCCACGGTTCTAAAATTGATTGAGATGGGCTGGAAAATCATACCTGGAGGGCGGCAGGGGAGAATGTGGGCAGCTGGGCGGGCTCGCCAGCGAGGGCGCTGAGTCGTCTCAGCTCGGCGGTGACTAACTCGGTGAAGGCCTCCTGCCGGTGCAGCTGGTCCTGCAGGTCCGCCACCTGGACGCTGAGCTGGCGATTACTCGCGGCTGCGGATTTAAAACATGAAATTTTGTCAGGCCCGCGTCGGAACGTCTGAGGATCTTAAGAGTAGCACAAGCGCACCAAAGACCGGGAAAGAAGTAGGGTGCCTTTGAACCCAGCAAGATTAGGCTCAAGTCCCACTTGCTTCTCGGGTCAAGGCCACCAGCATGGAAGAAGACGGCCTTTGCCCAGACAGAGTATGCCAAACCACACAGCAAGCTCCAAGTTAAGAGATAAGCAAGAGCTGGGGATTCTGCTGCAAGGTGAGATCTACTTGCCACTGCTGGCCCTCAAGAGCGGACCCACACCATCACAAAGTCTCCCCTAGCTCTCCTCATCGCCGCCCTTGTTGGAATCACCTACATCCCCAGATTGCGAGAGGGAATCCTGAAAAGGAGGGCGCACTGAGCAGGACGGCTTCCTGCTGGAGGCTGCCGATGGTGGCCTGCTGCTGTGCACTGATGCCCTGCACCGTCTGCACCTCCTCCTCCAGCTGCATTATGTGCCGCAGCTTGCGCGCCTTCGAACGCTGCGCGCTCTGCAAAACCACACAGCCAATTATTATTGACATTATCACCAGCTGTTCCTGCCAAGGAGGCAGGGTGCGTCTGCAGACAATTGCAGGTCCAGGTGCAGAATGTGTGCGAGGAAGGATGCATGCACCGGGGAGCTTGCGCAAGGCATGATGCAGATCGCTCAGGCAACTCTACCAATTGCAGATTGAGCAAGTGGGAGTGCCATGACAGGACGGTGTGCATGCAATCAACAATAAAATCCCCAATTGCATTCGGTCCATGATAGGCATGTACTGCGATCCAGCAAGCTGAGATGCATGTCAAGTGTAGAAGAGAAACAATCCGCGCTGGAGCCTACTCAATCGGCGGTGCTCAAAAACGTGCAACATCAGCCAGCTATGAACCGGGAAGAGATGCACTAAATGTAAGCAGCCATGCTGGTCTTCCGAGCTCTGCATCATCTGGCGGTCATTCCAGTCTTTAAAGTAGAGCAACTCCAGCCTGGAGAAAAAGAGCGCGCACCTGTCGATTGGCGATGAGCCGCTTAGCGCGCTTGGGGTCCATGGCAGCCAGATCCTCATCGCTGACACCCGGAAAGGCTGCGCCATAGGCATATCCCCCGGGCGGCTGCCCCAGGCCGCCGCCGCCGCCGGGATTGTGAGATTCAGCCGCGCCGGTGTCATCCCCTCCGCCGCTCTGCAGCGAGTAACCCGACCCGAAGGAGGAGCGGCTCGGGCTGAACGCTGCGGTGCCTGTAGGCTGCCTGCACACACAACAAGCATGCACAAGCTGCTTTTGGGGAACATCTTGGGGAACACTTGCATCTGGAGTTTGCTGAGCACACCAGACATGCCGTGCCCCTATCAGGGACAGAGTCTCCTGCCATGCGAACCTCAGAAACTTGTGACCTGCACATGTTCAGGGATGGACACACGCAAGCATGCACACACAGCACTGGGATTCTGCAGGCAGGAACGGAGCAAAATAGGATACTCTGTCTGAGCGGTGCACGCCTTGAAGCTGCCAAAGAGGCCACGTTTGCAAGTATTTTTACGCAGTAGAGAGGAATGACATAATGACGATGAGGGCTGCATGAGATGCAGCAAGAGCGCCGAGAAGAAGCAAGCATGCGCGCACCTGCTGGGCTGGCCGCCGGGCAGGGGGTCGGTGGAGCTCTGGCTGAGGGCCGGCTGTGAGGATGAGCGCTGTGAGATAGGGATGCTGCTGCTGCTGAGGAGAAAGCCCTCACGCTGCTGGGTGTAAAATGGGCTAGAAAGGATCACCCCCTGATGCTGCTGCAAGGGGGGCTGTGGTGGCAGCTGCCTCGGGGAGGGATCCCCAGAGGAGGGCTGTGCAGGGGGATCCTGCCTAGGCTGAGGGGCTGCAGAGGTCAGCCGGCCAGATGCAGTGCGCTGGAGGTAGATGGAGAGCATTGATGGGGAGGGCGCTCTGGCTGGAGGCCCTGGGGGAGCACTGCTGCTGGGAGGCTCCTCCATGGAGTCCTGACGCTGCTGCTGCTGCCTCTACTGCCGAGCTGTGGGAGCAGACCTGCAGGAGCAGGTGGGGATTAGTATCAGCTGGGGCCGCTTTGGGGGAGAAACCGGCGCCAGGAAACTGCGTTAAATCGAAAAAAACTTGGATGGCAATGTTTCGCGATGCCTCGCTGGGACAACCCGCCCCCAGCTGCCCACAATACATGCACAAATCCACGACCTGACCGTTCCAACTGCGCAGAGAGGCCAGGCGGCTGCTGTTGGAGAGCGTTGAAAAGGTATTGCCAAATTGAACACAAGCCATCAATATGCAGCACGAGGGACATCAATCCCGCCAGACCGTACAACCAAGGCATCGAGTCATAACCGCAACTCGGCCGGGGTGGTGCCTTCAGACCACCCGGCATGATGCACCGCTTAGAGTCCAATTGAGGGGCACGGACCGGTCCACCAGCGGAGAATGTACGCTCCTCTGTCCAACACCATGGATAACTCACCTGTGTCCGGTTACTGTTCATCAAGCTGGCTTGCCAATGGAGGTGCCACGACTAGGCCAGGTTCGTACACACTCCAACAAAGGTTTCTCGGCGCTGCAGGCCACCCAGCATTCAACATTCCATCTTCTGTTCCCCAGCCGCCCCAGCCGGCGGTCACGCAGCACTGCACAGGTCGCTTATGGTCAGGCCACGACCGGACAAAGGTTTACAGCGGGCGCTGTTCCTACGATGCCAGTATTCAATCTCCAGGGTCCACAGAAAGGAATCTCTGGTGCAAAAGTGACAGGATGCAATTTGCGCGGTCTTCTCTTCATCGCATTCCGGAAAAGAAAGAAAGTACGACAAAACCCGCACGTGCTAAGCTGCCACATCACATTCCTCTGCAGGGTTTAGGGACGCAAGTAGATGCGATGAGCCAATTCTTCACACGGCCAATATTGTTTGTTCACATGATCTTGGGAACCGATCGATGATGTCATTGGCCGCAGAAGCCAGCCATGAGCATGTATGATCTGCCAGCACCCAGGGTCTAGAGCCTAAAGTTTGGGCATGTTGAACATGATTTTACGCCGCGACCGCCGGTGGCGCCGCGGCAGCCGGCAACTTAGAATTCTCAGTCCACCTGGGCGTCCCCTCTGAGTCCGATTGAGTCAGGCACTCTAGCCTGTTTGGGAACGTCTGAAAGAATTCACGAGGCAGAGGCTGTGCCGCAGCGTTCAGCATCATGCACACCAGTGGGTAAGTTTGCTCTTAAGCTGATCTCGAGAGCAGCAGGCGAGTCAGGTCGAGCCGCTAGTCTGAGATCCCGAGTCACTCCAAGACTTCTCAGATATTCTAGACCTAAGCTGGCTGCATGTGGTACCAGCGTGGCATCATACCATGACGGCACACCGTGCGACAGTGGACCGATCGAATAATACATAATAATGATTTGGGTTGCACCCAAGAGAGAATGTGATTTTATCTAGGTTAAATTGTTGCATTATGCATGTCAAGGGATGATTTCTGCCATCACTGATGACATGGCATGATGACCGGGTTTGGCCGCATACAGCCCTTTACCCATGCCTGCTCAACTGGCTGCTGCTGCTGCTGTTTCTCATCTTTTTCACGATTGGCTCACTTCTGGTGGAAATTCAGCAGCCTGTGGTGGTGTGTTTGCCTCCCACTGACCTGGTGAGAAAGGGTCATAAGAACTGGTTGGGAGAGAAATCATCTGGTGATGGCATAGAAGCCTTTGATCTGGGCTGTGCTCGGATTAGGACAAGGTCCATGAAGGGCAATCAGGCGTTTGAGACAGACGCAGGGCCTAACGCAAGGCAGAACCTTTCGATGTTCACGTGCACTGAGTTTTTGGTCACGTTTAGGAGTCATGGTTGTACGACTCAATGAAGCATGCGTCATGTTCATCGATGCTCACGTAGACTACCCTTTCACGCCTCACGCCTTCGTGACTGGGTATCAAATGTCACGGACGCCTCATAATATTCACGAGCACGCGGGAAAAGTTCACTGCTCTCCTTCGCCTGCATACCAGAAGCCCGGCGACAGGCTTGCGTGATGCCTGCTGGTGGTGCAGATGTCTTTGGTAAACCGAATGTTGTCGAGAATGTTCATGGGAACCAGCCAGATGAACATCAAACCGGGGGTAGCTAAAGAGTTCCGAGAGTCAGTCCGATCAGATCGCAAACACGACGAAGCTTGCAGAATTGACAGCATAAGGCCTGATGAGGCTATGAATACAAGTATCAAGTTTACCGTTGCGTTTCCTGTGTGCTGGCTGAGAGCAAGACCGATCTACTTGCCTTGTGTGCTCGGTCGAAGCCCTTCCTCAAAAGTTCTGGACACGCCCCTGGATTAGAAGTTTCAAGGGGAATTTCAAACTCACTCGAGTACAAGCTCCTGCCTTGAGAGAAGAGTCCTTCTCAGAAGACAACGGATTGGTTGTTCTACACATCTCTGCCATTCTGATCTGTGAATAGTGGCAGGGATCGTAACGTGCCTTTTTTCGAGCACCTGCACTCTGTCTTTCGAAGTTCTTCACCTCCTGATGACTGCAGAAATACGAGCATCTTGACACCAGGACGATCCAAGTAAAGGCGCAATTATCATTTTAGATCCAGGAAGTCTGACAACAGAGTCATTAGCATGTCGGTGAGCTTCGCAAGATGCACCTTGTACAAAAACCACTTAGTGATTGAGGTGGATTGCTTCATAGGAGTGCACAGGACGCTGTGCTGCACCACGAGGCGTGACATTGAAATGTCCTTTTTGCAATCTTCAGCTAACTTACCTGGGCACTTACAAAAAATCCCTATCTCCTAAAATAGGGCTGTGTCTCTCCCTGCACCTCCTAGGCCTCTTGCTCTGTATCCATAGATGTATTCTGATGCTTTTACACCGTGTGGATCATCCGCAGATCTTCGAATACAATGGTGCTGCCATCGTGGCGATGGCTGGAAAGGAGTGCGTTGCGATTGGGAGCGACCTGCGATTTGGTGTGCAGTTCCAGACGCTAGCCACCGACTACAAGAAGGTGTACAAAATCCATGACAAACTCTTCATCGGCTTGGCAGGCCTGGGCACAGACGCGCAGACGATGTAAGCCTCCTTGTACTCACTCCCTGCCAGCTAATCCCTCAGCATCCTGGGTCGAGGCTACTCAAGAGATTGCTTTTGTGACTGTTCACAAAGAAGTGGTTGGGACTTCTTGTCTACCTTCCGGCATCTGTTCGTGCAAACGTGCGCTCTTCACTGCGTGACGCTCCTGAAAGCCCAGGAAACTTGCTGCCACGCTCTGATGCCGCGAAGTGAGCATGCATCCCAAGTCGCTGTGGCTGCTCAGGCTCATAATTTGCAGTCCAATTTTGCAGAATAATCAGGCGTTGGCTTTTTATTTTACAGGCACCAGAAGCTGAAGTTCCGGCACAACCTGTACAAGCTCAGAGAGGAGCGCAACATCAAGCCATCTACTTTTGGGGAGCTCGTGTCGTCCATGCTCTATGAGAAGAGGTGCGGCTCACCCTCCTGGGCACAGCTCTGTGCTTCAGTAGTGCTCCGGAGCATGTCATAAGTAGGAGCCCAGCAGCCTGATGGAGTTGCGTTCAGGCTGCATACATTCTTGCCATCAGCTATGTGAACTGCCACAGACACCGTGCTAGGCCTTGCATTCTCAATCGCTTGTTGGTGAGTTGTATTGGAACAGAATCCTGTCCCTATGTCTACAGCTGGTTGACACTAGATTTTGCCTATAATGTTCCCTTTGTTCTGGCAGACCTTTTCCCCTGCCCTACCTGTAAGGAGAAGCTGCATGCATGTGACAGACTGCCATAAGAACCAGCCAGTTCTGTCTGTGAACGTTTGAGAGTGGTGACAGTACATTGCATGCAGACATGGCAGCTGTCCTGAGGCGTTGAAAAGTCCTTAGAAGAGACTCTGGCATGCATGCGCAGATTCGGCCCCTACTTTGTCTCGCCGGTGATAGCGGGCCTGGAGGATAAGACGAATGTCCCCTACATCTGCGGCATGGACACCATCGGAGCCATAGAGACCGCGAATGACTTCATGGTTGCTGGCACCGCCCCTGACTCCCTCTACGGCATGTGCGAGTCCATGTTCCGGCCAGACATGGTGCGCGCATGTTGCCTCTACACCTGAATATGTATCACTTCCCTTACATTACAGTTCCGCAAGATTTGTTGTCCTGTGTCCTACAGACATGCAGGCCTCAGTGTTTAGGACTGCGCTGCCATACTGAATCCAAGAGTTTCTCATGCAGACAAGACATGTTATAGGGCCCAGTGATTCCATGTGACAGCCAGACATGGTTAGCTCTGCACCGATGCAATATAGGAAGGGCCTGAGCCAAAGAACTGGACAATGTCTCCAATGCCTGACCGAATCGGACTCAAAACTGCACCAGCCAGGAGTTTCGTTCTGTCAAGGAATGTACTTTCAGTAGTGTATACTGTATGCATGGCTTGTAGCTGGAAGTGTCCTGCTCTCGCCTCAATTTTCTCCCCTTTCATGGGAACATCTTAAAGGCCATGCCCAAGCCAGGCCTGTCTTTGCATCCTGCCGTTCCTGCCAGGTGCTCTCTTTTTCAGCAGGTCCGGCTGGCACCTCAGGGTCAGGTATTCTATGAAGTATTGTGTCCGACGCAGTCTGCTAAAGCCGTAAGGGATGCCTTCCTCCTGAATTTTTGGCGCTCGCAATGCCTTCTTGTCTTGCATTCTCTCTTCTCTTCAAGGGGCAAAGCACTCACCCTTCTGACAGCGCATGCCTGTATGGCTGCGCACTGAAAGCACAGGAACACTCTAGAAGTATATTCAATACCTATGAGGAGACACCTCTCACGATCGAGAACACCACGCCGCTTTTCTGACAGAGGCATCAGAGTGTCGCCGCGCGTTTCAGAGTGACTGGTTGTTTTGGCCCACCTCTTGAAAGGATGGCAAGCAAAATCTTGGCAGCATAGGCATCTCAATTTCTTGTCAGAGTCAGCCCAAATTAAGTATCTCTCTGACTGTGCATAGCTGTTTCTACTGTGCAGGAGCCAGAGGAGCTGTTTGAGACGGTGACGCAGTGCCTCATGTCTGGCGCAGACCGCGATGCCCTCTCGGGCTGGGGAGCTATCGTCTATGTCATGTGCGCCCTCTCAGCCCTGCCCGGCATTACCTTGTGTGCTGTAGGACATGCAGAGTTGAGAGGTCTACGAGTGAAGGTGATGCCAGCAGGGCACTGGGGAATTTCCTCGAAGGGGCAGGATATTGAGGGAGTGTGTTCAATGGGTTGCCGGCCGTTGCGCGCGGGTTGGCCGGTCCGTGCATCGGCCGCTTCAACTTAACCACTGAGAAGTTGCAGTTTTAAACCTCCTGCCCTTGAACTGAAGATCCCTCTGCTGCCAACACAGCAGTGCTTGCGCCCTCTTTCCCATGATGCTGGCTGTATGGGATGACCCTTAGAGTGTCAATGGTTGAAAAAATGTGAATGCTGATGATTTATGTGACGTGGCGTGACGTGGCGATGTGTGTTGCTCACGCGCAGAACCAAGGATGCCGTGGTTGCGCGGACGCTCAAGGGGCGCATGGACTGAGTCAGCGCTGAGTCATCTGGTGCGCCAATCAGTCAGCGCATGAACTGAGTCAGCGCCGAGTCATCTGGTGCACCATTAGTCAGCGCATGGACCGAGTCAGCGCTGAGTCATCTGGTGCACCATTAGTCAGCGCCGCCGCTTGTGCATCTGCCAAGATCTTGTCGAATCTGAGCCGCCAAGGGGTAATCTTCAGTGGCCTCTGAAGCTGCCACTGAAAGGCTGGAAATCTTCTCAACGGACTTGGTTGAAGGGGAATGAGAGCATGCGGGGCCAAAATTGATGCAGCAGCATCGGGTCTGGTGTTCGAGCCACTGCAATTCTAGTGCGCAGCCTTCTTGTTCCCGGTAAGACATGCTGTGCCTTGTGGTTTGTTGCAGCATTGCACATGGCATGGCAACTGCTATGATGGCGGAGTGTCAGATGCAGTCAGTGACAGGCTTGCAATACACTGAGGTTGAGCAACATCAAGCATTGCTGGAAACGTGGTGGTACTCGGTGCTGTTGTTCGGGGCAATCCAATATCGGTCGAAGTGCAGTACAGCCGTTGCGTACTGCGCACATGCATGTTCATCAATGCCATGCTGAGGTTTTTTGGGATCTCACAGCGCTACCAATCACCATTCCCATGAATCTTTGCTTGCATAGATACCGACCGCAAAAGTGAATACCTGGCGCATATGCATCTGCTTTTTGAAAGAGATTTTTTCATCATCAGTAGATCGGTACGTAGTATACTGGTGGCTTTGAAAGCATATAATTCAGGCATAGTGAGCAGAGCAATCGATAAATCCTGCTCAACAGTCATGATCATCAGAAGAAAAGGGGCGTTACACGATATTCTACATCTGCAGACTCTGTACTGCAAAATATTGCAAATTGCAATTTGCAAGTCCTGCGACCGGGCCATTCTTATCTTTTGGAAACAACGAGATACTCCGTACTTTAGCTACTTGGGCCATATCTACTTCATGCAGCAAGCCTGCAGGCCGCACACAAGCCCATGGGCTGCGCACACCATTAATGCAGTGCACAAAATCAAAATCTAACTTCGAAAGGGTGACTTCTATGCTGCAGATGCAGCGACACTTATCGGGGCACCCGTGGCAACCAACCTTTTGCTAGAAGGGGACTGGTATCTGCCATCGGTTACCTAGTGAATACACTTCCGCACACTTGATCAACTTAAAGAGAAAACATTAATTACCACTGGCGACATGCTTGCGCATGTGCACTAAGGACGCCACATGCACAAGCAATGATCCAAGGCCGACTCAGAGAATAACTGTGGTGCAGTTAGGTTCACTCTGAACCAACACAAAACAAAGCAAGAGCGAACTAGTATGCAGCTCAGAGCTCTTGCATTAGACATTGACAAGCGCACAAGCTTAACCCTGCTTTGTACCCGGCTCAGTCAATATTTCACGTGGTAATTTCTCTTCTGAATTGTTCCTAAGTCTTTTTCAACCTGTTTGAGTTCAGGTGACGGTGATTTTCACGTTGGTGAGGAAGTCAGAGCAGTAAGCGCCATTGGTGCCAGCCTTGTCTGAGATGTAGAAGGTGCCTGCAGGCGCAGCACATCTTATGATAAGATTCTTTTTCAACTCCCAGATCGAAACCTCGGGACCTCGGCACTTTAGATTGCTACCTACATAAAAAATTGGCCCCGGCTGGCGGGGGGCGGTGAAATCACTGAGCACCGTGCCCACGGTGGATTGGGTCTTGCTTGGATCTGGAGAGTCCAACGAGGGGTATGATTGTGGCAGCCTTGAACTGCAGCTTGTCTGCAGGACGTACCTTGCCTTTTGGCAGGAAAAGCGTGTAAAATAATAATAATAATGACACTAATAGTACAAAGTCTCCGCACCGCAACGATTCAAGCAAACAACAGGTGCCGCTCAGAAGCGCGAGATGCTCAGCAGAGTTATATTCCTGCATGCATGTCCAGAGGAATGCATGCATGCATGCCACCCTGCCCGGTGCCTGGTCCAAAACCGGGAGGCCTAGCTCGTCCAGCAGGAATCAGAAGGATGTTCTCCCATCTCAGGTCACCTGGTGTCAATCCAGCACAATGGCCAGCACAGGGTCTGAAGGAGGCCATCCTAAGCTCCATTAACAAAAGTAGGAAGATTCTGCCTCGGTGAGGCACCCTGGAACTTGGGATAATGATGTTGCCAAATGGGAAGTGGAGCCAAATGGGACCAGCAGTCCAGCACCAACTGGTCTTTAGTCTTTGGAAAGGGACAGGAGCTCACCGGCAGTCGGGAAGGTGACGGTGCAAGGGCTGGAGGCGGTGATGACGGAAGAGTTGGCCGACTTGCAGACCTCCTTCTCGAAACGGCAAGGAGCCGAGTCCAGGAAAAGGTTGTGGGTGCTGCACGACAAATGCCGACAGCAGTCAGTCATGAAAAAGGTTCTAAAGGGCCGCTCCGGCATCAAAGAAATCCTTGATCACGAGTCAGGCAGGGCCACTGCGGTCACTTGAAACAAGATATATGACAAGGACGGATGTTGCGCACCTGCTGTGGTAGTAGAAGGGGATGCTGTCGCCGGCCTTGATGGTCAGAGGCTGCAGTGCACACGAGTACCCGTCACTGCCGACACCGATGCAAGTCACAAGCAAGATGATGAGCTGCCAGGCAATTCCAAGGGTCCAAGGGATCGACAGAATTTATAAACTGATCCAGTGGAAGGACAAACATGCACGATCGAAGGTCGTATGCGCAGTCTATTTGCCCAACCTTGAAGGTGCAGCCATCGGTGGGCTTGGTGGCGGTGGTGCCGGAACCGCAGCTTGCGCAAGCTCCGCCGTTAGAGTTAGCGACGATACTGGCCGAGTTGGAGCCGACCAGGGTGCAGGGACGGCCGATGTCGACGGGAGACAGGGTTGCCAGCAGGCTGCGGCCTGCATCCAAGAAAACGGTGTCGGAAACTCCTGTATCGATCGCTTGAACGTTGTGGCAAAGATTGCACGCATTAATGTACTAGCTTCATAGTTGCAACCGTTCTCCTTCTCGCGCACACTCTGCGATACGAGAGAGCACATTCCAAGCCATCAGCATATTCCGCGATGGGCGTTTCCCTCAGTATATATACCAAAATACAATGCCATCAGCAAACAAAAATCTGCTCAGGATTATCACTGGTAATGACAGCTTCCTGTGAGTGCGATCTGCATTGCTGTGCTGCTTTGAGGTAGCGATCGGCATGCAGAATATTTCGGGTCTGCTACCTCGCCATAAATCAATATCACTTGAAAACGCGACATAAAAATCATATGCATGATACCAGGCAACGGATCTAACACGATCACGTACGTTACAGTCTCTTTCCTTCAGGTAGCGCAGATCACGTTCTTCAGATCAATGTCTAGGGCTAAGTAAAACGGGACAGACCTGCGACCACGGCGGCGATGGCGAGCAGCACGACGGTTGTAGCCTTGACAAATGCCATCTTGGAGGTAGGTGTGGAGGTAATCTGTAGTGTTCTGTGAACTTTGGAGATTTATGCCGCAACTACATCACGGTTCCGGGTCGACCTTTCGGAAAAAGATGCTCTGCACAGTCATCACCAGGCCGTCCAGGGCGCAATGGGAGTCACTCTCCAAGATCTTTCGTCACCTGTGGTGCTATAATGCACGTGTCACTGATATGCTATCAGGTGCAGAAGTGCTATCCAAGTCGTGTTAGGATGTTGTAGTCACAATTTTGTGAATCTCGCCCGTCCAATTGAGTTGCAACCCAGTGGTGTTGACATCATATTTACGCGCCAATCAGGAGTGATCTCCGCGGCAGTGCATTCTGCACGCATTGGCAATTGCCTTGCAAGGACCTGCATTCAGATCTTGCATCTAGTGCCAAACTCTCAGTGGGAAGCTGCAGCTACAGAGCACTTCCATCACTCAACCTGCAGCTGCTAAGTCATTGTCTCAGGTTCCTATTCGGATTGCAAGAATTCTTCCAAGCACTCCATAGACTCTGAGCCTCAAGCCTGTACAATTTTCCATGTACAACTGTACAGGAATCGCCACATCACCCCAACCATCATACAGAGTTCAGTGCACACAAGTGACTAAGCACGGCTTGCTTTGGCAGCATGGCTTCCAAATCTGACTGCTCATATCCCAAGCAAACTCATGCAGGCAGCAGTAATCAGAAGCAAACAGCTCTGTCACGATCAATCTTGCTGCGCATGCAATAAATTTTGCTTCAATGCAGGTGAGCCTACGCCTAATCTCAATTCCCAAGTATCTTTGCATGCATTTGATTTCATGGCGCTCGCACTGCCTTAAGGTTGTATGTCTTGCATTTGACCTTGGTTTAATATCGCTTTTCCTGCAATCACCCATCTGGCCCACAATGTTTGGCACTTGCTCTGAGGAGTCTGCACTCAAAACCGGGAGCCTGACTTGACTTTGACTTTAAAGCAGTTCATGGAAATTGACATGCTGACTCAGCTGCAATCCAGCACAATCACCTGCTGCCCTCTCCTGTATTTATCACGTAAAACTATTCTACAGTCACGCACTCTCTTTCCCACATCGGCCTAGTGTCAGGTTATATTCCCCTATCACAGACTTGCCATAAAAGTCAAAAACAGCAAGAAGATGCCATCTCCTGTAGCACCATGCTTTTCGGTTTCATTGTGCATAGGCACATCTACAAAAAGGAAATAAAATACAGGGTCACTTTTGAATACTACCTCTGGCAGTGCGGACAATCTGAAGATGCCTGCTTATTCAGCAGTGCTGAGGGACTCAGATGTCATGACCCAGGGGGCCGTATGGTATCAAACTCGACTGCATGTCGGTACAGCTCATCAGGGATGTAAAATTGCTCGAGAGCAATGCTCACGCGCGGGCTCACGTCCTCTGCCACAAAGTCCTGCACCCTGCAGTGCGAGCAGGCACCATTGTAAAACTGCAGAGTGACAGCAGTATTCCTGATGTCTTCATGGTCGGGTGCCTTGCAGAATGAATTTCAGGGAGTCCTGAAGTCATCCTTGTCTGTGATCAGACCCTGCCACGGCCATGCAGGATGAGGATCCCAGATTGTCAGGAATGCCAGCTCAGCTGCCATTTGGCATTTCTCCTGAGTCCGTTATACATCACTTCAAAGGGAGCAATCAAACCTGTGTATTCCTCAGGCCGTCGCTGACCACCTGACCTGTAATGTGGGGTTCCCTATTACAGCATGCATGGCAGTTTATAATTTTCCTGCCAGGTGAGTGACTTTTCAGAAGGAAGGGGCTCACTGGTGTGGCAGGTCGCCTTGAAACTTGATCAGCAGATTCTGGGACGGCGTTACAGTCATGAAGGGGTGAGATGTTGCCACATTAGCGCCCCTCCTGTATATATGTAGCTCCCCGCCCTGCATGCTCTGCACCATGCGGAGTGCGCTGTGACATCACTTGTGGTGACAGCGCATGTGAGACTGTGGCCAAAGCAAGGACATCGCGTTCCTTTGAAGTTATTCTGGACCCCCCGGTGCAGGCCAAGGGGGTCCAAAGTACCATAGCAGCAGCAGCAGTATCACTGCACAGGGACTAAATACAAATATCAGTATCCCCCTGCCCTGTGCAAATTATTGTGGAGTCCTCTGTGCAGGCCTGTGGGGAGGGGTTGAAAAGGGATGTGCAGGGGAATAACCTGTGGAACAGCTACATAGAGTATGCTGGTCTGGAACGCCAGGAGTCTGCATGTGCTGGATTCATCGCGCACCACCCATTGATCTGCATGAGCATCCTTTGTGCCCAGATCGCTGCACCAGCACCACAGTCAAGTCAACAAGTGCAGCTTGGTTTTGCATGCCATCAACAGACTTGCAAGCATCTCTTGACAGCGTTATCTCCTGTCATCTCTCAATCAATGCACTTTGCATTGTACAGTCGAAGTGTGCTATTGACAGGATGACATATAAAGCACCTCTGGGCTGTTGTGTTGTTTGGCCAAATGCGATTCAGCTGATATTTCCAAAAGTTGGCCTTTGGATGTCTCAAATGCTGGAATAAAGCCATCAATGGCTCCTTCAGTGCCCCTTGGAGTTTAGGCACACCTGATGAACAATGCCAGGCTTTCTCAGTGAACTCCTCAAAAGCTCAATTTCTCAAGTCACTCTGCTATCCATATCGCAATAAGCTGCATTAATAAGGTCATTTGGTGAGCTCCATCCACCTTCCGTATTTAGAGTATACAAGACATTCAAGTTGACGATGCCAGGTTGCCAGGCACTTTCAGGATTCTTCAATTGGAAGAATGTCTGTAATTCCTGAAGTTTTATATCGGCTAGATAGTTTTCTGTCGCCTCGAAGGTAATGTTCGATATCAGATTCTGTTGCAGCCTTCTTCTTGGGCACACCTGCACTTGCACCAAATTGCATTCAGGCAAGTCTTCGGTTTTGGTGACAGTTGCCCAGGCAATTCTTCGCGTTCTTGAACGTGTGTCCAAGTACCTCTCGGATGGTCCTCTTAACATTCTTGGGAAGCTCCTGGCCAGCTGGGATAGTGCTCAAGTGGTAGGAGATGACTGTGACATTTATCAACACCACGACGGCCACCACCGTCCGCACGATGCGTGCTTCCCTAGCTTTCCCTCTGGATACGTGAACATCTTGGCGATCGCGTGATCTCATACTCCTCTGTGCAGTGAAATTCCTTTACTTGGACACTGTGCAATGGGTGCCTTAGCGTAATCGAAACGTTTGTGACGCCTTGCGTACAGCATCGATTGGAGAAACAAACTATCCGATCATGAAAGTGCGAGCTACAGAATTCCAAAACAGCATATATGGAGCCTGTGCTGCAATCCTCGCTTTTAAGCCTGCCCGCGTGCCCAATATATTGGGCGGGCCCGGGCACAGTGTCATGCATGGTATGACTCACATTTTGACCGGCGGTCTGAGAGCTAAATTGTCTTAACCACCCGATAGCTCAAAGCCAGTGACTCTGAATTACGTATATAGGACCAAGCGAACGTTCAAGCAGGAACGTTCTTTCTCAGCAGCGGGGACTGTTTGCTTCCGAGGGAGTCCCGTGAAGGCTCTTTTGGAGTCTTGGTCCCAGTGTCTCAGTCACGGCGGTCACATTGAATCCTAATAAACGCAGAAGATGAAGGATATCTCTTAAGCAGCTGCTTGGTTGCAGTTGCTGGTGGTCTGCGTCGTTTCAGTTGGGACTGATGAGCATCACCGCAGTCCAACATTCAATGCAAGTTGCTAAGGGCTCAGCCAGTGCTTAATAGTCAATGGCGTGGACCAAATCTACACTTGATTGTTATGCTGTTGTGCCATTTGAAAATATATAAGGCTACTGCAATTTGATTAGATAGTGGCACTGTGCTCAAGTAGAAAGAGACAGCTGTGAGCTGCAACACTATAAATAGCACTCCGGCAACGTGGATCATCCCTTTTTGTCTCCTATCCCCGAAGGCATATATGCAGACCATACTACTTCTTCCATCTTCCATTCACTGCTGTCGAAAAAGAGAGTGAGCAGTGGTGCGCCTCAGCGCCACAAAATATAGTCACTTCCTGTCAGTGAAGCACATTGCCAATGACATGCCGTGAAACAATTTGTGGCGGCCATTTCCTCTCCTGTCAATGCTTTTGACTTAAAAATGCAACTCCTATGAAGGAAGGAAGGAAGATTACATCACTCCAGCCGCCTAGGGCTGATTGGATGAACTGGCAGCATCCAAATAATCAAAATAATCCATCACAAAATGTGCAACACCAACAATGTCCAACTGCCACATGAATTGCTGCATCGTCACAATGGCTGCACCAAACAGCCCAGGATATCTGTCCCGAACAGATTGCAAGGCAGGGCACTCAAACACAAGGTGGCGCTTATCCCCAATAACCTGCTGGGCACAACGCATGCACAAACGCTGGGGCCGGGGAATCCTTGCCCAGCGGCCCGAGACATTGGGCAGACTATGACAACCCATCCTGAACTTCAACAGTATACGCAAGCAACGGGCACTCAAAGGCTGCTGTAAGAGCTGGCAAGGGTGGCGCACACAAGCTGGCCTAGCAAACCATCTGTGATATGTACACAAGGTGGCATTGCTGGACGGGCAGGTCCTAGGGCAAATGTCAATGTCATCCCAAACCTGCAGTGCTTGCGCATCTAGCAGCTGCATCACAGCATCAACTTCCACAGGAACAAGGGTATGATTGGGCTTCACTGCTGGATTTGAACCGCTGCCCGGTGGGGCACGATATGCTGCCCAGAATGATGATTCGGGCTGCTGTGGTTCGGGTCATGTGCTCGATCATGTGTCCGAGAAGCAAATCTGGAGAGCGGAATTTAGGAAGGTAAAGTCCAAAAAGTCTAGAAATGGCTGCGTCGGGATGTCAGATGCAGGTCGGAGCCGCAAGGCATGCGAGTCTGACAGGGAGATCTTGCAGAAATCTGCTTACCGAAAGGTGTCGAAGTACAAGGCCGACACGCCAGCTCAGGTACAGAGGAGAACTGAATCGCAAGCATGTAGACATCTCAGAAAGGGACTTTTTTGTTGGATGCTCACGTATTGAGTGATTTCCACCGGTGGAGTGTTGAGTTCCCTCAGTAGGACTGTTACACCTGGTTAGGATGCCCATTATGTTCTTTTTCAAAGTTGCATGTTGTACCGTCTTCATTACTCGGCAGTACTCGAAAACGGGTGGGACAGTGCTGTCTTTTGAATGTCAGATCACTTTCACGTGACCCCACTATCGAAGAGTCGACCTCCTTGCCCGGAGTGTCATTGAGTCGTAATTGTAATATTTTGTTGTCCTTCAAGGGAATTTGGTCTTCAAGGGCTGTCGTGCTGGCCTCAAAGCACCTGCATTTGCCAGCTTAGGGTTGCATTCTCTTGGCTTGCATTCTGATTCTCTCTGACGTGCTGCAGGAGGTCAGTTGCACGAGCCAGCGCAGTCCTGGAGAAGACACAGACGTACACTGGGGTAGGGGTTGATCCCCCGGCCAAGGGCCACCACTTCCTCCACATTGATGACTTCTCCAAGGAGGAATTGTGGGCCATGCTGCAGACCTCCATCAAGGTGCTCCTTCCCCCCTTTCTGTCATGCATTAGAAGTTGTCAATTTTCTGGGCGTGCACCTTTCAGAGAGCGCAGCAGATCTCTGTACAAAACGACGCCCCAGCCGCACCTGCCAGCAACAGATGAGGGCGGGGACATCACAGGAAAGCCGCCACATGGGGGAAGGAATGCGAGCGCAGCATTTCAGTGAGGCACTGAGGAGCGCAGAAACTCCCTGCCCTGCTTAGAATGCGGTTGCCCCCAGTTAGACGCGCCGCCGTGCAATGCACGGCTACCAGCTCACTAGTCGGGTGCACCTTGAATGTCCAAGTGGGTGCCGCCTTGACAGATGCCGACTCTGCTCTGGCAGCAGCAGTAGCCTTGACAGCCACTGCAATCCTGCTCTTGCAGCAGCAGGCGCTAGGAAAAGCTCTTTGCGCAAATGGCGACATACAAAATCTGGCCGAACACCGTCAAAGGCGGTGATCCTGAGGCTGCGAGTGAGATTTCTTAGAAAGGAATTCGAATGATTTCGAAGTGGCTGTTGTGCGCAGGTGAAAGAGGCCCTGAAGAGCGGCGACAACAGCTACAAGCCCTTTGCTGGCCTCACCATGGCCATGATCTTCACCAAGCCCTCCATGCGCACGCGCGTCTCTTTTGAAACCGTGTGCCCCTTGTCGTTTTGGTTGACACCCTTTGTCAGTGCCCTGCGGGGTGTCTGTGTTGAACTTGTACGTGACGTGTGAACCCGGGGCCTTGCGCTGCTGGGCTTTACTGGCACTCTCAGCATGGTGCCTGCGTGCATGCAGCTGTTGAGTGCTGCTGTAGCATGACCGGATTTTGTTTTTGCAAAGCGTCATCCAGGCGGTTGATGTTTTGTGGGTCCTGTGCTCTCGCTAGGTGGGAACAGTGAGCGTCTGCGTGCCTGTGGTCCTTGGGTTCTGACTGCAGGCGATGCCTTTTGCACTTAACAAGCACTAGATCTAGGTTTGATGGGCCGGTCGGCTGCTGTGTGATAGAATCTTGGGCCATGCCTTGGAAGAAAAAATCATTTCAGAATGATGGCACGTGATTTGGCAATAATGGTCCCTTGCGCTGCCGCTCAGATACAATTTCACGCCCAGTCTGAATGCCAGCCCCCTGTGCGAATAGAAGGCGTCGGCTGAGAGCACTGGTGTGATTTGTTCGCAGGGGTTCTTCAAGCTGGGAGGGCACGCCATCTACCTGGGCCCCGACACCATCCAGATCGGCAAGCGCGAGGCCACCAAGGACATCGCGCGCGTCCTCTGCAGGTGCGCGCATGTGGTGGGCAGTGTTACAAGCTTAGTAAGCTTAGTAATCACCCCCAGGCTCCTGAGTCGCCTCGTCCCAACCGATCCGTGGTGGACAGCTGTCACGGCTGCCCAATTGTGACAGCTCTCATTCCAGCCGCAAGGTGGCAGAACTGCTGCGTTGCGCCAATGCTGCCGTCACATGTTTGATTTCCTTACCAAGCTGGCTGCGGCCCTGTCAACACCTTTTTTTTTTATTATTATTACACGCTTTTTCCTGCCAGAAGCAAGATGCGTCTGCAGACAAGCTGCAGTGAAGGCTGCCAAAATCCTACCCCTTGATGGACTCGCCAGATCCAAGCAATACCTTTGGAGGTCCCAAAACAACCCAGGGCATTTGGGAAGCTCCCGGAGACCCTCCACTTTGCACATCCCTGGTCCCATGGTCACGCGAGTCAGGGACCAGAACATCAGGGAGAAGTTACTTCAGCATAATCCTACTTTTTCTTGCCAGCCGCATGCATGTGACAGCCTGGCACCCAAGAAGTGCTTTGCAGGTGTCCGAATGCTAGCATGCTGCCTTGCCTTCCCTTGTGACATAGTCTCAACTCTGACGGTCCATCTGCGCAGGTACAACGATGTGATCATGGCGCGCCTCTTCGCGCACGAGGACATCTTGGAACTGGCGCAGTATTCATCCTCCCCGGTGGTGAACGGGCTGACGGACTACAACCACCCCTGCCAGATCATGGCTGATGCACTGACCATGATAGAGCACAAGGGGCGAATCGAGGGCACCAAGGTGGGTTTTAAGGAGTGGTAGTTGGTTACTCTGGGGTGGATGTCTCCGGGTGATTAAGAGGAGGTTTTGGCAATAGCAGGGAGGCCGCGCGCCGTCCTCAGAGCCTAAGCCGCTCCTGCAGCACCATACTGCTAAGCCTCATTCAGGCATTCAAAACATACTTTTGTCGTCATTCAGCTTTTGACAAAGGGCATCAGGCAGAATTCGCATGAGTGCGCCTCAGCTTCAGTTGATGATGGGCAGGAAGAGTGCAAGTGAAAATTCTGTGCACATATGCGATTCACAACCTTATATCAGAAGTTGGAGAGTACTCTGCACTGCTTGCAATGGGTGATCCCGAATTCCTGCAATGTGCACTTGTGTCTCTCTTGTACACTGTGGTGGTATAATGTGACTGAAGCTCCCTCTCTGCGTCAGCTAGTGGGGCTCTGACCTGTCTTGGCTGGAGCTCAGAATTTTATCATGGGGGCAGTCAGGATCAAGGACAGCTTATTGCGGGAGGGCACCCTGCTTCTGTTCATTGGCTGACAAGGGCGCATATCCTTCTCAGATTCAAATCGAAATCTAAAGCGAAGCTGTGCGCGCAGGTGGTGTACGTGGGAGACGGCAACAACATCGTGCACTCCTGGATCCGCCTGGCGGCCAAGTTCGATTTCGAATTCGTGTGCGCATGCCCCGAGGGTTACGAACCCGACCCGGCCACGGTCGCTCTTGTCAACGAGGGCGGCGCCGGGAAGGTCACGATCTCGCACAACCCTCTCGAGGTGAGTCAGCGCTGAGTCATCTCATCTCTGCATGCAGCTCAGGCCATTTGTTGCTGGTCTTGCAAAGGGAGCCTCTGCGCTGTGTGCATCAGCGCTGCACCTTGCTGCAACTCTTTTTGTCATTGATGCCTTGCTGAAAGGGACTCCTTCTGGCGCTGACTCCTTCGTGGCGCTCACAATTTTGACTTTGTTGACTAGCGCATTGCGCGGGAGATTCTGAAAAGAGGCAACAAGCGGGTAGATAGTGTTTGGGGGAAGCTTACCTCGGTGTTGTGGCACAAATGCAGCAGGGGCACCCACGTGAGTTAAAAGTGATCGCCCATGGCCTCAGCTTTCTCCTCACAGTGGCAAGGTCAACCATAGGTTGGGCATGCTTGATCTCTGTCCCATTATCACGCACGCACCCACGCCCCAGACCTCATCCATCTGTAATTTCATCTATAGAAGTTCATTGGCGGTATTCTTGGTGTCTGGACAGGCGGTGAAGGGGGCGGATGTGGTATACACTGACGTGTGGGCATCCATGGGGCAGAAGGAGGAGGCCGAGCTGCGGAAAAAGAAGTTCCAGGGATTCCAGGTGCGTTCCCTCCCATGTGCAGGCAGGGCATATCGCGAGCTTTCGAACTTGTATTTAGGGTTTTTTCTTGGGTGACCCTAAATCATATCATTATTACTGGGGTACCTCTGGGGACTGCTCAGGTTATGTTCAAGGGTGGTGGGGGCGGCATTTTGAGAGGTTTGCGATGTTACCGTGGAGCCCGGACATAGCACAGCAGCAGAATAGCAGCGCGCTAGCCAAAGCTTTATGCCCCCAGAGTAAAACATGGCATGAGACCGTGGGCCAGCTTGTCCGCTGACGCACCTTCCCTCTGGCAGGAACAGCGTGATGAGGCAGTTAATGATAGAGCTGTGTCGCGCGTGTGTAGGTGAACGAGGAGATGATGGCTGCTGCCGGCCCCGACGCGCTGTTCCTGCACTGCCTGCCAGCAGAGCGGGGCATAGAGTGCACGGATGGCGTGGTTGAGGGCCCTCAGAGCGTTGTGTTCCAGGAGGCGGAGAACCGCATGCATGCGCAGAACGGCGTCCTGTTGCACTGCCTCGGCCTCGCCTGAGCCGGCGCTGCAGATACACCCCCGCGCCCGATCTGGCAACGCAGCACGTGCACCTGATCTGGCAACGCAGCGCATGCGCCTGATGTCACAAGTGTAGCGACTGCAGGAAAGCAAAATGTCACGAATCGATGATCCCCTTGATGTTAGAAAGTGCAGTGTTGCTGCTGATTTGCGACACCTGAGGTGGCGACATCAGTCTTTTACCTGAATTAGGGACGCTGATCGGTGCCTGATTTGGAATGTACTCCCCAGAGCCTGATCCGGCAGCCTATCTTGGCAGTGCCTGATCTGGCAATGGTTGCGCTGACGCATGTGGTGCGCTTCAGTTGCATGCGATCCCGATTGAAATGTGATGTAGCAGATTCACTCCTACGTAAGTAGGTATACCGCGCCTCTATCGGTGACCAACCTGACGTAAAAAACAAAATCGTGATGAGAGAGCAGGGGCTGTACATGGTCGGACAGCTCTCTTGCATGCATGTGCTGAGAAGAAATCCAAACGAAGAGCTGTTCCGAACGAGTCGTTGTCATGGCCATGGCTGTGGTTTGCTGTCAGGCCGCTGGCTTTAGCTTGGACTGGAGTCTCTACTACTAACATAGTCATGATGGTGGCTGTACTCACGTGGTCCACTGGACTTGGATCTGGCAGATGGATGCTCCCCAGTGGAGGTCAACAGAAAGCTCTGATGAAAGACTGGTTGAGAAATCACACAACATATGAAAGTGAGAATCGATACATTACAGTAATCTCTGTCAGATTGAAGGACAAGTTGCTCTATTGCATAAGGAAAGTGCGTGAAATTTTGCAAATGCAGTGAATAACCAGTGCGGCCTGTGAATGCATTTTCAAAGTGATTGGTCCAAAACCATCAGTCAATCAATCTCACACTTCCCGCAAGAAAGCGCTATCGCCAGGCATCACGCCTGGCATCATGATGGAGTCATTCATGGCACCAGTAATGATGACTCACTGCAACTTGTTTGCTTTGCATGTGATCATTCCACCCTTTGGCAAATTCTTTCCACTCTTGCAGTTAGCTGCCTTCACAGGTGTCCAATCCTTGAGTGACCACTTACGTGTCTTTCAAGATCAGGGCCACCATAAACAAAGTTGGCAATGATGCTACAGACACATTCCAACAGCTGCAAGTGCGAGAAGTTCCTTGAGCCTGTATCTCTCCAGATATGTTGCTGAAATTTGGGACCCTACCAGAGAGACTCAGCCAGGCTGGCCCTGAGGGTATACCTGAGGGTACGTACCTAAGGGTGGTATATATCCCTGCGGCATCATGCTATGTTTTTTATCTAGAGAACCCTAGGGCCTGAACCCTTAGATATGATAGCTACTAGGCTTGCACTATGCCACTTGCTTTGTGATGCAATGTGTTTAAGTTGATTGGCCATGGCATATAGGTACTGGCAAACGTTCAGTATGGCCATGGCCCCGGCTGGCGGGGGGCGGTACAAATACTGAGCACCGTGCCCACAGTTGATTGGGTCTTGCTTGGATCTGGCGAGTCCAAGAAGGGGAGGGATTTTGGCAGCCTTTACATGCAGCTTGTCAGCAGACGCACCTTGCCTTCGGCAGTGAAAGCGTGTAATAATAAAAATAATAATAATAAAACGTTCAGTAGGCTACATACCATCCAACCCTACTTAAAATACATGAGTTCAAAATTGACTACTTCGAAGTGCCACTTGAAGTGACGGTGACACACAGGCCTGCAAGGCACTGCCCAAAGCAGTGCTATCATATGATGTGTGATCAGCATGACACTACCACGCAACTGGAGGGGACGGTGTCTCACGATTGTCCTTGAATTTTCCAGCTGGTTTATTGCTTCTGTGTCTACACGTCAGACTGCCTGGATGATCAAGGAACAACACCAGCCATGAGTCTGCTCAGTGTGTCACGTGCAGCCTTTGCTTCAGCCAAAAGCCCGTCCCAAGTGGCATCACACAGCACCTGTATAAGAACCACACAATATTAGGCTCCATCAGATCAAGAATTCAACAGACGCACAGATGAAATCTGGGGATCTGCATGCCAAAGCCACGCTTGACACTGCCAATTTTAATGAACCATAGAGCATTATCATACGTTGCATGCGCCCATTCAAATTGCCCTGAGAAGAAGAAGAACTAAGAGCTTGCTGGAAGTGGGGGCAACCACCCAGCCAAGATGCCGTGCCAACTCAAATTTTCCCATGGTATCATTTACTCGAGCTCTTCTAGAATCAAGCCGCAGTCTTGCAGGCATGGGGAATGGTGACTGATAATGTTTGCTCTGAGAAAAGATATTAACAAGGTGTTGCATGGCCCCTGATTAGCCCCCTTCACCTACTGGGCATTTCCGCGGAACGGTGCAAAGCAAGTGAGACAACGATTGAGTACTTTGCAGGGCATATCTTCATCAGGGCGTCTATTTTTTACTTTATTTTGTATTTTGTGGCGTGGCATGAGATCACCTCCTGCGCTGTGTCTATGTCGACTCCCCTGTAGCAGGGGTGATTTTCCAGGGTCAGCAACCGCACATAAAGCTGCTCTGCAACGCTCTTCCTCACCTGCATGCATGCAACACCATCGTAGTGATCGTGTAGAATCGAATGAGCACAGTTTTAGTTCCTGGAGTCCAGCTGAGTAGCATGCGCGGGGCCGATCTGAGCTTGCATTCATTAGGAACAGCTGTGTTTGCATGTTGCTGCTGTCAGGCTGCTCTGCAGGAACAGCTGGTACAGTCTCTGTTTACTTGTCATATCTTAGATGTTGGTTTGGAGAGTTCCCAGCTTGACAGTGGACTACAGTGCCAGATGGAATCCTTCAGCTGACCACACTTTGTACAGCGTAAGGTTTGCCACCTTTCTGAAAGCTGGAAAGTCAGTCTTGAAGCCAGCAATTCGACAACTTCAGCTGTATGGCCTGACAAGTCTCTCTGTGAACATACAAACGCTTTAAAAGGCCATCTGAGAAGCTGCAACCACAGGAACTGCATGGAAGCTGCCCCAGCCAAGCCCACCCGGACTGAGCTCCCTTCAGCAACCTCATTGGTCTGTGAATTTGAATGGCTGAGTCTGTCTTTTTCTAGGGCACAGATGGCAAGGCAAAGGAACTGTACTGCTAAGTCTGCTGCCTTGATTGCAGGTGTAGAGCTGCAAAGAAAACATGGAATTTTGACTCGCCTTGGGGAAGCGATGCGCGAGAAGGGTGAGGAGAGCGTGCAGGGCGCCAGAACAGGCCGGCTGATGGCAGCCCGCCAGGTGGCACAGTGACGTGGCGGCCCAGCAGAGGGAGGGAACGTCCCTGCAGCCCCGCGCTTCACTCTTCACCAGCTCCAACAGCTCCCCTGCACATCAATTATCACCCTTGAGCACAGCCTCTGAAGTCCTTTCAGAGCACCGGGCGATGACAGCCTTGCACAGTGCTTTTCAATGCTCAAGATTTTTTGCAGGTGTTCAGTTGGTTATTTCCTATGCTGTTGGTTTGTCTCCACTCCGTGTGTCCTGCCCGCTGCCCTGCTTTGCCTTTCTGCTTGTTGTCTTGGTGCCTTGTTGAATGGCAAGCCACACGATTCGAAGGTCCACCGTTCAAATTCAGATGCACTATGGCCATCCAGGTTTGTCTTGCAACACCTTACACGCCCCCAGGGAAAGGAACACAGGAGGACAGCACGTCTGAATTGTTCCTGCAGATTCATACGGACAAATTTGGGGCTCTCACCGAAGAAGGGGTGCGTCTGGGGTAGATTTTCCATACGGACAAGTTTGGGGCTCTCACCAAAGAAGGGGTGCGTCTGGGGTAGATTCTCCATACGGACAAATTTGGGGCTCTCACCGAAGAAGGGGGTGCGTCTGGGGTAGATTTTCTATACGGAGAAGTTTGGGGCTCTCACCGAAGAAGGGGTGTGTCTGGGGTAGGTTCTCCAGGCCCCCATCAGAGATCAGCACATCTGCAGCCTTCAGCAGAGGCAGCGCCAGCCGAGGGGACTTGGCGTTGCGCCGCCACACCGCCAGAAATGACAACGCCACCCTGCTGCGCATGCTGCCAGCACCTGTGTCACACACGCTCGATTCAGTCACTCTCTGATGACCACTCTCTGGTTCGTCTGTTTTTGCCAGGTGGCTCGAGGGGTTGAGCCCCTTTTCATCTTTTGAGTGCTGCAGTCAAAGATGAGCCCAGCTGTCAACTGACTTTATCTGTGATTGATGAGTCCTCCAACCCCCTCAGATACAATCCCCTCAACTCAATTTTACTCACTGCCAATCAAGCTGTTGAGACCCACTGCCTTGAGGTTATATCATATACAATGTGAGTATAAGTGCTGAGGTTGTGGAACCTGCATGAACTGATAAGATTCTACATGATAAAATGCATAAAGAATGAAGGATATCGTGCACACAAGGCCCGTCAAAGCGCCGGCAAAACGAAGGCCGGAAGTCCCTGTGAGAAGAGGAAAAGGCTGATGTCACCGCGGGCCTCACCTGCACCGCTGACGTCATCGATGACTCGCGTCTGTCCCACCAATGCAGCAGACGATGCCTTGCTCAAATGGCCGTCCAGACCGCCGATGCAAGCAACCAGGCCCTCCAACACAGCCTCCCTGTATGTGTCTTTTGCCAGCAGTGGCGCCAATCTTCCCAATGCCTGCAGCATGATCGCACATCACTCCTTCAGTTTCATATATCAAAACACATGCAGGTGGCACGGCCAGAAGGCATATTCTCATGCAGGGCGGTCATGCAGCCTTTCCAGTGCCTGAAGGTCTCAAACTCTGATGCTCAAAGTGCGTCCTTCTGTGGTGCACATGTGGCTTGCGGGGCGATTGGGCAATAAAAGTTGACCATGTTATGGTTCTAGAAATGGAGAAAACAAGATCTCTCTGGGTCTCTCACAGGAACTGTCCAGGTCAGAGATGCAGACCAAAGAGGTCATATTAGATGCGTGGAGGTTGGAGACTCCACCTGAGGTGTGGCAAAGAGGTCGGGGCTGACTCCTAGCAGTGCTGTTTCCAGAGCGGCCTGGTCAGGGAAACTCAGCAGCGGGTGCTGAAGCAGGCGCTGCAGGTGCTCCGCAGCTGCCTGCAGTAATGGCACATTCCATGTCATGTGTGCAGTCTCTGACGATTTCCTTCTTGAAATGGCACAACATCTGCAAGGGGTCACTCCTGTCATGAAGCACCTGAGCACGGCCGGTTGTCAGCAGACTGAATCATTTACAGAAAGTGCGCGGCTCTAGATTCTGCGAATTACTAAAAACGCAGATTGCATTTGAAACAACCATTCGGTGCTGACACCAAGGTCACCTTTCTGAGGCGATCGAGCCGCTCTGCAGCCTGTTGCAGCAGCGCACAGGCCACCTCCCTGACAATGCCGCCACTGCTGTCTTCTGCTTCCACATTGCTGCTCGCCGCCTGATTCCCCAATGCGATCCCTGCTGCCTCGGCCCTGCCTGCGCCTTCCCCCGCGCTGGACTGGGCCTTGCCTTGTGAAAATCTGCACTGACTGCTGCCAGGCTGGCCAGACATCCCCTGCTGACCGCCGGTCGATGCCTCGTGTCGGGGAGATGCACCGCTGTTGACACCTGGCCATGGAGATGAATTGCTGTCTCCGTTGGGCAGGGGAGATGAAGTGTTGTTGCTGCCCGGCCGGGCAGCGCTCCGGGCAGCCCGGCGGTGCGCGGCCCACAGCGGCAGGATCTGCGCGAGTGATCCCATTGCAGCCTCCCTCACCCAGCTGCCCACGTCGCCCCTGTCATCCGTGCAGTAATCCGCCGCCGCTGTGACTAACCGCAGCAGCACGCGCGCCTCCAAAATTTCCTCTGCTGACTCTTGCGGTGCTGAATCTTGCGAGAAATTGGTGGCTGCATGCACATTGGGTGTGCTGGGTGCGGCTGCGCCTGTCTCGCCTGCTGTGTGTGCTGTGGCCGTTTCCGTCTTGGCTGCATCTCCTGATGTGGCTGCATGCCCTATCTTGGCTGTGGCCAGTTGTCCCGTGCCTGACTCAGCTGCAAGGTTTGCGTCGGCTGTGTGTTCTGTTTCAGCACCGTCAGATCCGGCGGTCTCAAGTTTGGCGGCGTCGCCCGTTTTGGCCGCAGGTCCGTTAAGGACCGATACCGTTACGGCGGCGCCGGGGGCGGCGACCGGGTACAGCTCAGAGGCCACGTCAGCGATCGCACGCGCGGCCGCCGCCCGGGCCTCCGCATCGCGCTGCTCCGGATTTCCTTCAACCTGCGCACACAAAAAGTGAATTGAGACCAGACGTTTGAAGCACTCAGGACGCCTATGCCCTGCTTGGGTGAAGGGTGAATCGAAAACACCTGTGGCCCTGCTATGCAAAGAGCGGGGTTCAATCTCCCCATGGGATCGTCTGTATTGAGTGTTGGGCAGCGGTGCGGTTTTTTCACCAGTGGCACACGTCAATGTTCATTTAACAGGTCTGTCCGTGAAGGTGCCTCTTGTTCCACTCTTTGCGCATGTTCCTGGTGGGGAAACATTGCAGCCGAGCCGATGCGAGGGACATGACGAGGGAGACCGACGCTGCAGGCTGCCTGGAGCTTGATGGAAGTCTGGCACCCACCTGTGCAGCATCGCCCAGAGCATCTAGCACTTCAAGTGCTTGCGGCCGCAGCAGGCATGCTGGCAGAGCGGCCAGCGCAGCGGCGTACCCCTGCCTCTTGGCGACAGGGGCGCTCGGCCTGAGGCCCTCAATGTAGCTCGCCACAATTCCCTCCGCCTCTGGCTCGCCACCTTGGAGCAAGAGGAGCAGAAGACATCAGTGAGGCAATGGTGTGCGTGCTTGCTGGGACTTTCCAAGACGAGGGATGACACCTGGTACTGCCTGTTGCCAACTGGAGGGCCTGCTGCAAGCGAGGGGAACCCAACCAAGCCCTGTCTGCCTTCATGACACTAGGTCGAGGTCGGGCAGAGCTCAGCCCAGCAAGTGATGCAAGATGCTGTCATGATCTTGCACAACAACTGCTCCCGCTTTCTGCACACTCCAATGATGGTAGGCGCTCCCGAGAATCTACCTGTGAGATATGCTCGCGAGAACGCGCGCAGCGCAGCCGCCGAGGCCGCCTGGATGGCCGGGTTGGGATGTCTCAGGTTATCCTCTGCTATTGCCAGCAGTTTTGACCGCTGTGAGTTAGTCAGTGGCACGCGACTCAGCGCCATGCATTCCAGCAGCCTGTGTTTGAAGCAGACCCACTGCTCAGATGCAGATGACGTGTCGGTACATGGCTTGCATGCGAGACTTTTTGCATGTGAAAGCTTGTGAGTGTGTTATTCCCCCATGCTACACCATGCCGCTAGGCACCAATTGAACCTGAACTAATGGTTTGAGGTTTCCACCCTGTGTGCTAACCAATGTACACACAGACTGCAGCTGTCCATCGAATGCAGGTTCTGTGCTAAACACTGGAAGCACCTGCGTCCCTGAAAATCCCAGATTGCCCGGTCTAGGCCCTTTTGGTGACTCTTCAAGAGCACTACTGGACATTTTCTCAACTTCTTTACCTGGAGGCTGCTGCGCGCATCAGCTCCCCGCCCTTCCCCCGGTACAGGCGCCCGGCCTCCAGTGCCGGCACCACATCAGCAAGCCTTACTAAACGATCCCTGCTGATGCCTTTGCTGATGTCATGCAGCGCCAGCAGCACCTCACCAGCCGCCAGCACAGACCCGTGCCGCACCTGCATGCAACTTACTTTCACCTTTATTTTCTAGAAATTCTTTCCACTTTGTTTCTTATTCGCTGTTTCACTTGCGCGACTTTTTAGATGAGAAGAAAAAAAGCTGCTTGTTTGATGCAGCCTCCACAGGCTGCTAGGCTGCCATCCCTGCAGATGTCGGTTGGTAAATACAAGCACACTCATGAACTCGTGCCTGGCAGAAAAAAACTCAAATTCCAGCAGGAGAAGCAGGTGATCATCTGAGCAGATGCACCAAGATACAGTGACAGGGAATTGTGCAAGCGAGCCTCCAGGCTATCGTCAATATGCACATGTGCAACACCTCATCCCAGATGGCATGCATGCAGCATGGAACAAAGTGCTCACAAAGGACTTGCCTCTAAGCAGCCGTCCGTGCACATGGGAAGGAGTCGATCAAGGACGCTGGCTGCAAATAGCTCTGGTTCAGTTTGCGCTAGAGCGGCCAGCGCTCGAGAGGCCAGCTCCCTTAGCGAGCGCTCCCAGTGGCCCAGCTTCCTGCAATCAACTTGAATACAATCATTTCAAAATTTAGAACTTCGAAAGAGAGAGACCTCCGACGAGAACGACGACCACGAGAACTCCAAACTCTGAAAATTTGAAATTTGTAATTTGGAAATGCCCAGCAGAGAGAAGGATGCGCTGGTAGCGGTCATCTGCACAACAGGCCATGCCGAGTATGCTGGATAAGAGCTGAAGTAGCCTATAGAAAAAGTGGTGGGAGACTTTGAGGGCAAGGGTGAACGGTGAAGGGGTGACCTGTCAATCAGGTGATCCACGAGGGCGGCGCGGTACTCCACAAAGCCAGCCACAAAGGGCGCCACCAGCAGGTACGCCTACAGAAGGGCAGAAGCCTCAATTTCCCGGACTTCAGCTCCAATAAGCCGAGCACATGTCTGCATGCGGCTGCATGGCAAAGGAAACACTCCATCCACCAGATTCCCATTCACGGGCTTCACAGGACCTGGTCAGTATTAACCAAAACAGAGCCAGTTACTTATGAACCAGAAATGGTTTGGATCTACGGGGGAAGGCTAGGGATGTGAGCAATGTCAGCCCCAACACGGCGACACCGATGCAACACGGTGGGTGGCCCATTACAATGTAAACGAGCAAAAATGGCGCATACGTTTGAGCGAGAGGCGAGCGCGAAGTAGTCGGCGCGGCAGATGACGTCGATGCCGTGGGGGAAGCTTCCCTGGCGGCCCACCGCCTCCTGGAACGCCGCCGAACACGCGCGCCGGCAGTTCACCTGCGCACGGCAGATACACTCCATTCGAGCGTTTAAAAAATATATAGTAAAGCGCCGGGAGTCGTTGCCATAAGAGCGTCACCTCACAGAAGCACACTGGTGCTCCGCATGATCAGCGGTGTCATGTGAGGCCCTCAGCGGAAAATCAGGTTCTTGGCCATCAGATGAAGCAACTTTCTACTGAGCCAGCTGCCAACACCTCGGGGCACTGGGATTCGCGCTTGCAAGAAGGCACGCCTTGTCAGAGGCCTGCTGCCACGAAGAGAAAGGGATCTGCAGTAGTATTTTTGCACCGCCGTGTTTGCAAGGCTGGTTCATGATATTCCCAAGGGATGCCATATCAGCGAACACACCTCTCTGTCGTAGCATGCGACCGCCAGCAGCGCCGGTGCCAGCTGCCGCGCAGCTTCCGCCATGGCTTCCTTCTCGTACGCGCGCGCAAACGCCCAGCACACATACGCGGCAGCGTCCCTCACATGCGCTCCCACGCTGCAGCAGCAAAGGCGCAAAAATTTCAGAAATACTCATCATATAATCGCTCAATTATCTGCGCCCATAATAAGCGGGTTCAGTATGACGCTGCCAGCATCCCTCACACACGCTGCCATGCTGCAGCAGCAAATGCGCCAGGTTTGCATTTGCTTCTGCATGTGTTGCAAGCAGAATAAACGTGCTTTCTCGCTGTAGCTTTCCTTGGTCCTTCCAGTGGGTGCTTGGTGCAGGGATCCAGCTGGGCTAGTAAAAGAGATGCAGCACCTCAGACAGGGAGTCATTTGAGGGATACTGGCTGCTCAGGTTTCTTAGGGCACAAGAGGAGCGGGCACAGATCAATGCGTCACGGGCATGCCAGATGGGGGGCTAGGGAATTACCTGTGGGCGCCTCTGCGCACGTCAAACTGCAGGGCAGAGGCAATGAGGGGCGCCAAGTCAGGCAGCCTGCACAGCACATGTTCCAAACTGAAGTCAACTGGGCTCTTATGTGGTGCCAGCAGCTGTGCACGGCGCTCATGTTGTATGCCCAAGTCATACTAGCGGTGCGTGTACCTCCCAAGACACGAGAAAGACCGACAGACACTTACAGAGGGGAAATGGCCTGTCAGTTGAATGAAGCATGGCATAGACTCACCCAAGTGAACATGTTGAAGCATGCTGTTAATGTAAGTTCAGTCAGCCAAAGCAGGACAGATGCGCAATGACAAAGAATTTGCAATGCTCACCGATGCGGTAGCAGCAGTCCCCTCCGCGCCAGCTCAGCGAGTGCCAGGCAGCCGCCGTGCCACGCGGCGTCCCTCTCCCCGTCGCTGAACAGGTCCAGCACAGCTTCCAAAACCTCGTCCGCCAGCTCCTGCACAGCGACACATTCAAGTGTTATTCACCATTATTATTATTACAGTGTCGGCAAACCCAAAGCCCGAAGGCCATAGGGCATACACACAGAGTGTCTGCAGCCACATCTGTGGGGCCTGAAGGTCTGGTCTGCAGCCCATATGGTATCATACTGAAAGTCCAAGTCCAAGTGAGGCGTGCGTATTAAGGAACATACCACCACCCCCACCACCAAACAATGCTTTACAACACAGCAAGCAAATGTAATTCACCATATTTGAATCGAAAGAGTGAAGGAGTGGAGGAGGTAAATAAGAAGGCTGACTGGCAGGTTGCTAAGGTTCTCAGGGGTGCTAGAACATCTCCTGCAAGTGCACCTGTGCGCACCACTTCAGTGCCCCACATTTCACAATTTGCTATGAGGGCAGGATCTCCCAGATGAAGTCCATTGCGCCAGGAAAGTTTTAGGGGATTGGGGGATAGCGACCTTTGGGAGGCGAGCAGAGACTCTGCCGATGCCCTTGGCAGCGCTCCACCTGACCACTGTGTCCTTGTCAGCCAGGCTCTCCAGCAGTGCGCCTGGTTTGGCACCAACAAAATTCAAACTCGAAGTCATAACACATGCCTTGTCAAGGCAGATGCATCAATCGCATCACAGCCGCCAGGGTGGTGCCATTTTGCATTCCGGGAATGTTGGGTATGATCCATTTTTGCAGAGTATCCTGTCGGGCATGCATACCACTAGCAGAGATGATGCAAATGAACTAAAGAAGGGGAGAGCAAACGACAAATGTGGTCCTTAGGACTGCAAAAACAGGTGACAATCTGGGATTGGGACGAGCTGGTGTCAGAGAGAGGCAGTGGAGTAGGCTGCCAACCTAGGATCTCTTCAACTTCCTCTGGGATGCTGACATCATCAGGGTCCCCTCCCAGAGGCTGTCCCCCCGCTGCAGATTCCAGGACACCAATAGGAGAGGCGCCCCCCTCTGAAGCTGAGGGGTCCGAGTCCCCTCCCTGCAGTGCATTCCCCTCGCCCAGAGCTGTGCATGCATGCAACATGCATTGTCACCTACTTAGGTTCAATCATGCATTGTAACCCACCTGTCATCTACATGCCCTATACATGCCAAGTTGGATGCCAGGAATTGATGCACATGGCACAACAGTGGGGCCTCGTCGAAAGAAGGAAGCAGACCCCGAGAAGCCCCAACACAGGATTGCAGGATATCAAGCCCAGACCCTCTGAAAGTACTCTTTGGATGGAGCGCGTGAGATTGCAGGTCAGTGTTCCATCAGTGATTGGGTCGTGCTTGGATCTGGCAAGGCCATATCCTTTCTAGGGGTGGGGACTGTGGCAGCCTTTCACAAGCAGCTTGTCTCCCAACGCACCTTGCCCTGTCAGGAATAGCGTGTATTTGATGTATACAATTTTAAAATTCCCAGAATTTCAACACCCACCTGCGTCGGAGGTGCCTGCCAGGGTGTCGGTGATGTCAGCGCAGCGCTTCATGTATCGCCACTGCAGAACGCGCGGCGGCAGCAGAGCCAGCGCAACCCGCTGCGCCAGCTTCAGGGCCAGCTTCCTGCATGACAAATGGATGACTAATGATAACTAGGAACCATGATGTGAGCGCAACAAATAGGGCATCTGACCGGTGAAGTGTCAGGCGACTGCGTTTGGCCAAATCAATATAGCTTTTCAACCCATCGGTGTACACACCACGGCAAGGACTAGAGTTCCGAGGGTTTCTGTTGCAGCATCAAGAAAATGATTGCCCAATTTTTGAGAAGCAACCTCAGCTCATCTCCATCCTTGCCAATTTTACGGGCTTTCAAGTGCCAGCACCATTTGTTTCCTGTTGTTGGAAGAAGTGGATGCATTTTGTGGAGGTATAAGACGTTCCCGAAAGACATTGCCCAGTGGCTACCTGGAGAGGGCGCTGGAAGCTGCCACGCGGCTGCCAAGAAGCTGCGACGCCACCGGCCACAGCTGCCGCGCGAATGGCAGCAGCGCCGACCGCTGGCCCTGCTCTAAGATGTGCGCCAGTGTCCGCGCAACGCCTGCACAGCAGCTTGTCACCTGAGCATTGGGCACATGGAAACGGCCGCAGGCTAGAAGAGAGGTGAAGACCTCGCTCCTGAATGGGTGTACTGTGTGCAGATCTCACATGTTCTCCACCATGGGGACGTCAGTGGTGTTCCTCGCGATGGGCATATATGTTGCGAAATACCTATCAGATTTGGCATGAGACAACATGGGACTGAGCAGTGCTGCGTCAGCGGATAAGAGCATTTGTGGGAACAGAGCCAGACGCTTGTGAGCCACCCACTGCCCCCCAGAAATCAAGCAACAGGCATGCATGTGATTATGCTCCTTTGACAGACATGCACCAGCCCCACTCTTCTACACCCCCTGCTGATGCTGACAACTTGTGGCAGCACTTCGGTTCAAGATGCTGCCAAGCAGGAGCGAACAAACACCTGGGACAGTGAAGACGGCTCTGGGGCTGTCATGGTCCTGCAGCGAGGTGTGCGCCCACGCCAAAAATCCCCCCAGGGCGGCGGTGCAGTCCGGGCGGGTTAGTAATCTGCCCAACAGCACGCCGGCCATGTCTCGCACGCCGCCCGGGTCGCTGAGGTGGCGCTGACTCAGCTCCAGCAGCGTCGACGTCAGCGGCGGCAGCGCCCTGCGCGCATGTGCCGGCACATGTCTGTCCCATGCATGCAAGAGCCCATGCTTGCATTCGTCACCTTGAAGGCCATCATCATGGACAGCACTTGGCTGCTAAGGGATGCAAATGCAGCATCATGCAGGCCAGCAGCTCTTATACAAAGATTTTGGCACCGCGTGGCAGCCATAAACTTACTCCAGCGCTCGCACCGCCTTTCATGTTCTTTGCCAGTTCAGTCTCAAGAAGGAGACAGATGCTCTCAGGACAGGAGAGCTTACGTCAGGAGGGCGCAAATTGGCCTGTTCTTGGCACATGGCAGCTCAAGAGGATCTTGATGCAGGGGCGTGCTTTTGAGGAGTCTAGAGAAAGATATTCAGCAGCGCACCCGGGCTGCGAGGCAGTGCTTCCTAAGGAGGAGTCAACGGAGGCCAGGCTGAAGGGGATGTAGAGCAGCTGAGACAGCCACAGCAGCAATGTGCACTGCGCCTGCCACAGCCCTCCGGCGGCGTTGCCTCCCTCCTTTGTCTGCTGCGCAACACAACAGCTGCACCTTCAATACATGGCCCAGTACCGCATGCACTGTCAGCATTCACAGCCGAAACCATTGAGTTAGATCGTGTAAATCTCCGCAGTGTGAGGGCAAGTTTTGGCACTCCTTCTATTTCTGCTTGCCTCCACTGGAAGGAGGTTCAGATCAAAGGTCACACAGGTGGATTGGGCAGAAGATATGGCATTGCTAGAATGAACAAGCGCGATGCTGATGTCAGCGGGCTGACCTCAGCGTCGCAGCGCAGCAGCAGCGCCAGAACAGGCTCTAGGTCCGCCACCTCACTGGAGAAAAACTTCACCACTGTCTTGTGTCCCCTGCAACAAAACACAAAAATGATCCGTTCAAATCCTTGTCTCCCCTTCCTGGCTGGTATTCTACATTTGTACTCCGTGATAAGCTGCCACGCTTCTTGATATTCTAACAAAGTGCATAGGATGATGCGAGTCATGTTCAAAGCCAGACTGAGAGACCCACCATCATGCATCGCGACATAACATAGCCTGGTTTTCTGCTTTCTAGGTAAGCTCAAGACAATAGATGCAGAGATGTTCAAATGGAATTTTTTAAAGATCAATCCATGTGAGGTGGAAGGTTTATATCAGGCACCTGACTGTAATCAGGGCCCAGAGAAAGCGGGAAGCACTCTGCACTGCAGTCAGATCCGGTGCGCAGCCATTGTCTGCTTCGCGGCGGAGCACCGATGACAGAGGGGTGACTAAGCTGGCCAGCAGAGGGTCCAGCAGCTGCGCCTGCTCATGGTATTTCTCCAGCTGCATAAACATTAGTAGGTTTTTCTCAGGGAGAAATAGTGGATGTGAGAAAGAATTCAGTCTTCACAGCAGTCAAATGCAAGAACAGGCACCCGTGTCATGGACTCGGACAGCACTGACACAAGTAGCCAGATTGTGTTCATTCAAGAAGCTCAAGAAATAAGTATGTTGTTCTCTGATGCAGTCACGGCGAGCACTCTTGTTGACCACATCAGTTCCTTGGATTGAGTCAAATTTTGGAAAGACGGACGTTATTGTGATGTATCATTCAGATCATTTTGGGAGGTCGGCAGCGCACTATTTTGTGGTAGCGGTCAAAGAGCTGGTCCACAGCTGAGCTGTGCTGGCTGCCATCCACCCTGGAGACGATGGCTGCAAGCTCGTCGGCTTCCTCGACATGCGTGGCCTCATACGTGCAAAAAAATGCCTCGTCCCTCTCGTCGTCTTCCATATTGAGACCCTACCGTTGTCTACCTGCAACCAGCAATACGAGCAAGCTTGCATCTTGCAATACAACATTTGCTGAGGGTCGCGCACTTGGTCCCAGGGCCGTGAATCCGGCAAAGTATGAGATAAAAAGCTCTTAAGTAATTCATATTAGACTATATAAAGAGCAATGCGGCGTTATGATGGCTGCACTGATGGCTGCAAGAAGATCTCGATCAGGTGCAGGGGCGTGCAAGATCCGCTTATCTACCAAAGCTCCATGACATCAGAGCTAAGAATCTTAGTGGTGAGATCTGCATCGAGGCGATCTGCACCCCATCTAAGCAAGAGCGCTTTTGGGAGATTGCAACTTTGAGCCATCACCTAGTGCAGGCACGGTGCTCCTCACGATGCCAATGTAGACTTACAGGTAACCATCCTTCTTCTTCCAGACATACTCCTGGGTAAGATCACCACTTGCGCTATGCGGAAGAGCGAGCGTTTGCAATGGAATGGAGATAGTTAGTAATAGCCACATGGATAGATTACTAACGCAATTTCCCGCCACAGAACGCGAGGATGCGAGCGCAGCAAACACGTCGTCGAATGATTCAAAAAGAGCAATTGGTAGGTAGGTCGAAAATTGATTGTTGAATTTAAGGGGAGAGAGTCCGGCGATCACATCCCAAATTCGTACTTTTTGCTGCGTTCATATCACGGTGAGTACCCAGGAAGCGATCTGCCTTCCGCTGGATCTTGCTTAATGTTTCACACTTTGCCTGTTAGCTTGAAAAATTACATATCAATCTTATTTAGCTGCCCAGCAAGCAAGATTGCGTAAGAGATTACGAACTGTGAGGATACCCAAGGACAAGAAATGCGATCCGATCATCCTCCAAGCTATGAGGGCTTGTTGTATCATTTGCGATCGCACATGGCACAGAAACGACTTTTCTCTTGCATGTCTCAGCAGAGCAGTCACAGGAGATAGGACCTCAAATATGTGGGATTGCAGTCGTCTGCATTCTCAACGTGGGGCAACCACCTCGTCACACCGTGCTGATAGCTCTTCAGACTGCAGAGCCACCATCACTAGCCTTCCCGGCCAGTGGCCAGCGCACAGCCTCAGATGCAACCTTGCAAGGTGTGCCCCTGGCATATCTGGACGCCCTTTCTTTCCATCATCCTTCTCATATGATCATTGGCTATTTAAATAAGCTTCTTACCTGTGCAATATATTGTAGGATTATGAATCTGCATGCATGCCAATACAGGCGCAGCCGCAGGAAGCAAGGAGCAGGTTTGATTCTTGCTCGGAAAGCCACACAGGAGCCGGATGCCCCGGCGTCTTTCTGGTCTAAGACAGTCAAGGGAACACTGAAAAGGTGGACCACATCCGAGAGGGACAGTGAGAGTGCCAGCAACGCCACCAAAAAAGGATCCTCGACACAGAATGGCTCATCTCAACGTAGCAGGCAGAAATTGGGCAGTGGCACAGTGAAGCAGAGGGTTTCACAGGGAAGTAAGCGCGGGAAGACAATTAAGCAGACGTCTGGAGAGACCAGAGGGCAGGCGAAAAGCAGTAGAAAGGGTGGGCGCTTCTATTGGAACATCACAGGGTTTCCATTTCCTCTGGGACCGCTCCTCACAAGAAGGACGATACGATATGAGGTGTGCCCCTTTCACCGGCTAAATAAGGCCTCCCTCAAATTGCTTGCACCATACATTCACCTGCCGAGGAGATCCCCATGCACAAATGCCACTCCGTCAACAGGCATCACTATGCCTTAGTAAGGCTCGGAACAAGCGGCTCTTTTGTAGCAGTACAACCCCTTTTCATTGGTGTTCACACCAGCTGTGCACTTACTGCTGCATGGCCGCCACTGCCTCCATTTTATAAGAACAAATTCGAATAAAACGAGTTAGTTGCAGCCATGCAGGCCAAAGCAGGCGCGCTCGTAGGAGTCAGTCGTTAATGCATGAATAGTCAATTCGATCGCAAATTTGAAAATTGATGTGCTTGCCAGGTGGAGCGCGGCAGTATGTGGACATTCGAGCAGGAGCAGGCGCTGGGATTTAGTAATGTGACCACCAACGTGCGCATGACTGTCATCAAGCTGCGCAGCGGGGGGCTCTGGGTGCACGCCCCCATCGCGCCCACCAAGTGGGTCGCCCCTTTATCTATTTGCATTTGCACCGAGACCTCAGGCTTGATCTGCTGTGCACCTTTGCGTGCTAGGTCATCATACATTTTGAATGGCTGACAGGCTGGTTGTCAAGAAAAGGTTTATAGATTTTGCCCAACATCCTTCTTGCGCCCTGTGTATGCTTCTCGTGCGTGTTTGGGATCTTACTCTGCGTTGATAATTTTGAGCAGCATGCAGTCCAGCCACACACACAGCTCATAGCACTCAGCTGCGCCCATCATTAGCGCAATCGAGATTGCAGAGCCTGACTTTATGCTTTGGTGGAAGGCCAGAGAGCGCCTACAGATATGGTATGCATCGCCATGTCATGCCTCACCTCCCACCCATTGATCCATTCAAGTTGTGTCTAGAAAGGCACTGTACAAACTCGGTAGATGTGGCATTGCACAGGGAGTGTGTGGCGCTGGTGAAGGAGCTGGGGGCACCAGTGGAGCACATAGTGCTGCCAACATTCGCAGTAGAGCACAAGCTGTTCGTGGGGCCGTTCTCGCGCGCGTTCCCTTCTGCGCAGGTCCACGTGGCACCCAGGTGATTACATAATCCTTAATTCCTGGACTGACTGCATGCTGCTTTGCGTGTCCCCACTTTGCGCATTCCATGCCCCGGGATAGGCAAGAAAGTGACATGCTGCATGCTTCTTGCATCATTTTGGATGGGCGAAGTGACATTATCTGCATGTTCTTTCCTGCCTTCTTGGTCAGGGCAGAAGCTGATCTGTATTCAGGCTGCAAGTTTGTACAAAAGACCTGTGCTGCTAGCTCAATCGATAGGGGACTGGCACACTTAGCATTCCTTGTGCTTGGAGGAATCTCAGAAGATAGAGGATTCGCACCTATACAACAAGGGAAAAATGGGACCGCTGACAATTTTGGTGCGATGCCTTTCAGGCAATGGAGCTGGCCGCTGTGGCTGCCGGTGCAGTTCTTCGGCATATTCCCCTCCAGCATCCTGGTAGACAACGACGCATCCACCCCCTGGGCTGACGAGCTCGAGCAGAAGATCTTCTCCTCAGCTGTTGGTGCGGCACTTTCTCCCGTCACCACTTGCACAATCGTTGACACGTGGTGTTTTTCTGGACTGTAAGGTCTCAAACTACCTCTTGAGTGGGGCAAACATTACATGGCATGGTAAGTTAGGATCCTTGACAGCAGTCCTGGCTCGGGCATTGAGTTGTGTGACATAAGAGATGGGGACTTGCTGTGGAATGCTCTGTCTGACTCTCCTTGGCATGGTCTGCCTGCATGTGCCTCCAGGGAAAAGCTACCAGGGTTCCAAAGACATACGATGATAAATGTATAATAAGAAATAATATATATAATATAATAATAAATGTAAATAATCTGATGGGACATCAACCTGGTCTTCTGATGGAGTTGTGTGCACATGGCAGGCATTGGGCCCTTCTTGGAGGTGGCATTCTTCCACAAGGCCACAAGAACGCTGCTCACCACCGATTCAGTCATCATGGTTCCCCAAACCGCCCCAGAGGTGAGTTTATTTGTCCTCACAAAAAGTGCAGTAGCCAATCTAGGCCACCAGACAGGTAATTAGTCATCCTTTCGGGATGGTATGACTAATCTAGCCGTCCTAGGCCGTCTGGAACGCCAATACGTCCCCATGACGTCCAGGATTCGTATTTTAAATATTTTCAGACGTGCAGTGCAACTATGTTGCACTGCCTTGTATGTCTTGCATTCTTGTCTTGGTATGATCACCCGTGCAGCCTTCCTTGCGAGATTTGAGTGCCGATCAAACGTTGAATAATGATTGGGAGCAGGTTCTGAGGGTTGAAATATTATGGAGGCGGTGCATCCCTGTCCTGAGAAGATGCAACAGATATAGGGCTTACGGAATGCAAGGGTCCAGAGGGATTTATTGGGGGTTTTGTGCAGGTTGTGAAGGAAGAAAATTTGATGGAGGCGGGGGGACCGGTGCCGGCGAGCGTGAGGGCGCTAAGCGGGGGGGACCCAGAGGGGGAACCCGAGACTCAGGAAGAGGCAACGCCCCAGAACAGATCGCAGCAGCTGCAGCTGGGTGCGCATATTCCTCCTGTGTCATCATTATCATTATTTTCATTCATAATATTTTATCATTATTACACGCTTTTCCTGGCAGAGGCAAGGTGCGTCTGCAGACAAGCTGCAGGTGAAGGTTGCCACAATCCCACCCCTTCTTGGACTCGCCAGAACCAAGCAAGACCCAATCAACCGTGGGCATGGTGCTCAGTATTTATACCGCCCCCCGCCAGCCGGGGCTCATGTATTATGGGCAAGACAAACATTGGAAGTACATCTTGAAGAGCCCTTTGAACAGGCATATCGTGATGGAGCCATTCATAAACTCTTCACAACATTTGGAAGAGCCCTGCGGATATCCTGATGCAAGGCTGCAGACTGGCTCAGGATGTGGCACTTTAGTGTCCTTAGCCTTGCAAGGCTGTGCTTGGTGTGCTGTGGAGTACTGAGGGGCATTACACTCGAGACGACAGCCAGAAATTGCCCTGAGATACCAACAAGTCTGCAGCAAAAACCTTCACTTGAGCTAGAGCCTTTTAAGAGCAGAGCTGAAATGTCAATGTCTTTTTCTTGGAACAGGCTGGCAGCGGATGGCGCTGCAGATTCTTTATTTCGTGCCCTTCAACCTGCTGCAGCCGGCGCGCAGCTTCGCGGCAGTTTCCGGGAAGCTTCTGGTCTCGCCGGTGCTGAAGAAACTGGTGTTTTTGAACTCGCGGGAAGAGGTACGTGCTTTGCGGCTGCTGCTTTGTGAATCATCCGCTTTTGCCCAGATGAATCCAGCGGTTTGTGGAAAACCCAACAAACTCAGCTATTCATATGCATGCACTGGCCAGCACATTGAATGTTTCCTCAGATTTGCATGCTCCGATCTGCTGTCAGGATGGCTGGGATCTGCTGTGCTCTCAGAGCACTTGCATGTATTTTCATGTATGCACAATGGGAGTTCCCTTGCCAAAACACACCGGAAAGCCTGGGAAAAGCAATCCCAGGGAGTCAGTGTGTCAAGCTGAAGTATGGCATGGCTGTGACAGACAAGGAGGTGGGTGAGTGACATAACCAGCAGTTGGGAGTTCCGGCGAATTATCCCTGCACACTTTGCTGCGCCTGTACAGGCAACGCCCCAGGACTTCAGGTAGATTTCCCTCCACTGAGCTCACAATGACTCACGGAGTGTGTTAACTTGCAGCATTGAGCTCCAATTGCAGTCAATTGAAGTGTCTTCTAGTCCAGACCAGCCCTGCTTCCAACAGACATGCAAAGAAGAGAGGAATGTGAAATGACAGGCCGGCTCTGTGTTGCTGGGAAGAGCAACCAAGGTTGATTGTTGCAGGGACATGAGCAAATGGTATCAAAGATTAATGTCCTTCTATTTATAGTTATGTGTCTGTAGTGCCCCTTTGCCAGAGCCAGGGCTGTCTCTTGCATATTCCTGCCATGCAGGCTGGAGTAGGGCGCCTCATCTGGCTCCTAATGACCAGAGTAATGCAGATGTGCTCTTGTTACCTCCTAAAGAGGATCTATGTTCTCCTAAATCTCCGCCCAATCTAGAGGAGCACCTACGAAAATGGGTGTTATGGCATGCCCAAGTGTTTCATTGAGATGCAAATACAGAGGCTGGGGAGCTCGAAACAACAGCAGATCCACAGATGATGCAATTTGGGGGAATATTCAAGCATAGGAGCGGACCATTCTACTTCTTGTGGGAGTTGGCCAATTAAAGAACAAGCAAGGTTTTGGTTTTGTGCAGGGCGGCATTTGCATTTGTGTTTAGCGAGGAGGAGGCCGCGCAGCCGAGCAAGGAGGGTGGGTTCCTGGGTCGGCTGTGGATCTTGAATTCGAATTCGAAAGCGCGCGCGGTGACCGAGTTCCCGGCGGATGACATGCGCGCGCTGGACGGCCTGGAGCGTATCCTGCGCCAGGCGGGCGTGCTGAACAAATGAGTCATCGCCGATGACTCAGGCTTGCGTGCTTGTCAGTCAGTCGCTCACATGACATTGTCTCCAGCCAACTTGGACAAGTCCGATACTTTTTTGTGATTCTCATGGTCAGTGCCCGGCTTGACATCTAGACACTCGGAGATTGATACTGGATGGTGACACCGACAAGATCCTTCTGTCAGAAGTACTCCATCACGACAGTTGTAGATTGTAGATTCTAGAGAGGGTGAAAGTATTGACTGGCCCAGTCAACCCCGGGGGTAACCTGGCTCTGCAGCTGGCTGGGCCACCAGCGCTGGGGGTCCGCTATGATCGAACAACAGCACTGGGCAGGAAATTAATGCTAGCTAGATGAAGTTGACATTCTGGGACAACTTAAATGAGAATTTCGTTTCACAGTCTCACGAGGATGAATTCAAATTCGTGTGACATGCATCGAGCAGCATCTGATAAGACGCCACCAACCCCAAAAATACGCTGCCATTGATACTGCCAACGGTCTGCGGTTATACAGGCCTCCCAGCTTCTGAATTTGATGAAAAGTCTGCAGATCTTAAATTTGCAGGCCCCTTTGCAAAACTATCTTGACCTTCACTTCTCTGTCTCGCAGGGCTTTAGCACGTCAGTGGCTGCTTCACTCCTTCTTCTGGCTTCACAAAGCTTCGTTGGCGGAAGATCTGTCAGGTCAAGGTCGTTTTGCAAAGCAAAGAGACAAACTGGAAGAGAAAGTGAATAACTAAAAGGCCGCAATTCTGCGCATCACCAAATAAAACTGACAATGTGCCTGCTCCCCACACTAATTCACAGCTGCCATGGCACATGCGGAACCCTTTGGATTTTTATTAGAGCCAAATTACTGCGCACAGGACATCACAACCGGCAGCAGTGCTACAATACGGCAGGGTCCTGCGTCTGCTCTGAAGTGCATGTACTACTAGTACTCATGCGCGTGCCTCGGTCGGTTTGAGTTTGAATTCAAAATGCTTTGTCACGGAGTGGGAAATGGCGCTCGGATGGCTTATATGAGGGCTATCAGGACCGCCATCCGCCGCTGCTGCTGCAAAGTGAGCTCTGCCCCGGGCAGGGCCTGAGCCGCTGATTCATCTGCCGGGCCTGCATCGCGCAACATGCACATAACTCTGTTGGAGCACATGTGCTGTACCAGATGTGAAAAGCTTTGAGAATTCACGGCCTAATTGCTGTCCTGAGACAGTGCTGCATGCTGCATATACCGGTAAATAAAAAAGCCCTTGCAAGTGGGAGGATGAAGTTCCCAATTGGCAGCGATGCAGCTTCGTCGTTGCGCGAAGCTGCTGTCGTGGTCTTCTGATCATTGTTTCCTTCTGCTAAACTTTGATTTCCATAATCTTGTTCGTCCTGGAGATCCTGCACCCACTGAAATTCGCAATTTCTCAAACAAGCGATCAAACAAGCGCATTGAGTTGCTGATACTTGTACGCAAACGAGACCAGAAAGGATTCCAACCAGTTCATTGCCCAGGCAAGCGTTTCCTCTACTAAAGAAAAAACAACGATGCTAATTTTCTTGTGGTAAATGCACTAAACATGCACGCTGAGACGGCGCTGCTCCGATCTGTCTTACCTGGCTCTCAGCAAGTAGATGCCCGGTCTCAATGACTTCCCACCACTAAGGCACAAATGCGATATGCACGGGGTTGGTGATATCGTAAACGTGTTTCTTATATACAAATTCGCTGATTAGATCGTTGGTTGCAGGTCCCTTGATGGCTTTACCGTGTGGGCATGCCACAAGCACATGCAGCAAACAGACTTTCCAATGTGGCGCCCAACTGCCTGCATTTCGTAGGCACATGCCAGACAAATTGCGTCACAACTCTAGACCATCTCCGAAGGTCAAGCACGGACTGGTGAGACGCCTTGCTTACTTTTATGTACACAATCGATTGACTGCAGCTTTGATGTGGGAAGTCCCACACTTGATTCTTGCTGTATTGTTTCTCTAAAATATGGTCTGCTTGCCTGCAGATGTGCACTGCAGCGTTGGCAACAGATTCCCTGCACCTGAAGCAACAGCTGGTGCAGGCACTTCAAAGTGGGGAGAAGACCCTCAGGTGATAAAGCAGCTGAATCCACTCTCTCCCGGTTGCCCAATCTTATCTGTATAACATGTGCACCAGGAGCAATTTGCCTTTCCTTGCTGCCTTCAGACAGCACTGACGATTGGTGCAGCGCCCCTTGCCTCTTGGCAGGAAAGGCTTGTACAATGAGGATGAGGATAAACGGTGTTCTTAAATGATTAGATGAAATGAATTACACAAATACCTGCGGCAGGACCGGGAAGCTGACTCCAGAGGTTGAGGCGCTAGTGGAGCAGATCAAGGCGGCAGCTGCCGAGCAGCCGCCGCGGCTGGAGGCGGCATTAGTCAACGGCAGCTTCAGCGGGCTCCTCAACACAACAAACTACCTGGCGCCTGATTCCACATCCACCCTTGGAACCCTGACCTTCCAGCAGTTTGCTCCCAAGGACCTCAAGGTGAATAATTTTCCTACATTTCAACATTTTTCTGAGGAAAGTCATCACTGCAGTGAGCCTTTCTAGGCGCTTTTCGTATCTTCTTTCAGAGCTTGGCCTTGTGCTATTCATTTCTCGAATGCAACACTTGGTAGAATGTTCAGTCTGTCCGCTGGCACATCTGTCATAGCTGCACAGATGCTGCTGAGTTCAAGTCACGACGTGCAAGTGCTTGCTGCAGTTGTGAATTTTGGCCATCCTTATTTGTGGCCCTGAAAGTTCCCAAGCAATTGTACAGCTCTGGGTTGCCTTGGAGAAGCAAGCTTTCATGTATTACAGAGATGGGATGTCAGTCTCTAATCTCCAATTGTCAATCGTTTTGTGATTTTTTAAAAGGAGAGCTGTTGCTCCCATTGATGTGATGACTGAATGATGCTTGGTTGTGCAGGTCAAGGTGAGCGGCACAGAAATGCTGTCAGGTGTTGAGTCACCGGAGCACTATCAGACCAACACTTACTTTGAGGTGAGGCCACGAGGCATTGCCCACACTCTATATGTGCTCCTGGCATTCCATCCAGCTTGTTTCGCCTGCAGAAGTGGAGCACTGTCTCCCCTGTTTCAAGTAAAGAGGCACGCGAGCGAATGAGAATCTGAAGACGAGAAATTTGGTCGCCAACAAAAGAACGTGTGTGGGAAGGGTTTTCCAGAAGTAGGATCGAGTGAGGCACCTGTGATGTTGAACCAGAAATGTAAGTTCCATAATGCTCTGTCTTTGACAGATGCAAGTCAAGTGATCTGTTACTCCAAATGTAATTATTGTGAAAGTCCAAAAGGGCAAGATATGAGAAAAGATTGCCGCTATTTCTGTGCAGGTGTCCGAGGGAGATGCGGCTGGGTTGGTGGGTGTCCAGTCAGCACTTGGTCAGTATGAGGTGGACACTGACAAGGCCGGCAGGCAGGTGATTGAATCGCCCTCTCATAAGAACGCTATGCTATTCAGATTGTATCTTTCCCTTCACAGCCTGTAGAGCATGCATATGTTTGGCAATGATCAGATGCATCTGGTGCACTAATAAGAATTCCATGAGGTGTGGGCAGGGCCTAATGAAAATAAAAATTTGTGACAAGTGGAAACATGCATGTTGCTGTAGTGGTCTGCAGAAAAAGCACCACATCACGAATTTGAATTTGAAGTTGAAGTTGAATTTGAATTTGAAAACAGGTGGTGTACTTCAATGCCATCAGGATCGCCCCAGCAGACAGCGGCGCGGCCGCCCTGCAGCGCTGGCTTGACTTCTTCAAAGCAGCAAACCCCTCCATGGTGAGCAGACCAGCACTTCATGCGGGCAAAAAAGAGGAAGAAACTTTGCATGTCAGGGAAATGCAGAGCAGGAGGCATATAGTAGGTCTACCTAACGGGCTTCAGTTCCTACTGTGAAGATTTCTGGCGGGATTTTTGTTCTTGCTTTTTTTATGGCCCTTGCAATGTTGCCCCTAGTGTTATTAACGTAGGCTTTTGGCGTGATTCTGTCCATCTGATGTCTGTCACTCGTGTGCAGGTAGCAAACAAAGCCATCCCGATGTTTGTGACTCTCTGGCATTGTGTCGTCCCCGCACGAGACCACTGAGTTGTTTTGAGAGTCTGTCCTGGTCTTCCAATGTGATCACATATAATCCTGAATTGTATTGGGGTCGATGCAGGGGGATGATGGAGTGGCAACGATTAATTTCCCCCAGCGAGCAAAGGGGACCAGGGATTTCATCCTGTTGGACGAGGACATGCAAGTGACTGTTGGCAACAGGGGCAGCGTTGTGATTGTGCAGAGGAAGTGACAATATGAGTATGGCAATCTTCGATGGTTGGGACATGCGGCTAGAATGGATCCCACTAGGGTACCATTGCAGATGATGTTCACCACAATGTCAGGCAGTGGGCTAGAGGCAGACCATTGAAGAGCTGGAATGACTATGTGAGAGATGACCTTGATGCTTTTGGGCATCCATATGACTGGTGGAGGAAGGGCAAGAACCGAGAAGACTGGAGAGCAATACTCCAGGTGTTGCTTGACGTACCTAGTCCTTGGGGACTGGAAAATGGGTAATAATAACACTAATAACACTAATAATAATCTTTGTGTGTGTCTATGTGTGCGCTGAGTGACTGAGCCTCGGTCATGTGCGGTCAAGTTGCTTGCAAGCTGAGATTACTTGATTCAGTCTGGGTGAGACCAGTAGAAACAGCATTGCTGCCTAGGCCTCACATTACATTCCCATGCCAAAGCTTTACTGCAGCTTAGTAAAGAGCATTTCGAGAGTTTGGCGCAGCCGTAGAGAGTGATGCAATATAAATTGAGTGGAAGGTCTCGGAAGGTGCTCTGCCTACAAGTGTTTGATGGTTGGTGGCAATAGCTCTTGTAATTGTGACTTTTGCATGTGCACGTTGGCTTCAACAATTAGAGGATTGACGTGATTCCACGAATACTTTACAGATGGTGCTTCACAAATGTGGACAAGCCTCCAAATAGCGGGAAATCAAAGCTGCAATGCGTGTAGGCCTAGACACACTTGGCCTCGCTGTTGCCAAGACAAGGCACACATGCAATCTGAAGCTTGCGGCCTCCAAAGGCTACCCAAAAGCACTAAACTAAAGCTCCACATGAGCGGCCAATTGTCAGTGCGCCAGGTCCAGCACTTCATCTTCGACCCAAATCAAGTCATGCACAACTGGATATACTTACCCCTTTAATGGAGCTTCTCTTGATGCGAGTCTAAAAGTTTGGGCAAAGTCAACCCTATCTGAGGGTGCATGCAAACATCGGCTGTGACGCGACACAGAACAAGTCCCGGAATATCTCAGTCATCAGGAAAGCTTGCATGCACATTCATGCATCACTTCATGATGAGAGAACCTTCTCGACACTCACTTTCACAACAATAGCATGCAAGACACTGAAACTGACATCCAGCAATCTCCATGCCCCAAGCCTTGCACTGCGCCGAGCAGCTGATAGGCATCTGAAGTACGAAGCGCTGCGTATTTTCCAGTCTTCCTTGCAATGCACAAAGGTGGGCAGTGCTAGTGCCAATCACAGAACATACGTAGCCATGAGCAACATTGACTGTCACATGCGCTGATCACAAACTTTTCACGAGTGATAGACAACTCGACATGTCACTCTGACCTAAAACTTGAGCCTAGCATATAAGGAGACAAACTGCATTTACTTCATGGACACAGCGCAAGTCTTCATGAGAAGGTGGCTATGCATCAGCTGCACTTCTGACAAAATGCAGCGATTGCAGTGAGCCATGAGACCCCTTCCTTTTCTTGTCTTGTCATCTCAGGCTTCAGGCCCGCTTGCTGCCGTTTACGGGCTGGTGTGCCGAGTCGTCGGTGTGAAGACCCTTCTCCACATCACCCTCCTTGACCTGGCAGCCACATAAGCCGCCATGTTAGCACAACCTCCTTAGTCAGCTCATGCAGCATACAGGCATTGTATGGCTTGAAATGTGCACATTGCACTCCAGAGTATGCACTATATACATGATCTGCTGGTGATCAATCGCGGCTCTTGAGGCAAGGCATGCTCAACATCAGTACGATTCTAATGAGTCTCAACTTTGCTAGAGCAGCGAACCTCCAAATCACACATGCACTCTGAAAGTTGCAGCATGAGGATGCCACAGCTGAGAGGCATATCAGTTGTGCTCAGGGTGTGCATGCTGCCGGCAGGTGACTAAGGGGTTACTCACCATCGCAGGCATGTGGTCACACATGCCGGGGGGAGGTCCGGCGTTCAGCGCATCGTCATCAATGTCCTTCTCATACCTGTTGTTCACGGCAGAATGGCCACAATCACGGGGGTTATCTGTCTCAGGGAAACGGGAAGGGCGTCTTTGTGACACATGCAATTCCGTTCAAAGTTGCCCAAATCCTGCTGATGCTGTTCCCATGAAGGGTGTTTGAAGAGTCACCGGCACGCTTGAAATCCTGTACAACCTAACCCACTTCTTTGCAAAGCGGTCCACAAAGCACATGGCACATGCATCATCACCATTGATCCTATAGTATGAACCCTGGAATAGGGGTCTGGGGCGTACTTGTTGGCAAAATGGTCCACGACTGAGACGGCGCAGGCGTCTCCCCAGATGTTGGTGATGGTCCTGAACATGCCGATCAGCCAGTCCATAGCAAGCAGGATTGCCAGCTGAGGGATGTACTGGCTCATGCCCACAGCCTGCAAGCAAGGCAAACACAAAGCTCATGAGTGGCACTTGCTGATTAATCTAATCGGCAACGTCTAAATTAAACTAAAGTGGCTCATGCCCACCGCCTGCAACCGATTTGAAAAACAAGGTTCAAGAATGATTTGCTCCAAAGCTCAGCACTGAATTGTTTTAGAATTGAACAGAATTGTGTCTGTGATTTTGCTTCACTACCAGAAGGCGTGATTGAACCAGGCGCTTCAAGCAGTGATCGGCAAACGTTCTCGCAGGCTTGGAATTTCAGGGCCACAATGCCAACACTTGCTGTGACATTTATTGGGAAATTTGAAATATGTAATGCACAAGAATCCTGGCAGAAAAGCTGATTGCTTGCCAGCATGTGATGGAAAGAGCAACAGTCCAGATCTTAAAGAGCTGACACCGATTGGAACCCGCCACCTTCAACCAGGAAATTTTTTGTCCAACGCACATGCTGCAGAAACAGCAGGAGGCTTCAAATGTACTTCCTCCCTGCTTTGGCGCTCGCACTGACTTGCATGCATGCATTCTCTCCTGGTTCAACCTGTACGCGCCAGGAACAGTGTACAAGCACGACAAACAAAGGTCAGGGGAGCAAACCTGCAGGACAGTAACCATGGAGACCAGCGCTGAGTTGGGGATGGAGGCAGATCCGATGGCGGCCAGAGTTGCAGTGATTGCCACGACCACCACATTGCCAGCTGACAGAACCAGCCCGTTAGCCTGCAAGTGCAAAATACAAATCAGATTGACAGCACGGCACACATGGCAGGTCAGGTAATACCTCCTAGCAGCTTTTGAAAGAAGTTGTGCTGTAGAGGGCTCTTGTCCAGAGCCCCCAAGGACATCCCATGGTTCTGGTGTCAAAATAGGCTTTGCTGACATATTCGTTTATAGTTATGCATGCTGGACATGCACTATGCATCATCTTGCAGAAGATCGTGTTTCTGTGTCCTGCTGGAAAGCTAGAAAAGTGCTGTTCAATTCCACTTTTCAACGCCTTGCCAAATGACTAATCTCCAGCTTTCATCTAGACACCGTCGAATGAAGGGAGCATTTTTAAAAAGGCAAGAGACCTGTACACAGCTTTGCAGAATGAGCACTCTCCACCTTTCACTTTCAAGACTTTTTAGGTGAAGGTGGCCAAAAAAACCTTCACTAACTTAGGAAAAGGATGAGCTCTTCACCTGGGCCATGAACAGAACAGAGGCTGCTCCATAGAGAGCGACACCTTTTGATAATCTGTTCGAATTCAAATCCTGCAAACCCTTTTTACACTACCTAAAGGAGAAGCCCCGGCTGGCGGGGGGCGGTATAAACACTGAGCACCGTGCCCACGGTTGATTGGGTCTTGCTTGGATCTGGCGAGTATATCAAGGGATAGGATTTTGGCAGCCTTTACTGCAGCTTGTCTGCAGACGCACCTTGCCTGTGGCAGGAAAAGCGTGTAATAATAAAGCATATAAGGAGAAGAACCTCACCTGGGCGATAAAGAGCACGGAGGCGGCTTCGTAGAGGGCTGCACCATCGCGATTGATGTTGGTTCCAAGGGGAATAACGAATCTGACAATGCTGGGCCGGCACTTGAGGTTGACTCCGCATTCCATGGTCACAGGCATGGTCGCTGCTGAGGAAGATGTTCCAAAGCCCATGGCAAACGCCGGGAAGTAGGCCCTACGAAGGGAGAAATGACATGCGCCCGTCAGCCAACGAGGAGTTTTTTAGCAAAGAATGGAGATCTTCCCATGCAGTGCATGTTCATTTGCAAATGCCAGACAGAAAGGGGTTGTCTCTGCTGTCTGGCAAAATGCAACATGATGAGTGCTGCAGACAAATAAACAATCACACAATCCCGCAAAAATGTCAAGCAAGGGAAAAGGACACAAGAACACTTCATGGAATTTCAATTTGAGTCAGGGAGCAGATGGGTGAGGGAGCACTTGATGAAATGCAGACCCTAAAGTCAAATTCAACTTGAAAATTGAACATCCAAAAATTCTTGATAAGTTAGGGAGCAAGCCTCATGACCCGGAAGGGATTGATCTGGGTCAGGATGATGATGGTGAGAGGCAGTGCAATAATTCCAATTTCTGAATTCAAAATCAAAATCAAAATTAAAACCAAATTCGAAACTCGACATTCAAAACTCAAAACGAGTCAGGGTGCGCACTTCATAACTCGGTAGGGGTTAATCCGGGTCAGGATGAAAATGGTGAGAGGAAGCGCCACGAATGCATGGATGCCAAATCCAATGAGGATGGTTCCAACGTACAGGCCCAGGCTCTTCAGCAGCGCGGTGATGTTGCAGGCCTTGAGAATAGTCTGCGCTATCAGCGAGGCAATTCCCACGGGAGTGCAGTAAATCACCAGGTAGATCTGTGCCCACACAACAGAACTGAGCCACAAGAGAATAATTAAACGCTTTTCCTGCCAGAAGCAAGGTGCGTCTGCAGACAAGCTGCAGTAAAGGCTGCCAAATCCTGCCCCTTGATGGACTCGCCAGATCCAAGCAAGACCCAATCAATCGTGGGCACGGTGCTCAGCATTTTATACCACCACCTGCCAGTTGGGGCCAAGAGAGAATGCAACCACGAAGACAGAGCGAGCGCCCATGAAGGGAGGAAGGGCTGCCTTGCATGTGAAACAAGGTGTATCAAAATGCCCCCCAAAATTAAATCATGCAAATAAACCACGAGGTGCGTTCCAGATATGATATGACCCTGGTCAGTTTGCTTGTGCAAATACCTCCCCGCCCAGCAGCACTGATGATCACTTGATGATCCCTGAAATGAAAGCTTCGAGGGATCAAAAGCTTTAAAGTCCAAGAATGCTACTTTGCCAATTTATGCATGTCATCAAAGGAGCTGATGGCATGCAGGGGCAAATAGATCGGCCTTATCGACCAACAAAACAGCCCTGAACTTGGTCATCGGTAAAACAGCAAGATACAATATGGAACAGGGGCAGAGCTTGTTGATTGTGGGCTTTGAGAAGATTTCTTCTGCTGGCAAAAAAGTCACCACAACCTTCGAGGCCTGGAATCTCAGTGATTCCCCTGACTAGGGAATGGTGGCCAGTTGATCAAGCGAACCTGAACCAAATCTACCACCTCCAACCCTTAAATCTCACAGCTTCCAGATGCACTTTACAACGTACTAGCTTTTCGTATGTAAGGGGCCGTGATTAATTGAGTCAGAGTAATCAGTCACGCACCATGGCCATGATGGCGTCATTGGCGATCTCGATGATGCGGATGAATGGCTCGGCGGGGGGTCCCAGGCTGTTGAGGATGACGGCCAGCACGATGGCAAACATGATAACTCCCAGGTACTGCGCAGGGGGCACACCCAAACAGTTACTAAGAGTGATGCAGACTTTCGAGGAGGAAGAGGAAGGCAGGCCAGCGGTCATGGCATAGTATGCTTGTTAGGTCCTCATACCCAGTGCTGCAGGCATCTTTTAGGCAAGTGGGATTCTTATGCTCATCCATGCGCTGAATGGTGTACACACCAATTTTCCATTTGAACTTTGAAGGTGGTCTCGCGCCAGCCCTGACCCTACCCATTAGCTTCTGATCCGTGGCTGTTGTGAAAGTGATAGCTTGTGAGAGTACCATGTCTTGGCTCGGCAGAAGAGCTCACCTGCGAAGTCGCTGCGGCCATGATGATGTTCTTTGGCACAAGCTGGCGTCCGATGTCCAGCAGAGACTCGACTGTTCCTCCCTGTGTGGTCGGTGCCGTCCTGATCAGGCAACAGACATTAGTCAGCCTCACCTGACCTCCGACTCAGCACACATCATTGGCCTGGAAGGCAGCATGCAAAAAGCCTTTCAAGCTCAGAGCATGCGGCAGGACTCTGCGGACAGATAATGAAAACGCATCCTCTCCAGCCGTAATTTATTAGCACCACGTGCCCGAAGACTTGCAGAGTAGACTAAAAGTCATGCCTCCATTCCAGACAGACAGCAGGAATTCCAGACATTATTCTATCAAAGTATCAAACTGCCAGACACCAAACTATCAAGACAGACCAAGCTGCAGTCCAGTGTGCAGCGTGTTAAAGCAGACCAAGTCTGTCCGGCCATGCGGGGAGAAATTGGAAAATTGGCCTGCTTTGGTCCTAAATATGAACGCTCAGTGTGTCACAGCTAGGCGGCAAGGGGAGGAATGGGCAGGGGGTGACTCACGCGATCTTATCCACGACTGACGACTGTGTTGAGCATTTGTTGTTGCCGCTGGCAAAGGGTTGGTCCCTGCCAGGACGGATGGCGAAGCTCAGCGCAATACCTGCAGCCCAGCAATCTTTACTCACAAACGGTCTCCCATGAATATTTGTGGTAGGACTTTTGTCGCCGCAGAATATAGGCAATGTGCATGCATGCATGACTCGCTCGTCAGCATTCCGCGCACTCCGAACTGCATGTAGAGCTCTTGCAAGGCTGCAGAAGTCAGAGTCGTGATTTAGCTTTCTACCTATGAGCAAATACGAGGCTTTTTGGCCTCGCGCTCGCGGGGTGATTTGCCTTGCTTAGTCGCTTCCATGACAAGACGTTGAATCTATTTTGAACAGGTGCTGCTGCTCATGTTGCCATGCATTGTGCCAAGGGCGGTGTACATGTGCCAAGAAGGCTGTCTGGCGTGCAACTTGAAGCCTCTTAAAATAGTTAATGAGTAAAAATTGTGTGCAGGGTGGAGAATGCTGCGCACCGATTATGACAGCCAGGACCATGGACAGGAGATAGTAGCAGAGTGACCAGGTCGTGATGCGACCAGTCCTGCATTGCAAACACACACAACACTCAATACACAACTCCTTTGATACAGGCACTCTCTGCATGCTTTTCATTCTCTGAAGGCTTGGTTCGCTGTAATTCGAAGATGGGTAAGCCTGCGATACATTGGTGGACTCAAGCATAATGGTAGTGCAGACCCCACAGAGCTCTAACACACAAATATAAGGAGACACTTGGGCGGTGTGTCATTGCATACTAGGGCTGCCACTGGACAGTGCTCATGCTCTGCAGAAAGCTTGACTTGCTCAGGCTTCCTTTTGTGTACTTTATGTGCACATTCCCATGGAGATGAACGGAGAGCTCCTTCTATATTGGCGCTATGCAGATGCATGCTAGGGCTGCCACTGCAGAGTTGTGCAACCTCTACGGAAAAATTTGCTTGCGAATATTCCCTCCTGTATGTCTGCGAATGCTTCATTTGTGTCAAGAAGAGCGGCGTACCCTGTGGTTGTGTGACGCAGGTTGAGGACTCCAGTCATCAGGGCTAGCACGATCAGAGGCAGCACCAGCTCCTGGAGCGCATTGATGAGCAATTCACCGGGGTAACCTGCACGATTCGTTACATTTGGTTTCAGTTAGTTGAAGGTTGAGTCTGGATCCCACTCAAAATCATGGGCTCGACGATGTTGGCAAACCCCAGAATGGATGCAAGGGCCAGGTCCACGGGAGCGGCCAGGACACAGCAAGGAAAAGGGGGCTTTGTTTGCAGCGAGAAACTCGAGGCTCTCATGTTTGTCAGCCGGATGAGCAGGTATGCATTGCGGAATCTGATTGCAGCCAGGACTTGTCAATGGCCATTTCGCACCGATAATTTCAATCGCCAGCTTGCTAGGGTGGACGGAGTACAGCCCCGCGCCCAGCGCGATGCCGACAACCACACCTCCCAACGTCCAGAACACCAGCATCTTCTTCCGGAACGCGAAGGCCTTGAACTTGGCCCAGCCGCTCTTGGGCGGTGGGGTTTCGCGTATCGCTACCTTTTCTTCGGGGGCCATGTCCACGCTGTGCTTGGCATCCATGGCGGATCGATCTTGTCGTATAGTCTTGAAACCAGCTCACTGTGCCGAACAGGAGCCTCGGCAAGCCCAAAGCTTATCACGTGGATCTGTTACGAGGGTGCACGTGAAAGCGTGGCCCGAAAGGGAATGCTTTTAGCCTCCTTCGAAGCTACCGCCGTACCCAAAGATCAGTTTGATGTGCACGATCGGGATTGCACGCCGACTACAGATTTTCTTTGCAGAGCAGCAGCATTGGGATATTTAGCGCATGAGTACTGCCCTCCCAAACACTTAATGACATCCACCCTTATATTCTAATAAACAGGGGTCGCGCAAGATCGGGTCCAGTTGCATACTCATCACGGAAGGAGACGTTGCTGACAGATCCAAGAGACAGGAAGCACATAAACATAAGTTACGCAAACTTTACAGTTGTTACTGTGATGAGCATAACATCCTCCTCATTTCTGGCCGGATCCTTGTCGAGAAGTCTCTGCAGCAGTCCACCGGCATCTCGTTCCTCTCTAGTATTCTCAACGCAGCCGCGGTTCTCTAAATTCGTCTTGGCGGCCACTGCTATCTCGGTACTTGCCTCATCTAGAACTATGGCGAGCGCTGCAGAAGGAACATGCGCAAATCCGGGTGGCCCAGTGCCATCCACCATCCAGACCATGGCCACAGACATCCTACAGGTGTGGCCGTATGTCCCCCATTACATTCAAAGTGCTTTGTTAACATATTGAAAGAATTAGACCCTATTTGGAGACCGTGTTTACTGAAGTGCAAATGCCTACTGATATTCAGATGTACAAGACCAAGTCTGCAGAGGAGCAAGCAGCGATCATCCAGAAGCACTACAGGTTTGTTTTCAACCCCAAAGAAAATCTAAATATGAATTTTTAAACCTCAAATCATCCTCTCGAGACCAAATGGCACACTGGATATGAACAGCTTCTTCCAGGGAGGAAGCTGCTGCATCTGAACACCACCAATAAGTTTTCGAGGAACATAAAGCTGTCCTTTGTACTGTACAAAGTGTGATGAGATTTTCTTAGCCGTAATCGTCCGATATTTCGAGTTTAGAATCTCTGCATGCTTAACGCAGGCAGGATGCGCGGTTTGTGGACCCTCTAATGGACGTGGGAACTCCCCGGGAGGTCAACCTGGCCTTCATTTCGCTCATCAAGCTCTTCAAGAGCATCGACATGGAGCAGAAATCTCTGACCTGGTCCACGCCGCCTGTGGCGTTGCCTTCTGGCGTCCAGCCTGGCGACCTGCTGCAGGTGCGCCGAGTCACAGCACCTATATCATCTCTCTTTACTGCTTCCTGCCTGCTCCCTTGCCTTTTGCAGCTGCTATACCACTACTGTTTTCTTGCAGACTCCATCTCGCATGGCTATCAGAGAATCGCTGGCCAGTCATTTGCATTGCGCTGACTCAATGCGGTGTTAAGTGTCATGACCGCACATAATGAACAAACCTAATACATGTTTGCAGTACGTACCTAGATCTTAGATCCCTAGGTACTGGAATTATAGCTATTGGAATCATAATTATAAAACTGTGCTGTAAAGGCATGCTCAGCATCTTGAGTTGCTGCAGAGGGCTGCAGAGCAGCACAGCAGCCAGTATATGCAATATATGCACTTTTAGCTGGCCAATCTGCGGTATCAAGGCTCCATCGCCGTTGAGAAGGAGCAGAGCCGGAGCAGAGGATGACAGTCATGTGCTGTACAGTGACTCTGGTGTCTAAATCAGAGTCAATGCCACCGTGGCAGACCAGCAACCTATGAAAGCGCTCTGCTGGTGGCTGCTGGTGTATCTAGCATTTTGTGATCGTCACACAAGAGGATATGGGACCTGGCATCATCTATTTCAATTTGTCCTTGTACCAATTCCTGAATTATGGGATTGGTTCGAATTCATGCATGTGCAGGTGCTGCTGAACAACCGGCAGGTGTACCACACTTCACTGGCCACCATCGATCTGGACGTGAACACCTACCTCACCATCGACCCCAAGGTGCACCCTTCACGCCAGTCCAATTGCTGATTAAGAAGATAAATAAGTTGAAATCATTTGGAAGGCAGAAAGTGGGAGAGCGGGCTTTGATGGGAGAGAGCCCTGGAAGGGTTGATTGCTGCAATGATGAGTGCGTGTGCTGTATGCGTGATGCATGCATAGGCAGAGAAAGCAGCACAAAGGCGGCGTGAGTCTAGATCTGCACATCTGAGTCTCTGAGCTACTGCATTTGGTCCTGATCATACTAGGATCAAAGCAGTGCATGTCTCTGTCTTGCACAGATGGCCTGCATATTCTCCGTGAGGCATGTTCCTTGGTCAGGTCCCTGTTTTGCACAGATGGCCAGTATCTGTCTCTGTGAGTGATCATAAAGTGTGAAATTGCAATATTACGTGTGAAATTACAGTGAAATTTTCTGCGTCTGACATTGTGCTGTGTGGTGTGTGCAGACGGGGCTCATTGTGAAGCACGAGGATCGGTGGAACAACAAGGGTTTCAGGATGCCAGGGTTCCTAAAGAAACCCAACGGGGCCTTTACAAGCTCCATCTTCAAGCTCATTGGCTGGGGCCGCCAGGTGGACAAGGCCGGGCAGGGAGCCAAGACAGGCACCCAATGACAAATGCACAATATCCATTACAACAAGTTGTAGCCTGGCATGTGCTGTTCTGCGTCCCTTCAAATATTATCTCATCTTCAGGGGGAGCACCTTTCTAGGAGCTGGTTTGGACATCGAGCATCAAACCTTCCTAAGGAGGACTCCTCAATGGGGTTTGACATGAGCTCCTTGTCTGAATAATTGTGGAGGATACGCAAGGAGCGAGCACCTTGTGTGCATATCGGCCACGCATGCTCTTGCAGAATAAGTGGATGTAAGCGGATACAGATATGCCGATCGCGATGTGCCACCGAATCACATTTACAGAATACTAGTGATCACAGAGTCCATGAATGGTCCATGCATGGTGTCTCGGACTGGACTACTGTTCCAGCAGTTGTACCGGTACGAATGCTTTTACCTCTAAACCCAAATTCTTCCAAAAGTTCTGAGCTCGCCAGATCTGGTGGGATAAAATCCGGATGCATCCAGGAAGCCTGAGATCGGCCTGCCGCTCACATGCAGAGCTAAAAGATCCAACCAGTAATGAAGAGCAAAAGCCTGCTGTGTTCATGCCTCCATACCGCCACACCCTCTCTTCTGGTGCACTTTAGAGCGCAGAAATGTCTGCAGCAAGTACATGGAAAGCAGAACGAGCAGCTCTCCAGTTCCCACAGCACAAAAATCCTTGCAACCCCAAGGGAAACCCCCCGCAGACAGAACTGCTAATGATCACGGCTGGCCCCCAAAGCAGAGCTGCAGCATTAGCAAAGGGGACGCCTTCCCACCCAGAAGTGGCTGCAGCCGTGGCCGGGTTCCCCCCAGCCGCCGCCCCTTTGCTCTCCTTTGCGTGAGCTCACCAGAGAAACAAGAGACAGCTCTGCATTATCACGCGCAGCAATGCAGCTGCCGCGACGGCTTCAAAGCTCTATCTGTAGCGGGGGGCGCCGTACTGGGGGGCCGCGTAGGCAGGGGGCGCACCCCCCGCCAGCAGCGGCTGTAGCTGTGGCGGGGGTCCCCCCGGCCTCTCCTTCGGGGGGTTCTCCCGGATCTGGCGGCTCACCGGCACCAGCGCCCTCGCCAGCGCATCTATCGCGCCGCTGATCCTGCAACGGCGGAATGGACATTCAAACAACCGTTTTGGGGCGTCAGTTCTTGCTCATCAGTTGAGGACTCTTCTTTGCAGGCACGTCCTAGAAGTCATCAAAGCCTGAGACAGGCAGCTGCAACCCTATCGCTGTACGTTCAAGGCACAGCAACAAACGCACGCCACACATTTGTAGGAAGAGCAGCAAGTGTGTTCTTCCAGCAATCAAAGCAAAGTCTTGCCCGGCAAAGTGGAGACATTTAAAATAAATTCAGCCAGTCCATCAGTCAGGCAGGCGGAGGGCAGGGTGGAGCAAAGAACGGAGGGATGACTCACTGCACGACGCGATCGTTACTAAGCCCGCACGGCGGCAGGTCCTCGGCCGGCAGGATCTTGATGTGCGCGCCCGACGCCTCCCTGATCTCTTTTATGATCGCCCCCGCCCTGCGGGGGTGAGCGAGAAAACGACCCTATCAGCCAAGTGCCGGTACTGTCCCTGATCCCAAACTTGTCCATCTATAATGCTAAACTACACATTTAGCTCATCTGGAAGGTCCATAGGTATCCATAAGTGCTGCCTGTCGTATCGTGCAACACAGTAAAATGAAACCGAGAAGCATGAGGGACAGATGCACAGCATATTCACATATAGGAAGGCAGCTTCGGCCTGCACTCTCGATGCAAAAGCATGTGAACACCCGTCCAGACAATACACTTTCAAATTAATGCTCACAGCAAAGACCCAGGGATTTATGGGTGACTGCTACGCAATGGAGATTACCCAAACGCAAATGCATTTGGAGTGCAAGGCTGAGCGGGCGCACTCACTTGCCGATGAGGCAGCCGGCCTGCGTGTGGCAGACGAGCATGCGCGTGGTCGCGTTGGCCGGCGGTGGGTGAGGGCCCTCCTCATGCTCGTGCACGCGCGCATGCACCTTGAAAAGCGCCTCCTGCAGGGCCAGATCACACATGTGAAAATAGTCGCCAGCAATTTTGAGCTGATTACCTGTGTCTGACAGCTGGCGGAGCAGCTCCCAATTCGGCCAGCAGTTGCATGCACCATGTACAGCGCCTGCTGCTGGGATGTGCAAGACACATCAAGACAGCTGCCAGCTTCTGCGCTAACCTTCCTGTCCGGTATCCATTAAAACGCATGGCATGCATGCATGGATGCATGGCAGGAAAATGCACAAGTGGTGTGGCTCGGGGTGAGCCATGCGGCGTTGCTTGGACCGACCCCTGACAGTCGTCGGTGAGGGTGACTGAGAGGTGACTAAAGGGTGACTAATGACTCACCTGCGCGGCGTCGGTGTGGCGGGCGGCGTCGGAGCGCGCGGAGATGACGATGACTCGCTCGTCGCAGTTGGGCACGCCTTCAACCACACGGATGCGCGCCCCCGTCTCGTCGCGGATTGCCTTCACTATCGTGCCGGCCTTGCCGATCACGCTGCCCACCTGCAAGGAACGGCGCTCCCTCTATGGTCTCAGGTGGATTTCATAGTCCGCAACCGAGCTCGCAATCTTTGGTTCTGCTATTGCGTCCGCCCCACTGGTCAAGGTGCCCACATGTAGCATGCAGCGCACCCTCAGGAATGCACAGTGGTGGATTGCTGGTCCAAGCAGCAGTACAACGTTCAAGGGGCTGCCAACTGTAGAGTCAGCTCTCGGCGTTGACGAAGATAGTAAAGCACTGATAACAACAAGCTACTGCACCCATGTTGCCGTATGGCAAAGTACATGCCGGCTAAAGTCACAGGCCTTGCCCCCATGATGGCCTCTGAACCCTTGCATCAGCAATACTAGAAGCTGATGAACATCTAATAAACTTCGCGAGCTGGCTGCAGCTAGAAGAGCTGAAGGAGGCGACGCCGCGCACCTTCTTGGACTGGACGAGCAGGCGGTACACGGTCTCGGTCTGCGGGCCCTCAGCCGCGCCTATGGCCTGCCGCTTGGCATCGGGGGGTCCGTCCCTATCATCGTACCGCCGCTTGCTGCCTGCCGCTTGCGGGCTGTACGGGCCCGCCTCCGGGCCTGAAAAGGCGCACGAATTGGAACGCACTGTCAGGGGCAGTTGAGGGACTGCGTGTGATTGCTTGTGATGTCTGTGCCTGAGGGCTTAACATCTCTACGGGTCGAAGGATGTGAGAGATTTCTTACCAAACACTCAGGGATTCTGGCCCCGTGATGCGCAATGACCACAGTGTAACGCATGTGCCTCTTGCGAAACGGTGTTGTGGTTGACTTGCTGTGACGCACTGATTCAGTGGTGGACCGAGGATGTTGAACTCCTCAACACAGAAGCTCAAGCAGAGCAAAGCAACACCTGCTGGTGGCGCTTGGTATTGCGGCTGTGGCTGGTAGGGGGGTCCCTGTTGGGGAGGTGGGCCACCGAGGTCCTGCTGTGGGGCTGCGTAGGGGGCCGGCTGCACTCCTGCGGGGGGGTACTGCTGGGGAGGCGCGTAGGACGGCTGGCCTGGCTCGCCTTTCGGTGCGTACTGCTGTGCCATGTCCCTGCTGCAGCACTGGAGCGTGCCTCAGCAAAGGTGGGGTTGAGGCCGAACCAATCTATGGGGATGGGAGGTTCTGCAAGAATAATTCTATGCCATGATGGACCCTTTGATTTGGATGCTAATCTATTCATCGCCTAGCATATGGCTTCAACAACTGTTGCATTTCACGATGCACAATAATGGAGGTCCAGCTGTTGTACCACTCCGCCTCAAGACATGACAGAAGCTTGCTTGCATGATTCTCACACAATATTTTTCCCTCGAGCTCGCATCAAAAAGTTGTTCATCACAGGATCTCACCTGAAAGGGACAGTGCAGGGTCAAAGAGTTGCCCCGCCTTCGCACTCTGATTCGCTGCCTACGCTCTGGATGCCTGCTGATAGACTTTAATGTACGAAAGCTGTGCAGTTGTTGCGGAAAGCTAGCATCTGTCTGATGGTCAGGAGGGTCTGGCCACTCGCGTGATTGTTCGTCACCGCCGATGGGCCGCCGTTAAACTGTTCCAGCAGAAAAACTTCGTCGCAGCACTTCAGCCAACTCTGCAGCTCACTGCTAGTGCTTAATCATTGATACCCTTGTGATCACCGCGTGTAACTCTTGAAACGTCACAAAGGGAAAGTATATTTCTAGTGTTAGTAGAGCCCGTAGCTCAAAGTATAGGCAATACTTCTGATTGAACTTGCTTATCTCTAACCAAAAATCACATTTTATCATGGGTGATGAGGAAGTGCCAGTGCCGCCTCAATACACAACGGGGCCTGTCACAGACTTCCGAAACGCAGCTCTAGGACCAGTGGGCTACAAGATGTGCAGGAAGAGGAAGATGCAGGAGTACCAGGAGCAGGTGAATATCCCTCTGTATCATTGAATCTCCCTGCCTGCGTGCATTTTGCGATGACTAGGCATCGCTGCAAGCGATGCTGTGTGCACCTGGTGGACTAGCGATCCTGAGAGCAAGACTTGAAGACCGGACTGCACTGCTTGTATGGCTAGGTGGATCTGGAGGAAGCACAGATGGACGAGACAGAGGAGGTGACGATCGCAGCAGCCCCTGCAAAGAGGCTCAAGCTGAACACAGTCGGCGTGGGCAAGGTGCGGCCCCAACTTTCTGACACAACCAATCAAGGATATTTTGGATTGCTCTGTCTTTAGGCTCTTGCCTCCATGCTGCATTATGCAACCCAGCAGCCACATTGCCTGGCTTTCTATGGTGCCCCGTGTATCTCAACAGCGCGCAGCTCTCAGCCCGAGCTGAACACTGATTTCTCTATCCCTATGGCATGCCCCGGCTGGCGGGGGTAAGCGGTATAGTTAGTGATCACCATGCCCACGGTTGACCGAGTGTTAGTTGGATATGGCGAGTCCATCAAGGGGTACGGTGTGCGGCAGCCTGTACATGCCGCTTTTCTGCAACATCACCCTGCCTCGTGCATGATCAGCGTGTAACATCACTCATACTACTTGTTATCACTTTTCATAGACCTGTTGGGGGCCACCTGAGGCTATTCTGTCCATGTTCGTAACACAGAATTCTGATGCGTCTCCACTCTGTCAAGATATCGGCAGCCCCGATGCCCTGTCCTGGCTGAAAACTAGAGTGGTCCGCACATAGTATTGAATCCCTAGTCTCTACTCTTCATTCATCGTTAAAGTTGGTGTTGTTTTGAGCTCCCAGTCCTGGTTTTGCAGCTCTATTTGGATTTCGGCAGGCCATATCTCTTTGGTCCCCTTTTCTCAGGTGCTTCTCTAGATTGAGCGGACTAAATAACAAGGCATGTCCGGCTGCTCTGCAGACATCGGGGAGAGGCTGGAAGGAGGCAGGCGAGAGGGCAGGCAGTTTGCGCAACCCGCTGCTGTCAACTTCCTGGGAGAAGAAAATGGCTGACAAGGCGGCAGCGCAGCAGTTCAAGGCAGTCAAGAAGGCGGCCGTGGATGCGCACAAGGAGAAGAAGCAGGTGCAAATGTCTGGCAGATCATTTTATTGATGAAAGGTGCAGTCTATTGATTGTTTGTATTGGGCCTCAAGGTGCCAGCTTGGCCTGCTAAGCACCTGTTGGGATAACCAGGAATTAAAAGATAGGCCTAGCTCGGCCAGAGGGGCACTCAGTCTTCAATTTCGAGACATAATTTTGGTGCCACTACCGTATGCAGATGCCTTTATTCTCGGCCACAGTCAGATTTGTGTGGCCCTTGGTCTGTTGGTATGTGCATTCTTAGATCAAGTTTAACGGTTGTGATAATAGATTGTCTTTCTTCTCTCGATTTGCAATTTTCTTTCCCGGGCTGGCCCAGTGTGCCAGCTCAGCTCAGCCAGCGCAAGCTGCTTGCATGCGTGGCCACATGCAGCATGCACAGGATGCAAGACTGAACTTTGTACTGTTCAAATATAGTGACGCTCTGTTGTGTTGTGTGCAGAAACTGCGCACTCAGAGGGAGGCCAACCTGAAGAGGAAGGAGGAGAACAGGAGGAAGAGCCTGGTGACTCAGAAGATCAGTAACCCGGCAACGCTCAAGCGCATGCTCAAGAGCAAGAAGGACCGCAAGAAGCTCATGACCGCAGACACCCTCAAGAGCGTCTGATTGCATAGCAACAATAGATTTCAGCCATTAGAGATAAATAACACACTACCACAGATACAGAACATTGGAGACATCTAGGCAGAGCATCCTAGAGAGGAAGAGTGTCTTGCATGCTTGCAACGTAAGTGCACATCATGCAACAATAAAAAAAATGATTCCCCGGCCAAGGAGCCCTTTAGGTGAAGTAGGCAAGAGGATATCCTATCGTTGATGAAAAGAGAAAGGTGCTGTGCCACAATAGAACTTTCATTTTTTCACTTCGTGTTTTACATAGTTTTGATGAGGAAAAATGGCATCTCTGGCCCTCCAGAGTGCTTTCTTTACAAGGACTATACTGTGGCAAGGTAGCAAATGATTCGATGTATTTATTCAGAACATGCATCAAGCGAGAAAGGAAAGGCAAGCACCTGCAGTATGAAATCTGGCGCTCCAGTGGGAAGCTGCACGGCAGCTTCAGGGCCACGCTGTTGGCGCAGGTGGGCCGCCAGCTGGAGCATGATTCCCAGCACAAACAGGCGCCGCAGGGGAAGCTGACCCGGCAGCTGCCGCGGCTTGGTGGCAGCCCCTGTTTCACCTGCCCAACCCAGACCTCGATTTTACCACAGCCGCCTTGCGTATCTTGTAAGAGCTCTCCCACCGTGGGAGACCTAGGTGACCTAGAAGTCCCTTACAGACCTCAGGGTCCAAAATATTACACAATAAATTGCAGTGAAGAAAACAGGGGGGGGCCTGTTCATCAACATGAGGAAAATGATATTGTCTGGGCATCAGATTGTGATACTTATCTCCTTTGTCTGTCCACCATGTATTTTTCATATTCGCAGATGTCTCTGCGCATACGAATGGGATTTTGATTGACAGTCTAGGAATTGTCATGGTGCATAAAAGGAATATCTGCAATCCTAGGCCCAGGTGGGAGCACGTAGGCACCGATCAGGGAGAGAAACATGAATCTGCCAAGAGGTCATGCGATACTCTGTGTAGTAAAGCAGCAGTGGGGCACCTGGCTTCAGGCATGGGATGCTTGGAACGCATGCCCTGGCGTGCACTGCAGTGCACGCTAGGTGCACCATTAGCGATGGGAACTCTGCGGAGGGAACGCAGCGGTCCAGGCGCCCATGCCTGTGCTACGCCCGACACCGGCAGCGCATCTTCCAGCACCTGCGATACCAAACTAAGCTCACGATTTGAATAGATTCCTAGAACTGAAATGTACATCCTAAATTTACCAAATAAATCTCCTGCCAGTGCTGTGAGAGTGTCTGCAAATTGACATCTGGCAGGAGTTCAGCACCGCGGGCATACATGCCCACAAAGAGCAGCACAGCATCTTTCCACTGCGCCACACAAACAACTGGAGTAAAATAAAAAAATCCGAATTACGAAGTGCGCGGCTGCTTGATAACAATGACCAGCAGGTGCTCCATTATGTCAAAATCCTTGCAGGGTGGAAGCAGAACTCAAAAAGCGGGAATACCGTCTACTGCGTACATTCCAGCTTCCAAACAGTCTGATCATTCAAGCAAGATGTATCCACTCAAGGGAAGGCAATTACCGCTCAGATTGACGGCAGTTCGGGTAGACTCCATCGGATGAACCATGCACAAAAGCGCGGATTGGGACCTGGCGCAGGCCCCTCAGCTTAGCCCTGTGCATGGGCCATTCCATGCCGCCTGTGCACCTTTTCTTTCATCACTGATGAATCACCCCGCCGCGCCTGCTCCGGTGGTGTCCAGAAAGCCGGCTGACAGAGCGCCATTAGCAGCAACATCCTCGCAGCCGCTTGCGCCCAATTGTGACAGTCACCGCAAGATTGCGATGCAAGACTTGCCGCCCACAAGAACCACTCGGGTCCGAATCATGGCATCACCACGTGCATGACCCCCCCTGGCAACGTACATGCCATCACCCTTTGAACCCCATGGTTCCAGGGGAAATTGAGAAAGCCTGCTCCATCCCATGTTGTGTTGATGCTGCACTGCTGGCACTAGCACCCGATGACCCAGAGCGAGTCTAGCAAGTTATTGAGGCAATCACAGATGGGTCTTGGCGTGACAGATATGTTTGGCTGACAATTGTCTACCCAGGCAAGGCTCCCTGGAGCGCGCTTGCACTGTTTGCCTTGCACACCACAAAATCATCAAGGGAAATTATGTTCCCAAAGGTGCCGGTACCCAATGCAACGAAGGTTGTTGTGGACAGGGTCAGCGTGTCCACGATGCAAGAATTGCCCTGGTCGGCAAAGAACACTCTGGCGGGGCTGCCGCCGGGGGGACCAACAGGGGTGTTGAGAGGGAAGCTGTTGCTCTGGCAAGTGGGTTGTGGCGCGGTGGCCAGCACTCCAGTCACGTTTATAGAGATACTCTGGCGAAACGCTCAACCTACGCCATTGATGTAGGCAGAGACAGCCACGTATGCGCCGCCGGTCAAAATGTTGCTGTCAGTAGCCACCAAGGCCTGTTGGGTTGGCGGCAGAACCGGGGGCCCACTCGGCGGATTAAACCTGCCCTGAAGAGCTGCCGCCCCGGACTGAATCTCCGCAAAGGTCTCTGTGCTCGGGGAAACAATACTCATGCACCTACACCTGGTTGATGCCTGAGAAAAACAAGCCGTCATAGGTGAAAGGGTTTATAATAACCGTCCCGGTAAGCTCCTCAAATCCCAGATTTATGGGGGCGGCCGTGCAATCTTGGTACAGACCTGCATAAGAGCCCACATCAGATATCAATGAAATAATTCTTGCCAACTGTCAACAAGGGAAACATTTGTGCCATCCAAGGTAGCAAAAGTAGCTGTAAAAGACTGTTATTAGATTCGTGTAGGTTACTAAATTTAAGGATGTCACGACTTCACAGCTGATGGAATTCAATAAAAGTTTTTTCAACATGAAGAGGATTGTTCTGCAGAGCACAATTTGCCAAAGTTGGGCTTCTGTTCATTCGCAAGTCATAATAACGAGTCACACACCGGACCCCAACGCGCCAATTTTGTAATTAGCCAACCTTAGGAAACCGGAGGCCAGCCTGGCAGGCGGGACATTGACACGCTGGAAAGGAGGATCATTCACTTTCAACGCTGAAAAATTGCAGTTCAAGTGTCACCATAATATGGAAAGATCTCACACATTCAGGACGCGCTTCACAGCCTATAATCTGTTTGGCTGATCAGCCAACTTGAAGTAGCTACTAGCCAGCCAGCCGCTGTCACTGGCCGCAGCAGGCGCCATGGCTAGCAGTAAGCGCTCTACTGGCAGCCTGATCAGATTCCGTCATATATATGTCCCTTTTTACCACGCCAGAGTCATCATAGTCTGAGAACTGGCAGTGTGCAATGTCCAAGGCTAAAAATACATGCATGTTGCCAGCTAAAGGAGCCGGCTTACTAATAAGTAATGCAAAACCTGTTTCTATGGTCTTGTGTAAAATTGCGGCAGCGCTAGCTAGCCGATTACCAAGGGAAGCATAGTATGCTCAGCATGCTCTTGCAAGTAAGTACAAGTTCTCTGTATACTTATCATCTGTACTTATTTGCAGTACCCATTTTCCATCCTTCTCCTTGATCAAGCCCATGCCATGCACTTTACTGCGGTGGCCCAGCTGTGGCTCTGGAATATTTGTGCAAGGCTTCAAGCAATTGCAAGATATTCCATGAAGCCAATTGAAAGCCTTGGCGCAGACTGTTTGGAAAGCATTCCAATGACATATGGAACCCAGTCAGTTTCCAGAGCCACCCTTTTGGCCCAGCAGAGCCCGTTGTTGGGGCCAGCACGCTGCAGTTGAGATTTTAAAAAAGATTATTGTGCAGGCTCAGATGCCTTCCTGTGTAGGTGATTACGGTCCAATAAGAGCTGTGTACTTCCCAGCCACAGCAGGCGGGCAGGTCTTGTGGGTCCACAGCTCAAGAGCATGCTTCTTCTCAACAACCCCCTGGCTGCAAGGTGCCGCTAGACTATATCTGCTAGCAGCCATCTGCACCGCCAGAGAGCATGAGCTAGGCTGTATCACATAAATGCATTTGTGGTGTTTCCAGGTTGAGAAGGACGTGAACAAGGCGATCGGCGTGATAGAAGAGGTGGAGACTGAGATAGTGCGCAAGAAGGAGGTGCGCACAGAAACAGTATCTTAGAACAGGGCGTTTGGGCCTCATTCTTGTTGACTTGGGCCCCAATGGGCCAGAAAAGCTAGTTGCCAGCGTCTCTTGCCTTCATGGCAGACAAGCGTGAGACTCTTTGACTGCTTCCTGTGAAGCTAGGGGAATCTGGTTCAGCATGGTGTGTAGATTCCCCTGAAGCAACAAAGGGGTAGGCGCGTACTTACATTGTCAGTGGGCATAGGACACACCAAGCCCTTATGGTGGCCGAGCCAGCCTTTCCTGCAGCATGCGTGCCTGCTGTCGCCATGAATCACTCTTAAGCTTCATGAGGCCGATGTCCGACACAAAATTTCTATCCAATGCACAAAGCGTTTGGTTTTCGTGGCGCAGGTTTCGCGGCGGGTGAAAGGGCTGCAGGAGGCAATAAGCGCCACCAAGCATGACGACGGGCAGCTGACAGCCGAGTAGCAGCGGCGCCGATGAAAGAAAGGGGAAATAACCTGGTGGTGCAGGCGCTGCATGCGTTCCTACAGGCTGCTCTGCGCCCACCCTCCGCAAGAATGAACTTTCAAAAATCTTATGCCTTCTGAGGAGTTCTGCAGGCCTACCTTGGTCTGGCTGCTTCACTTCTAAAGTCGTATGTCATATAAGTGTGACGACCCCCATTTAGATGCTGAAGCACCATCATCACATCAAAAGAAGGTCCTGCTGTTGATTGCGTTGTTAGGGTCAGCAACACCATCATTGTTGCCATCCCTGAATTTAGTCAAATTGTGAGGCTTACAATTTACAATGTCTCACATATATGTGTATATATATTTCTGTTTACCACCACCAGTAGCCACTCAAATGTCAAGCTTGAGAACATTCAGAAACCACCGGTGCCTTGCACGTGTTGGTGGGCTCCTGGCTTCAATGCTAATAGTCTGGCCGAATTCACAGGTGTGCGCTCCTCACTGTGAATTTGGGGTCACCTTGCAAGAATATTCGTTGCATAAACAATATGCAAACACCCTGCACATTGCTTTTTACTCCATGTGTGGGCTGTCTCATTGATTCAATCAAAACACGCGCATGGCAAATCTGCCCCATTGACAGGTCATCTAATTCTTGAGGGTGGGTCCAGAGAATTAAAACATTACAGATTAATCTGCGGTAGGGGCCATCGATGAAGCAATTATCCCCGACAGCAGCAATCACAGGGGACTACATATTCTTGCAATGATCACGATATTGACTAGAGGCCCCTGCAACCACATCAATATTTGCATTTGCACTGCTGCACCAGCATCTGGCACACTAATATGATATTACTATTATGTGCCATATATGCATGCACCTATGGCAGAATATGAGCTACTGCACTGCCACCGGTAGCAGCACTACAAAACTGGTATTCGCACCGCTTAACGCTAGCTTCCGGGGTTCGAGCTCGCGCTCTCAAGTTCTCTCACTGCCCCTCTTTGAACACTCAACCAGGCGATTGAATTGATGTGCCGGACAGACCAACACGTTGATCTGTATAATGTTCCAAAATTTTTAAGCTTGCCGTTAGCGGCCTGCCAGTAAACAAGAAAAAAATGTTTCCAGTTCTGTCATGCTCTCGGATACATGAGCAAAATAGAAGCGGATCTGGGACACCTCATGGTCATCAAGAGCGCAAGCAAACTGTGCCTCTTCTTGAAAAATGCAGTGCGATCTCTGATTCTGCAAAATTTCCTCAGAAGGAGATGAACAAAACAGGAGCCTGCACAATCGGACTTTCTGTCCTGACGCACGTCTGTTCAAAAGTCTGTGCAGCTGCTCTGGTTATTTCTGCTAGTCTCGAGGTGGTCTGTTGCTCTGCATTCGCTATAATGATCTAGGCTGATTGTTCTCTCTGAGTGCATCACTTTGTCAGGAAATTCTGTCTCTCTCCCTCTCTCGCGCTCCCTACGCACTGTGCCGAGAGTGCATGCAAAGCGCAAATAATTTGCGTTATCTAAGCAATTATTGCCTGCCGCCCTTGAGACTCACCCTTTCAGCTGCTTCTGCTGTGGCTTAAATCTGTATGTGGCGCTCAGCTGGTATCGCCCACACCCCTTGAGTTGTTTGGGCTTGGGCTCAAGCTCTGCCTCTTCTTCGGTACACACTATCCGCGCTGCCAAATTGCTGGCAATGATCAGAGCTATTCTGAACCTCAGCCTTGAAAATCTGCCCCCTCAAACGCTCCTTCTGCCTCTGCTGTAGCTGCACCTCTTGATGTGAGCACTTCGCCGCTATCGCCTGCCACTCTTGAATTGTTTGGGCTTGGGCTCGGGAACTACCGCATCTTCGGTGCCCACGATCTGCGCTGCTAAACTGCTGGCAATGATCAGAGCCATTGTGAACCTCACTCTTAAAAATCCGCCCCCTCGATGCTCCTTCTGCCTCTGCTGTAGCTGCAGCTCTTGATGTGAGCACTTAGCCGCTATCGCCTGCCAGTCTTGAGTTGTTTGGGCTTGGGCTCGGGCTCGGGAACTACCGCTTCTTCGGTGCCCACGATCTGCGCTGCTAAACTGCTGGCAATGATCAGAGCTGCGCCCACCCATCCGAGGCTGCCCCACCGCTCCCCTAGCACCACATAGGCCAGGCCTGCGCCTAAGACTGGCTCCATCGTGTAGATGATGGCTGCATCTGTGGAAGACACATCGTGCAACGCCACCACCTGAGCACACAGGCAAGCAAGACCTCTCAAAAACTCTGGTGAGGTGCGACCAGGATTTTGATGTTCTTCCAGATGCATGCTGGGCACACGCTGCATTGGCTGGCTCTATCTCAGGTCAAAGACAGCATCACTTGCTGCAATGGGTCCTATATTGTGTGTTCCTAATCCAAGTTGTCTTATGGCATATTAGATTGACCCCGGAGCTGATCTGACAAGGGCAACCAAGCACAGATCCTTGGAAAGTGGCCCTCCTGTGTGGACCACTGAATGCACGCTCTGACGCAGGTTGGATTATCTTCCCATCTCTTGTCTTTCAGGCCTCAAAAGTAACAGATTGCCCCGTAATCCGAGCCATGGCAAGCTTCCAGCACCGCGCCTGAGATGTCACGTGAAATATTGTCCCGCCTAGAGAACATCTGGGCACTAAAGGCCCGAGATTTACAAACGCAAAACGTCTAAGGTCAGACTGTCTGGCGAAGTGCACTTTGGGAGGTCAGAACCCACCTCGATCATGAGCACTGCGTCGGTGGACATGAGCCCTGTGTACATGATCTGCCACCAAGGAATCCCCCCTTGGACCATCGCATGCACCTGGGCTGGCAGCGCCAGCAGATTCTGTACCGCCTGCAGTAAGACCACAGACCACTGTGAGGACTAGATTGAGTGATCAAATTTAGCAAAATATATTATAACCTTTAGAGACCTTTTGGGAGCCACCTGAGGCTCATTGGTCTTGTAGGCAGTCTGTCACTGCCCATCAAGGTGGTGCAGAACCAAATAGCTATAGCTCAGGGAAGCTTCTCCTAATCATCAGATAGCACAGCCTGACTCGATGCATCATTTCAAAACCCACAGCCCAAGCACTACAGGACTCAAGTTTATCGGTTTCTGGAGGCAGCGGCCTTTTTGCCATGTGCAAGGTGGCACCATTTGCGAAACTTGGTCCTGCTGAGCCATGACTCATCCCATGACACTCATTGCGATTCATGCCATCCCAGCAGGACCCAGGTTACCAAATGACGTCATCTTGAGGCACTGGAAATCAAAGCCATGACAGCAAATGAAACAGTTTAGATGGAAGTGCACATCTGCAAAAACATAAGGGCTTGTGCTGCCATGACTCTCAACACATCACTGCAGCACAGCAACACAACAATAATACAGACGTTACTTGTCCACATACAATACTCATGACTGCTGATTACCTGAGGGTGAGTCACGGCCGCGGCGACCAGAGAAGTGCCGGCGACGGTGGTGAGCGCTGCGGCCATCAGCGGAAGAACGGCGTTCTTATTTAGGCGACGGCTGATGATCTCAGTCCGGAACACCTGCAGAATCAATACACTTCATCGTGTGTCCTCCAAAAACAGTGTAATCTGAGCTTGGGCGGACTGTGGCAGACTGGTCAACAAGGTCAAATTTGCTCAAACGCCCGTGTGTCAGGGACAAGCAGTTACTGGTGCCAGTACGGCAATATGCATCCACTCAACCAGCACATGCACGGGTCTTCCACTCGACCGAGTTCCCTTGTTGCATGGGTCCATTTCAGCGAACAACCTCTGGGGGGAGGATCATCAGGCAGAGCATGCCAGATATTGATGCGGGTGGCATGCGAAAGGACAGAGTGTAGCTTTGAGCCCTCATGCCTCTTTTCCTTCCCCAATGCTCGCGGCATGACACACCTCCTCTGCCTGTCCTCCACCCCAGAAACACAGCACACCAAGACAGGCCTCCTCTACCCATCTTCAAGCCCAAACAACGTGCACCAATACCCATCCCCTTCCTCTTGTGTCTATACTCCAGCCAAGAAGAATCTGAAGATATGCCCACCTGCACGCCGAAGAAGATAGCGCTTGCGAGGCTCCATGCGTCCCCTTGAGTTGGGTTGAAGGCTCCGCCCTTCTCCACGAGCAGAGCCACCCCCAGAAGAGTCATGAGCGCTGAGAAGTAGGTGAGCGGCTTCACGTGCGCCTTCCCGGAAGCTCCCGCCAGCATAGGGACCACCAGCACCTGCGCGGAAGGTGGCCCGCGCATTTAAACATGTGGCATCACAGCAAGTTGTGACAGAGCTCTACCCTGGATATGACTGCTTGTGGAAAGGGTGCAGCAATTCCTCCTGCCACAGGAGAAAAAGTCCCTTCAGACAGGTGATTCTGCTGACAGGCAGCATCTTCGCGAGTGATAAGTACATTCCAGTGACATTGTTGCCCAGGAAAAAAATAGCAAGCACTCTCTAGCTGGAACCTTGTGTGCTGCAAGGGGCGTGCATGTGTCTATACGTGGTCCATATACGGTAGAGTGACAGTGAGGACAATTTGAAGACTCACTGTGAAGGTTGAGATGAACGAAGCGCGAGAGGCGTCTGTGGTGATCAGACCTTGCGCCTGCGTGAGATACCCTGCGTGAATACACTTGTCAGCTTCGCCTGGCATACTTCTTCAACAGAAAGCGAGATACTTCCTCTGAACACCAAGGACATGCATGCAGAGCATAGTGCCAGGCAACGGGAGAACGCTCTTGCACTACTTGTGATGCAAAGGATCGCAGCTCACCTAGGGCCATCCAGAAGCCCAGCTCGAGGCCACCCCGCCGTATGAGCTTGGAGGTGAGCGCCTTTTTCAGGAAAGGCGAAAACGCGAGCGCGGCCACTGTGAACCTGATGCAAGCACCCAGCACAATTGAGCCATCGCATATAAGAGAGAGAGTAGTACTTGGTTCCATGACATGATGTTGGAGGTAGAATGCCTGCAAAATCTGTGTCCATGCATGTCGGCCCAGGAACCTAAGAGACAGGGTGTCCAGCTCGTGAGCAGTGACACAAACAGTACAACTCGCTGCATCTTCCAGGCCTATAAGTTGAGAAAGGAAGCAATAGAGATGCGCAGCGCACATGACAATCCATGGCAATGCTGTTGATGTGCCTATGCATGCAGCACTAGCGGCACCAAAAGGCCGAGTGGCCAACTTACAAATGAAGTGTGCAAGGGCCAATAATATGTACCTGAACAGAGCGAAGATAAAGGGGTCGAAGGAGTGCTCGCAGTCCTTGACCACTACCCAGTTGCTGGCACACAGGACAACCTGAGCGGTACAAGAACAGCAATTTTGATGCCTCTCTTACAGGACAAGAGCATCTGTACTGGGGATAAGAGAAGAACAGCGAGCCCATGCAAAAAAAATACCAGCTGTATGCAATTAGGAAGCTACAGAGGATACAGCCAGGAAGCTACATACTTGATGAGGTCAGATGCAAGTGACTCTGGGCCTTCCCAGCAGCAAGGACTAGCAGGGCGGGACCTCACCAGGAGGTTCAGAAGCACAAGTCCCTTTCCCCGTGGCGTCCACGATCGAAAGTCCAGGGTCTTTCTGAGCTGCTGCACTGCTGCCCAGGCAATCTGCTTCTGCACCTGGCCCTGTGTCTGCACGGCCGCCTCAATTGCGGGCTCAATCTTTTGAACTGCCTGCTTCGTGCGTTCCAGTTGTCTCCTGGAGTAGTAAACCAGGCCCTTCCTGAATCGAATATTACTGAGCTGTTGCTGCCTGCGCCTCGGTCTGACACAGCACGTGAACCGATCTGCCTCCAGCCCAACGCGCGCCATCCTGTTCAGATTCCATCCGACGCTGGAATCCGCAGGGGCTGACTTTCTGAACAAGGAATGCTGCATGGTGTCTGACGAGGAAGCTACCGCAGGGCGGCAGCGGCTACCAAAACGTCTTATCGCCGAGCTGCCTCGAACTCATCCCCGACGCAAATTGCCGTTCCCGACCCACGAGCTCGACCAGTGCACTCCTTTTCTACGAAAACGCAAGCCAGTTGGATTGTACTGCGAGAGATGCTTGCCTGCGCGGACAGCGAGGTTAAAATCTTTTGGCCAGCTCAGCCGAGCAAATCTAGTGACTATTTGACAAGTACCCTTTTCCATTCCCTCTAATTATCAAGTTGTAGAGAACCCCCTCCCTTGCCTCTTGTGCAAGCGAGGAAGTCCCCATCCAGCTCTGCTTTGCAACAGGATTGAGACATCGAAACATTTGCAAATACATAAGAAAGGAGGAACGGAAGTTCTGGCGTCCAAGAACAGGGGCAGCGCGCAAGTCAGTGGGAGATCACTAGTTGCTTGTGAGGGATTCTTGGGAGCACCGACTGTTCCAAACTTCCTGAGATAATAAAAAGACGTATCAGACATGGATCTGTCGACAGGGACCCCTACAGATCCATTCTACCTTGTCAAAGATGACATCCAAGCCTCGGTGAGTGCCTCGCACTTGAGAATGTGCTTGAAACCGTGCTATTCTTTCCTTGCATGGCAGCATTACTGCTTTTTATGGTTTTCCGACTCCATGACTGACGTCAATGAATGGTTCCCAATTTTGCTGAGTTGCACCTGACAGCAAGTTGACCAGCTTTGACTTCCCTAGCAGTGCAGGCATCCCGTGCATCTGCGCAGCAACTGTATGTCTGTTATGCAGTACCTTGTCTAAACAATTGCCAGACGTGTCTGAAGTCTCATAGGTATTTCGCTGAACCATCAAGGTTGTTGATGCAGCTGGAGAAAGCAAAGTCTCAGCATGCCAGGTGGCAGTCTCTGGGGAAGACGAATCCAGACAAAAAGCGGCTGGAGAGCGAGATCGAGGATGAGTGCAAGAGCATAGCCTGGCAGGCGCGTCCCAGCCCAAATATACTTTTATTCTTCAGCACTGCACCAATGCTGTGACTCAGTGGTAGCAATGTGGGGAATAGACTATGCCTTCCTGATGCTTTCTTTGCGAGCTTCAAATGAAGCTCTCACCGCCGTACCAATCACATGAAGGGCTTTGCTTGATGACTTGTCACACGGACGAAAACTTGCTAACCGCGACCAGGAGGCCCCGGCTTCACAGAATGCCGCATGCTGAGTCACCTTTCAATGATGCTGAGTCACCCGGGCGCAGGTGGACGAAATGGAGAAGGCGGTGGACGTGGCAGAGAAGAACATGGCGCGATTCGGGCTGTCGCAGGCGGAGATCAGCGGGCGGCGGAAATGGGTGCTGCAGACGCGGCGGCAGGTGCGCGCACATGCTTGATGACAGAATCATGGGTGATCAGAACATGCTGGAGCTGAGCTCCATTTTGAACCCCTTGTAGCTCTGAAAACTGGCTCAGAAGATGTTACACCACTGGGCGGTGCTGCGTCATGCAACGAGAGCAGTCAACCAAGCATGCCCCTTTTCTTTTGGCCGCAGTGTCGGCAGGTTATGGGCTTGCTGAAGGGATGATATTAGAACATTGCAATGTTCCTGCCTGTGGCTCCAGTCGAGCAACATCCAGGATTTGCGTAAACCCTTTTCTTTCCCCGCAGTGTGAGGGGGTGATGCGCTCGTTGGAGGCTCAGCACAGCGTGTCACTGAGTGTGGGGGACCCGGGCACGCCAACGGGCAAACTGGGCAGCGCGATTGGGCTGGAGAACGACCGCTACATCAACTCGGAAGGGGACCGGCAACAGCTGCTGCTCAGGTGCGGGGACAGTTTTAGTCAGACCCAAGTTGACCTGGCTAGCAGGGGGCGGGTATTGATATTGAGCGTCGTGCCTATGATTGATTGGAACTGGCGAGTCCATCAGGAGGTGCACTGGCGAATATTTTTAAGTGCTTGAGGACAGGATGTGAACCAGCACTCAGGGTGAAGGACGACAATACTGCATTTGGCATGCCCAGTGAGAGAACTGGGGAATCTGATCAAAACAAACTTTGCCCGCTGCAGGGAAATATGCTGGCTTTTGTGATTGTGTGCATCGTGCACTGGCGCACAGACTTGGCAATTAAGGCCTTAGTCAGATTTGCTGTGGTTATCAACTTAACTTAAAACCCTTAACAACCTTAGCTATAAACATTATAATGCCAGAAATGCCTGTTAAATTGGGGTTGGAGACTTAACAAGGTCTCTTAACAAGGTTATTAAGGGTTCCTTAATAATTGAGCAATTTAAGGGCTGCCATCCCTGCTGGCGCAGGCAGCAGGACGATGAGCTGGATCAGCTGGGGCAGCATGTGGAGAAATTAGGGGGCTTGGGGCGGGAAATTCATGGGGAGCTTGAATCCCAGAGCCGCATGCTGGACGAGTTGGATGAAGAAGTGGAGACTACACACCACAGGTGATCTTTTGAACCCACCATGCACTGCTCTACACCCGGGAAAAACGCCTCACTTGGACTTAGACTTTTAGTATGACTCCATATGGGCTGCAGACCAGACCTTCAGGCCCCACAGATGTGGCTGCAGACACTCTGTGTGTATGCCTACGGCCTTTGGGCTTTGGGTTTTGCCGACACTGTAATTATATTAATAATTATAACACCTGAAATGGCGGGCGACGGAAACAATCAGTCTGCTGCAATACAGGATGCAGCAGACTGCTGCACTGAGAAACAAAATAACTTGCTGCACAAAGCACAGATTTTGTTGGTGGTGACCATGGTGAGCGCTCGAAGGGAGCGTTTCCTTGAAGGAGGGCTTGAGCTGGGCCTCTTTCGTGGTGTTTTTGTTCCAGTATCTATCGGGAGAAGCTTGGATGTCATTCCACCCCAAGTTGAGGGTACACTGGCACTGCCCTCAGCAGTGACATCATGTTGTGTAACATGATGTGCCCATGCAATGACGCCTCAAGTGTGAGCCATGAAAGCAATTGATAGCTAGTGCAGGCCAGGTCAGGAGTAAGGCAGAGCACTGTCACAAACCTGCAAATGCATGCCAGCAGAGCCTTTAGGAAGGACATGACATGGATGTCTTTTCTGTGGCAGGTTGGCGGCCGCGCAGAAAAAGATGAACAATGTGCTGAAAAAGATGGGCATGCGCGGGCAGCTGTGCCTTATAGTCTTCTTGATTGCAATTCTTGTGCTCTTGCTTGTGCTTATATTCTCGTGAATCATGGGCAGGAAAAATGTCATCGCTTCTTTCTTATGTCCTCCTTGGACACAATATGCAATGTATCTGCTGTCGAGTCTGTGACCTACGCAGGACCTGTATACAAAGAGCAAGAGGCCTCCAGATTATTTGGTCAGGCTCTAGGGAGGCGGACTTGTAAGACCTGAGTTTGGTTTGGCAATCAAACGTACACTGCACACAGCCCGGGCCCGGTCACATTTATTTTGACTATGAGACATGATCAAGATCATCAAGACGACTCCCAACTTAGTGCAACAGTGCATGGTGCGTTGCTTTCCAGCTCTCACTGAGGCTGGCAGGCAGGATGATTCCGAAAACCATTGCGATCCCTGAGATAAGTGTCGGCATCGGACAGACTTCAAGCTTGTCTTAAGTCGGAAGAGTTGCCAGGGGGTTCTATATCTAATTCCCTGGCATGCATGGGCATGGCATATGCCTCGTAAGGGTGTTTGCGAAAGGGTGTTTGCAAGTTGCACATGTTGTGTGACACTTACTCTGCACAATGCGTACACATGCTTCTTGACAAGAAGTTTTTCTGGATGCGCGTTCTGGCATAAGCCTGCAGACGAGTGTCAAATCACTGTGCAGCTGATCTGACGTCAAAAGGCATTTGCAAATAGCAGGGTTCCGTCTGAACACCCCTGGGTGAAACCCCAAAGCTAGGTCTCAGTAAGGGGGTACTACTGAAAACCTTTAGTACCCCCGGTAATATCGCACCTCGAGGGCGTGCGCTCACAAAATGCGCGAATTCGGAAGAGCACGAAGGTTCAATTCGCTATCTAGTCGACTTCCCGGGCAACTGCCAACAATTTGTGAATGTCAATGGCTGAGCCCGGCACAAGGACTACCGCAGTGCGGCATCGTACGTCTGCAGACAAGCTCAGCATGCTGCCAGCAGGCTGACATGCAGTGCATGTCAAGGCTGCCAACTTTGCTCACAAGGTAAATCATTAGTATGGCACAGGCCAGGCTGCAAGTTGCTATATCATTGCAATTCCGAACTGAGTCAATCTCGAATAGCAATGAAAATTCTCATTTTTGCAAATTTGCAAAAGGCATTAATATTCATGCTGGCGCCGCACTCTGCGGCAATGATGCAAATGCCATATGCAGTGTTTGTGTCTCGGTGTGACAAATATGTCTGGCTGACAAAAACTGAAGTCTGGCTGACAAAACGTCTACCCAGGTAGGGCTCCCTGGAGCGCGCTTGCGCTGTTTGCCTTGCACACCACAAAATCATCGAGGGAAATTCTGGCTTCCACCAAGGCGTTAGGGCCGAAGTTTGTTGTGAACAGGGTCAGCGTGTCCACGATGCAAGGATTGCCTGGGTTGGCAAAGAACACTCTGGCGGGGCTGCCGCCGGGGGGACCAACAGGGGTGAGGAGAGGGAAGCTGTTGCTCTGGCAAGTGGGCTGTGGCGCGGTGGCCAGCACTCCAGTCGTGGTAGTATAGATACTCGAGCGGCCATTGCCAATGGCATTGAGGTAGGCAGGGACGGCCACGTATGCGCCGCCGGTCAAAATGTTGCCGTCAGTAGCAACCAAGATCTGGGTTGAAAATCTAACACCCCCCGTCCGGCGGCCTTCATAGGTGCCCTCAAGAGCTGCCGCCCCGGACTGAATCTCTGCAAACGTCTCGGTGCTCGGGGTAACTATCTGAAAAAATGCAGTTGAGTCTTGGTTGGTGGCTGAGAAAGACAAGCCGTCATAGGTGAAAGGGTTTCCAATAACTCTCCCGGTAAGCTCCTCAAATCCCAGATTTATGGGGGCGGCCGCGCAATCTTGGTACAGACCTGCATAAGAGCCCACACCAGATATGAATGAAATAGTTCCTAGGATCACTGAGCAACTGCCAACAAGGAAAAACATTTGAGCCATTCAAGATAGCAATATTAGCTGCGAAAGACTGCTAGCAGTGCTTGTGTGCAGGCTTTAGGCTGGATGATGACAAATTAAGGTTCCTGAACTACTATGGCCCCGGCTGGCGGGGGCCAGTACAAATACTGAGCACCGTGCCCACGGGTCATTGGGTCTTGCTTGGATCTGGCGAGTCCAACAAGGGGCAGGAATTTGGCAGCCTTTACATGCAGCTTGTCTGCGAACGCACCTTGCCTTCGGCAGGAAAACTTTTGCTTGAAGCGCGTTATAATAATAATAATAATAATAATAATAATAATAACTACTTTCAAGACTTTTTAGGCACTATTGATACGTCACATGATTCATGTAAGATAGGAAATTCAAGGATGTCATGACTTCACCAGCTGATGACATTCAATGAAAATTTCTGCAATGCTCAAGCAAGTATCCCATGTATTTACATGCATCGTCTTCAACATCCTGGGAATTGATGCATGTAATATCTTAAGCACGCACCTTGCCCTTGGCAGGAAAACATTTGATTATAACAATAATAATGATGAAAACTTTTCATTGAATATGATATGAAGGAGGTCCTCGAGGGCGCACCGCACTGGGAGTAGTTGGAAGGTGTGCTGAAGCAGAGGCCGTTTGTTCCAAAGCAGACAGTGTCCACACTTGTTGACGTGCACGCGCATGTGACGGGGTCGGTGCAGAGATCACCACTCGTGCTGGTAGGGCCTAAGCCGTTGCACAGGTTGGGGCCCAGGACGTCATAGCAGGTGGGAACTGCACACAACCAGAGACATCTTAGGATCCATGATTTCTTTGACCCTACTCTTAACCCTGAACTCTAAACCCTCCCCAGGGCTTGAATGTGGATAATATTATCTTATAGCGTTTGAGATCCTCTAAAGTGATGTTGATGATAGACGTTGTGTTCGTACTGGATCTTGGTGGGTGAACCCAAGGGGAGCTCCTTGATGAGGGTGCTACGAGTGAGAGGATAAAGTCACTGTACGGCGTACTACGCTGTACAACGTTGTGACAATTACTGAATTTAGTACTTACACCCTACTATTTTCGAGCCCACTGAATATGATATGGATGTTGCGTGACTGCGACTGAGTATGTGACTCAGAGTCAAACACACCGTCAGACATACGGGGTGGATTATAATACTTAGTAGTCACTTAGTATTTGGCATGACGAAATATGTCTAATAATACAACTTGTAGATTCGGATGACCCACCTAACGTGCTAGTACTAGTGGGGGTTGGTGTGGAGGTTGGTATGTCGGGTGTAGTACTGCTTGGCACTGCAAGGCACAAAAGTGTCAGCACTGCTATGGCATAATGCCCCTATCTCAAAGTTGTCTCATATATAAATATATTCAGCAGATAGCACATACTTTGCATGCATAAAGGGATAGATTTGACTCAATCACATCACCTAGAAGACACTCCTTTAATCCAAGGGCACCATATGCTGATGCATCTCAATGATTTGTGAATTTATTCATGGGTTCCATTTGAAGTCCTACGATGCCTGGCATCATGCACGATTATGAGGCCACTGCTATCATCTAATTTGTGCCACAGTGTGAGACTGTATACACATTTCAGCCTATCAAGACGTGAACTTCAGGTTGGACCTGGACCTCGAGTTGGATTTGCCATGCAAAACTCAGTTCCTATAGAAGGAAGTGGCTCACATGAGGGAGTAGCTGGAGGTGGCGTGCTACCGGCCATGCTGCTGGTAACTGGAAGCACCAAAGATTCCTTTATCATCACATCATATACAAATGCAATCTATATGATATAATAATCTTAGTTGAGTTACTCACTGCTAGTGTTAAAGGTAGCAAGTTAAGAGCGCTCAAAGCAATGAACAAAAAGTAAACCCAGACTGCACTTGTTCACTGATTGGCAATCAAGAGTGAGATCTCCTAGGAGCTCCCTCGAGGCAGCTAACATGCACCGCACTCAACACTTTTGTGACAGCTCGTTGAACGCGAATTGAATGTATTCGTTTAGTTTTGTCTGTAAGGTAATGTTGCGGACAATATGACATCTGAGTCAGTGGTAACAAGTCACCATTGGGGCACTAAAAAAGTAAGACAATTGATCAACATGAGGTTTACCTTGGGGGTTTGTTGTGGAGCTAGGAAGGGGTGTTGACGTGCCGTTTGGAATCATCGTGACTGTGCACATGCAAAGGCACAACTCAACTTGCTATATAGTGCCACGGTGCAGTTGACTCACATTACTAACGTCATAGTATCACATTAAAAAATACGCTCCTGAGCTATGCCATAGGCTATTTAGGTACCGCACCATAGTGACTTTCAAAGTTTGAAATACCAATAGCCAACACATCAATGGGAAATAGAACATCGTCATGTATTGCTGAGAAACTCCATTGATGACTTTTCAGATTGAGTCATTGGCAAACACTGCGCAATGACGCATCATGACACACCTCTCGGAGCCGTCACAGGTCCAACAATAGTACCCGTCAAGGGGCGTCATGTCGACTCACGGTGATTGACTGGCAAGCTCTTGACGCCATCAGAGCTCAAAGTTACTCAACATTTTTTATCAAAAGAACAAAAGCTGTGAATCACCTGAAATATTGGTTGGTGGTGGGAGTGTGACCATCGGCGTAGGGGTAGCTTGAGGCTTGAACTTATTGAGCTTCAGCTTCAAGTCAAGCTTCTTTTTGCCTATACACACCAGCCACAGATCTTTCCAGAATAAAATAGGCTGTGCCAAGAAACAAAAGAGAGATCAAGCGTGGAGCTCCCGTCCTACCTTCAAATGCAGCCAATGTCTCATTGACCATGGCCTTCAGCTCCTCATCCACCGGAGCGATTACATCCAGAAGGTCTTGGGGCAATGTCTCGTTGACCACAGTTTTCATGGCTTCCTTGCCAGCTGTGACTAAATCCAGCTTGGTGGCCTTCAGCCAGAAGGAAAGCCACAAAGTGAGTCAGGTACAACGTGAATCTCAGTGTTGTCCTTTTGGCAGCCTCACTCACCCTATGAGAATCAAGCGCTCCCAAAAGGCAGGGATAGCTGGTAAATAAGTGGAAGACATGTGATTTGAAAACTTGTCATTCTTGATAGACACTGTCCAACAAGTTTTGCCCAGACACGACAAAACCGTCAAGCAAGGACGTTCTTTGGGACCACAGCCACGAAATAATAAAGGTCAGTATCAAAGCACGAACATAATTTCGAAGGTCCATGAATACTCACTTTAGCGCAACTCTGGAGTCCTGCAAGCGGAAACACACGAGACCTCAGATTGGGCGAGAAGGACTTGCTGCAACAGGCAGTAACAGGCCTCCAAGAGCATTTCTTACGCCTTAAGCCACCCAGACAATGACGCATGCACTGTAAGCCTTACTTTGGGTGCACTGACAACGTTTCCTAGAACGAAATGCCATCCACCAAATATGACTCACAGGCAAGCTAGCGCGAGGATGTAGGATAACGTGGAACGGACTGCGCTCAGGATGAACAGGAGCTTACCGATGCATATGGCACAGAATAGCAGGAGCTGCAGACGGGTAGGGTGGCTGCAAGCCATGAGCACCCGCGCTCACTGTCCGGTCTGTGTAACACCAAATGGTGCGCTGTGGCAGAGGACAGGGCTCCTCGAAAAGGACTTCGTCGTTCCCTTGACGTGAAAAGATTGCTCTGCTAAGCACAAATTACAAAAGTTGGGCTTCTGTTCATCCGCAAGTTATAGTGAGTCACATGCCGTCAACCCAACGCGCCAATTTTGTCATAAGCCAACTTAGGAAACCGGAGGCCAGCCTAGCAGGCGGGACATTGGCACGCTGGAAAGGAGGATTATTCACGTTCTATGGTTTAAAAAATTGCAGTTCAAGTGTCACCATAGTAATGGAAAGATCTCACACATTCAAAGCGCGCCGCACAGCCTTTTAGTCTGATTGGCTGATCAGCCAACTAGCTAGCCAGCCAGCCGCTGTCACACTGTGACAGGCCGACGGCTGCCAGCTGCCAGCGTCAGTGACGGTCACGGGCCGCAGCAGTCGCCATGTTGGCTAGCAGTAAAGCCTTGACTGGCAGCCTGATCGAACTCCGTCATTTATATGTCCTTTGTACCACGCCAGAGTCCTCATAATCTGAATGCTGGCAGTGTGCAATGTCCAAGGCTACAAAGTACAAGGGCAACATGCTGATCGGACAAGGACGAGGAATCAAGAACCTGGGTGAAGATTCAACTTTTAAGCTGACATGGAGTACATTGAATGGAGCCTGCTATATCATATATGACACTCACCGTATCGATGCAAAGTGTGTATGCATGAAGAAGAAGGACATAGACAACAAAGGTAATTTTCCCACAGCAGCCTTCATCCAGTGAAGCAAGCTGTTTTCCGCAGAGGATGCCAGCTAGCATGTGTACCCCCAACCTGCACATGCTGCTGTGCCGCCTATTCGACCAAGTGACCGCGCACGGTTGCGTGGACAACCTGGAGCTCTGGGTGGAGCGCTGCATCCAGTACCTGAAGGCCAGCCTGAAGTTCCGCATCACCAGCCTCAGAGTGTTTCACATTAGTACTGATATAGTGGTTGCTAGTAGTCTTATTCAAGCCTTACAATTGCAAGGGAAACAAACAGAGGGCCCGGCAAGCAGCTGCAGCCTCAATCTAGTCACATTTGAGAAACCAACATACCAGTAGTTCGCAAACAACTTGTTTGAAACGCTTCAGGCCGTACAATCCAGTCCTATTCTTGAAGCCACTCGGGGTCAGAAAATGTGAACTCAACGTTGATTGGCGAGGGCACTGGCAATCTGACTACCCATAGTCCCACCGCACAGACAAGCAAGGCCCACGCAGCCATTTCATCGGTAGAGCGACTCATTCTTGAGGTTGGCTGCTATCTCAGTCTCCCACCGGTCCCCATTCTCCAGCAGCTTCTGCTTGTCGTACAACAGCTCCTGCAGCAGCACAGCCAGGTGTGACTCAGAATGCACTTTCTTGGGTGTCCAGACAGAGCCAAATATATGTTGTCACGCCTACCGTCACATTCTGATATCCTGCTCAAAAATCCACGAATGATGCCCACCCGAGTGGGAGTCAATCAAAATCACTGCCACTTCATGCACACACCTACTGCAGCCCTGCCTGTTCCTGCACTCCATAAAGCACTGCACCTGTTGAGACTGTGCCAGGGTTCCACACTCCTACATGCTGACAATACCATGGTCTGGCCCAATGACCATTTCATGCCACCTTTCCCCTCCATCCACATACAGCCTCCAAACCAGTGTAACGACGGGCACAAAAAGGGTACCCTTGCTGGTTGTTAATCTGCCTTACATTCCTGCCGACCTGGACCTTTCTATTGAGTATGTGACTGATGGCTACCCAAGGATGACTAAGGGTGAGTAAGCCTCACCTCGTGCGTCTCGGTGACAAACTCAAAGTTGGGCCCCTCCACGATGGCGTCGACAGGGCACGCCTCCTGACAGAAGCCGCAGTAGATGCACTTAGTCATGTCGATGTCATAGCGCGTCGTGCGGCGGCTGCCGTCCTCGCGTTCTTCCGCCTCGATCGTAATCGCCTGCGCCGGGCACACCTGCGCGCATGTGCCAGCACGGTGACAAATTCGTCGACTAATCAGCAAGGAGAAGGTGCAGATCAGGAGCAGGCAGCTGGCCAGCTGTGGACTGGGCATGCATGTGTTGATGTGATTTGCCCAGTCACATGATCTCCAAAATGACACTACCTCACCTGCAGCTGCGACAAACGAGAAATATGCGCGGAAAAAAATGCATCCTAGAGAGATGCTGGGCATCCTAGGGAGATATAGGACGCGCCACGCTTAGCAGACAGCACAAGAACATCCTGATGCCAGTAGTCTCCCGTGCGCGGCAGGGCCTAGCATTGCAAGCCAGAGTGCTGCAGAAGCTAGCCCAAACCAGGTAACCTTTCTGAACTGTGTGCAGGCGGCACTCAGAGCAGCGAGTTCCCTTCCACGTGATATGCAGTCATGCATGGACACTTATTCCACAGCAGAAAACCCTGAGCTCACCGCTTCGCAGAGCTTGCAGGCGATGCAGCGCTCCTCTCCTGTGGGGTACCGCCTCAGTACGTGCTCCCCCCTGAACCGCGGGCTGATCGGGCCCTTCTCAAAGGGGTAGTTGATCTGCGGGGAAGGTCATGCAAAGGGTCAGCCACACAAGTGTGCGTGACAGGCCCTTTACTGTGACGTGCTGGTGATACTCACAATGTCTCCCCACGCAAGAACACCACGTCCCCAAGAACGACTGAACGGACATGGGCAACCCCACAAGGACCATTCGAAAGACTGCAGTCCGGCACGTTCTAAACACAGTGCCAGCCTCCAATTGCAGCAAATCACTGCCAGTGAAGGTAGACGGTGCAGCTCTCTAGAATACTTGAAGAGCTTGTGTAAAGTGTCATGCTGGCATTTCTGAAGCCATACACATGCGCACCGTGACTTTCTTGTCGAAGAAGGCCTTGAGTGTGAGGTTGAGGCCGCGGAACATCTCTGTCAGGAACAGAGTCTGTGCGCTCTCATCCAGGATGCCAGCTATGTCCTTGGGCACCTCACGCTGCGCTGGGTCGCCCACCCTCTTCGTCTCTGCGAGGAGAATAATCGAGTTTTAATCTCACGATAAAAACACTGCACTGAAGACTTCACAGGAAAGCGCCTGTACAGAGGTCCCTAGACACATGAAAATATGTGGACGATGCTCGATGTCCACAACAACATCAAGCCCTACTGTACAAGAAGGACAACTGCGAGCAGCATGGGAAGGTGAACGATGAGCACTGCTGCCAGAAAGCCTGAGTTGCTGTTATCAGCCTGCCAGCATCTTGTATGTGACCGAGATATATGTGGGACAGCTGATGCCATTTCATTATTGACCAGAATACGTCATTGATCCTACAATGCTTCCTAAGTGCCAGACGGCGGCAGCAACGACAGTCCATAGGGAGGCAAACCCCTGAGCACTTAGAAGAATATAATCTCAGGGAGAAGGGAAATTCCTGCACTCACCTTTCTCTGAAACGACTGCAAAGGATCTTTGGAACGCGGGTAAGGCTGCGCTGCTGCATGGCGCGGCTGTGAGGCGCGAGCCCAGGCTTTGCCCTATCTGCCTGAGCATCGCAAGCAGCTGCCTTTGCTCACCTCCTCTTCTCGATCAACAGCTTGTTAAAACACTAGATTTCCTCTTCCAAATAGTCCTCAGCACACACGATGCCGCTTTCCTGCAAAAACTTTGGCCCAAAGGTAGCAATATCAGTGATGCCAGCGTGGCTTACTGATTGCGCATGTGGCTGGCCAGCTGGTCTGCAGACGCGGTCGGGCGTTCCTGACCACGCTGGGTTTTCAAACCGCACCTGTCGCGACCTGTCACGGACAAACGGTCGGATCCTGCTCGTTGCATGCAGATCTCATGATTGACTGTATCCCGTGTGCGAGAGCGTGAGTTCTTGTGCAGTAGCTGGTGTATTGCAAGCGCCAGAAGCAGGCGCTCTGGTCTTCCTTGAAAGAGGGTGTTGGTGCCTAGAAGGTGTGGGCCCTCCAGAGCTTGCATTGATGATAGCAGAGATGCTTGATGTGCATATGTGACGAGTCCTTGATGTGTCATCAAAGTGCTGAAGTGAGGCTAGCTTGGACCTGGACATTAAGCTCTGTACCATCCAGGCCTTGTTTACAGCAAAGACAGAAGTGTTTTCTTCGAGTCTAGGAACTGCCTGTTTCAATAGACAAACCCAATCCGATGCCCGCTCGAAGAAAATGTCGCCATCTGCATCGCCATAGCGATGTTGTCATGTGGCCTGCTACAGGCCCCCTGCTGTTGCAGTGCAGCGCAGCTTAGATCGACCAGATTTCCAAGTGACTCTGTGATTTATTCCATGGAACAATGGTGTACCTTGCGCAGCCTTGTACTCTATTTGCAACCTGAAACGAAACCTTTCTGGCTGCAGGATTGGTGTGACCATGGTGCAAGTGAAGAACCCAGCAGGCCTGTGCGTGGATGTGTCTGCAGCCAGCCACGAAGCCCCCGATGTGGCATGCACCCCGAAGACCCCCACAAGCTCGTAAGCACTCCCTGCCGAGCTGTCTGTGCTCCCTCGCTCTTGCTGCAGCATCCACCCAGCTTCCCAGACATCCTGCCAGGTCCTGTAGATTTCCATTCGAAGGAGTGGCTCTGTGCAGACTGCAGGCTACTGGGGCTTAAAAATAGACCAAATGTTCATGAGCAAAGCATAAGTGTGAATGTTATATGTCATAAAGAAGCATGTATGGCTCTAATATCCCCCAACTGAGTTACATGGGGGGTGGTTGTGTAACAGGGTCCTGAGGAATGCGAATGGCAGGCCCAGCATCACTCCACGAGACACCAAGTCCTCTCGCCTGCGCAAGTCCCTGGTGAGTCAGCCTCACTCAGCAATCACAGAGCAGACGGCTGCGATCGAGAAGCGTCTGTATGCTTGCTTACACCAATCACAAACCGCACTGTACCATGTTTCAGGAATGCATCCTTGCACAGTGTTTGCGATTGCACACAACCGAGCAAAGACACCACTGCCATCAGCAATCAGGATGTTTTGTGGAGGTGTCCTCGCAAAAGTGAGCCTGCACCTTGTCCAGCAGCTGCTGGCTCTTCTCATGCCCTTCTGGCCAGCATGACCTCAGAAATGCTGCCGGCCTCACCCTGGGCACTTTTGGGGTGCGGCTTGGGCTCTGAAGATATTACATCTGTGGCCCCGGCTGGCGGAACCACTCAACACCATGCCTGGGGGCTGAAAAGGCTATTGCTCCGTTCTGCGAAGCCCATCAAGGAGTTTGGCTTGCACGCAGCCTTCGGCGCAGATGGCCTGCAGACAAACATGATCTCAGCTGGCAGGAACAGCATGCATATGAGTATGAATAATATGTGACTAACCCCAAGCTAATATCTGCTGGGGCGCAGGGCTCGGCTGGGTCCCCCCCCTCGGTGACATCGGGGTTCCCCCGCTCTCGCAGCCACACCCCGGAAGTCAACTCCAGCGGCCTCGCCTTCGAGATGACCAGGTGTACCTCGTAGTGTGACTCCTATTGCCGGTCATCTGTCTGTGAAATGCTGACATGTCTGTCACAACAAGCAGCGCACAGCCACCAAACACAGCGGGCAAAGACCAGCATGCGCACTTCCGCCAGTGCTGAGGTCAGCAAACCTTGCACATTGAATGCAAATCTGCATCCGCATGTGCTGGCATGACGCATCTTCACACCATCGCCGCACCCCTTTTCTCTCTCAGAAAAGAAGCTCCGGCAGGCTGCAGTGAATACATCACTGCTCTTCGGTCTAAAAATCCACTGTTGAATTTACTGGCTCCCAAATCATGGGTCATCTGCCCACATGGGCAGCAGCTTTTGTCAGCTGCCAACAGTCTGCTGGTACCCTGGGTCAATCCCCTCGATCAAGGGGTCTTCGACCCGCGCAGGCTACGGGACGAGGCGCGCGCAAAACAGAAGGAGGCGGACGCGCTCTCGGCGGAACTGACGACCGTAAATGGGGCCGTCGCGACGAAGGACCGCGCCCTCAAGGCCGCCTCTGGAACCATCGAGGCTCTGACTCAGCGCGCTCTTACCGCCGAAGGTACGCCGACGGATTCTGCTGCCTTAGAGCCATTCAAATGAGTATCTGGATCTGTTTTTGTCTGGGGAGTGGCAGGATCCAAGCGGCAGCACTTGCATGCCTATTTACAGTGGGGGTGCAGGTGGGCAGAAAGGGATAATCAAGCCTTGCAGAAGCTCTGGGCTTTCACACGCATGCAACAGTCACCGCATGCCCTGAAGCTCTTGCTGCCAGCTGCTCTGGCAGTGGCAGTGATACAGGTGGTCAGGAAGCAGCTGGATATAAACCAGACCTGCAAGGATGCAGACCTCCTTAAGACATACCAAATTTGGGCCCTCCAGACCTGAGAAAGGGCTCAACCTAAGGGCCTGCAAAGCAGCTTCAATAGTATTCGTGCGCCATTGTTGCATGCCATGCGCAGCCCAACTGGCAACCAAGAGCTTGTTGATGTTATGCGGAACAATCACGCCGAGTCTTGTCTTTGGGAAGCTGGATAAGCATAAAGCTGGCACTGCTTGAGCACTCCAATCATGACAGGCCTGCAACGAAGCTTGATGCTGGAGCCTGCAGAGGATCATCAAGACAAACGATGACTCATTGCTGTGCATGCCTTCCCAGCCAACCTGGCAGCCAAGGCCAAGGAGCTGTCGGATGTGACGGCTGATCGCAACAAGGCGCGCTCCGAGGCTGCTGCCGCCGGCCGCACCGCCGACAAGCTCACCGCGCAGATTGCAGCACTGCCCAAGGCACGCCTGACAACGCAGCTTCCTTCCTTTCTATGTTGCAAATTCCTTTGCAGATTTTGGTTTGGCGAGGGATAAACAGCGCGTCGTCCATTGTGCATATACAGTGGGATCAGCACTGAAGTGACTGTGGGACACTCAGCGACAGAAGCCAGGGAAAGATCAAAAGCAGCCGCGCACCCTTTACTGAAGATCGGCATGCTGCATTGGGAACATTGTATAGTGTGGTGCAAGAGCCACACACGCACAGGACAGGATGTTAGAGCATGATGCACAGCCAAATCGGGACGCAAGAACAAACGCGTTTCAAGAGACAAGTATGGCATGGACCGGTAAGGAGGGGAAATGGAACCAGGAAAGGCCAGGGAGCTCGGTTAGGGCGATGTGATCTGCCTGATCTGGAGAACGCAGCCATAAGGTGAGATAACCAAAGTACATATGACGCAACTCGTAGGGCTCGGGCTTCTCGGAGGCGATAGCCGCACTGGAGAGCGAGCTGCGCTCGGTGCGAGCTGCCAACCAAGCTTTGACCGACGACAACAAGGGCTGCTACGCTCAGATCCGCGCCAAGGACAAGGAGCTGGATTCGGCCGCAGTGCAGGTGGAACATGCCAAGGCGGTCGCCGTCGAGAACAAGGTGTGCTTGTTGGAAGCTGAATCTGGAACCGCCAGACATTGCCAAGACAGGAACATTGTGAGTATATGGTACCCAGCCTGGACCTGATGGCACGCAAAGCATCCGATGACCTTTGGGTGAATAGGATCGCATGGGTCATGACAGCGGGGTCCAGTCTGTGCCTAGCATGGCACTCCTCCGTCCCTCTACCTGATTGGCGGTTTGCAGCAAGTTTGTGGTGCCACCATTTTTGGACCAGCATCAGATGCACCCCAGTACTTTTCACGCAGCTGACTTTTTTGCTGTTTCACACTGTACAGGAGCTGCAGAACAGCATCCTGGACCTGAGCCGGCGGCTGCAGGAGGCGGCCGACGAGCGCGCCACCCTAACAGCCGTGGCCAGACAGCGAGAGGCAGAAGTCGCGCGCGCGCAGGTTGGTGGTCCCAGTGTAGCACCATTCTGGCACTTTCCGACTTGTTTTTCCATACATTATGATCGAGGACGGATGGGCAGGAAGGACTAATGTGACGGTGGAATAGTATGTGTCAAATAGTCGTGGTGCTCATTCGTTCTGCACAAGCGTCCATCGAATGCAGAACTTCCTGTCAAGTTCCCTGATATGCATGGCACCCTGTATGCGCAAGCTGGCAACTTTTAAGCCATGTTTCGATGTGACGTTCAAAGGCAGCCATAAACCGGCTGGAAGGGACTGGCCAGCCGTCCAGCCGGCCATATCTTTTAAAAGAGGTAACGAGTCGTTCATCGCGCACGCAGGCGGAAGCTGCCGAGAAGGCGGAGGAAGCCGCCGAGAAGGCGCGCCAGCTGGCGGCGACCAACACGCAGCTCAAGGTGTGGGGTTTTCTCACCTGCTCCAGCAAAACAAAGAGCAAAACAAAGGAGACGGTGCTGGACTTATGCTGTGGCATACCCTCAGCAATGGAGGATAAGGATACTTAATCTATGCACCGCATCTCAGTGCAGACCAGGGCTACGCTCCTGGACAATTGAGAACAAATCTTACACTTGCAGTCTTGTGTACCTAACAGTTGCAACCTTGCCAAGCATTCGTGTTGCTATCCTAAATTCAAGAGGCTCACAACCCTTCTTGCGTGCATATATTACGAGATCCAGGACTGCTTACCACCACAATTCTTGGACAGGGTCAGCCTTCGGATTTGATACTCTCACCCCAGGCAGAGCGATGGTCCTGACCAGATGCAATGCATGCTTCAGGCGTCGGAGGAGCGCGGCGCTGAGCTGGCGGGCGAGCTGGCGTTACTAAACGATGAGCTAACCCGCGTGCGCGCCGTGGCGGCCCGCGCGACGGTGCGAGAGATCGCCGGAGGCGGCAAGGACGAGGGCGTCGTGCCGGTCAAGATGCACCTGGAAGAGGTGAGCGCCCCTGCTGAACATACACTTCTGTTTAAATGAGAATTCCATGCATGAGAAGAGATAGGCCCTTTCATGAAGCGTGGGGCGTGAATAAGGAGAGGAGGTCTAGCATGCCAGAGACAAGGCAACCATGAGGACCTGGGTGAAACGATGTCTCCTAATAACTGATGGCTCGGTACTGTATTTTGTTCAGCAGCGCAAGGGGGACCCTGAATCGCGTGCCATTCTGAATAGCCGTCGTCTCTCATGTCCAGGCCCCAGCTCCTACAGTGGAGCCTATCATAATGTCTGCCATTTTGAGCATCATGTATTGAAGAGGCGGGAGGCAGGAAGAGCGGGCAGTGAAAATTCTGTTTTCTGGGGTGTTAGGTGCGGTACCTGCAGGGCGAGAATGATCGGCTGAAGGAAAAGTTGGCACACGCCGAGAGGAGCGCCGTAGCAGCATCCGCCCAGAAGGTGCATGCACCCTTCATATCTCATTCATATTTCATTCATATCAATTCCATGCCCTGGGAGCCCTATGCATGCATGTCTGGGAGGTTGGCAGCGCCAGGCTGCATGATAAGTTTTGCAGGACACAGCTGCCAGAGATTCCAAATTGCAACACACAAAAAGGGTCATGACAAGTTACAAACTGATGGACAGCTGCGCAGAAGCTGCGAGAGATCACAGTCCTGCCGTGCCAATCTTACTGAATGTATTTCTCACATCATGCATGCTTGAGCTTGTTCGCAGCAGAGACTGCCGTGCAAATCTTGCCGAGTGTGTTTCTGACAACATGCATGCTGAGCTCTTTCGCAGGAGAGGCTGCACAAGAAGCTGGACGCAGTGACCGCCAAGACAAGCCCACGCAAGCCGACAATCATTGCCGGACTTTCTGAGGTGACCGCGCTCAAAGAATCTCTCGCCGCCCGCGAAGCCGAAGCATGCGCTTTGCGCGAACAGGTGAGCCCTCTGGAGTATTTTTAAAGGTGCTTACAGGTGCCGCAAGGGGCTCAAGAAGCCCAAGCAAAAGCCCATGTGAGACAGCGGTGGGGGCTGTCCATACACAGACACAGCAAGGAAGACCTTTGAGCTCCAATGCATGGCTTGGGATATCCCTCTAAGGTCAATGGTAGCGACTCTGCTAGATCTGATGACTGACTAAGACGCATGTTTCCTTCAAACATGCCCTAGAAAGGATAAGGGCGTCTGGATCTTCATATCCTTGATTTCCTTTGAAATTCCAGTGCCCGAGAATCATGGCAGGCCTCTTTGGACTCTTATTGCTGGAGACACACGGTTTCTGTTTCATCTAATGCTTATGAGGGGGCCAGCACCTACGGCATTCGCAAAGATAATAAATGACAGCGGCTGTTGCTACAAGACCACTTCTGCGCCTGAAGGGCTTGTGCGGGTTTTGACTGTGGCGAGCACAAAGTGTCTGCTTGCACCAGTGCAGGACTTACCTCACAGTGAAGTGGTCAGTGTGCCTTGTCAGGAAATGAGCACAAATACCACCTGCACCAGAGCATTCAATCGAATTTCTGAGAATGCAAGACTCCTCTGAATCAGAAGAATCAAAGAATTCACTGTCCTTTGAGAACAGGAGAGAGTCCTACATGAGCATTGTCACTCAACAGAAATCGTTGCATCTCCGGCACCAAAGAAATTAAAATGTTCATGCAGGTGGAGAAGGCAGGACCAAGAGTGGCAGCCGCGCGCGCGAGCTGCAAGAAGTACGAGCGCGAAATCGCGGCGCTCACAGTACAGCTGACCGCTGCCGGGCTGCAGCCACTGACGTCGCCGGCCGCCGCCAGGTCAGCGCTGACTCACTTTTGACTTTAGAAAGAGGGAACGCTTTTTCACGGGGCTTGCAATTGTGGATATCATGGGTGCCTTAGTACACTGTAGTCAGCACCATCATTCCTGCACCCCACATGTTGGGTGAATTGTTTGGACCCGGGTTTATGCCTCTTTCTTCCTCGAAAGAGTTTTCATCATTTCAAGGAAGGCTGATCACCAATGGGTCAAGCTCAACAAGAGCTTTCCAAAATTGGTCTCAAAACTGTCATGAGGTTTATATTTTGCATTTCAGAGAATTACCTGCAACTTATTGATGCATGCATAATTAAACTCTGTGTGTCCGCTGACCTGGGAAGGGCGGTGATTGCTCATTGCCTCTTGTTAATGTGGGGCTGTGCGTATGGTAGTGGCTTGCATGACTCGTCTCTTTAAGCTGTGAGAACGTTGAAGCTTATCTTTAATGATCAATCTAGACACCTCACATCACATTGACAACTTTTCTGTGCCCTGCAGGCCGCTCTCAAGTTCAGAGAAGTCTCCGATTGACACCACAAGCGGCTGTGAGGATGTTGCTGCCACTGCTTCGCTGTCAGCCGGCTTTCAGACACCAGCAGTGCAGGAGGCCTGATGCAGTTCATGTCCCGGCTGCATGGGATAGCTCATGCACAATGCACAGCCGAGAAGCCTTCCAAAGCTTCTTTGTTCATATCAGCTTGCAGGCGTACACACGTTGGCATGGTTGCCAGGGGTATCCTATTTAAGTTTAGGGCCCCCTGCAGTTGCTGCAGTCAGGGGTGATTACTTCACTGATGGCCTCTGCTGCAAACTGGATCACTACGGATCATGATCAATTCAAACTCTCAAGAACCAGATGACCTCTCACTGGGTCAGTCATGACAAACGGGCATGTTGATCGACTGACTTTAGCAGTTCAGCAACAAGGTTAAGGAATGCGCACCTCAGTGCAGTCTGTACAAATTGTTCATATTGTTCATATGGTTAGTCCTTCAAGGTGCCCTCTGGATTGCATGGAACAAGGAGCGCATTTGCAGCTAGATCACTGATGGCATGGAATGGATTTCGTGTTGAAGTCACTACATCGTTTGTTCACAATATCGATTTATGGACACACTTACTGGTGGTCTCCAAAATTCAACAATGGCTTCCATCAGGTCGCAAAATGTACATGCATGTTGCCCAAGCTTGCAAGCTTACAGTTGTCTCTTGTAAAATTGGACTTTGCACACTGCCAGCACTTAGACTACGGGGACTCGGGCTTCGCACCGTATCAACAAAGGACATGCATGCATATGACACATCTGATCATCATGCTGCCAGTAAAGCGCTTTACTGCTAGCTCTAGCCATATGGCATAGTATATACTATGCTGCGGCCTGCCTATGGCCGTGATCACGGAGGTACCTACGGTCAAGACAGCGGCTGGCTAGCCCCCCGGGAGCACGGAACTCGTAGCAGCTACTTGATAAACTATCATCATGATCACTAGTGTTGTACTGTTTAGCCAATCAGACTTGAAAGGCTGTGCAGCACCGCGCGGTGCCCTGAATGTGGAGGCTATTCATTATCATGATGACATTCGAATTGCAAATGTATAGCCATTGAACGTGAAAGATCCTCCTTTCCAGCGTGTCCTGCCATGCTGGACTCCTGTTTCCTAAGGAGGCTCATGACAAGATTGGCGCTTTGGGGTCTGGCCTGACCAAGGGGCATAACAAGAGGTCCCTCTTTTTATGCCCCTTGGCCTGACACTCAATTTGACTTGCGGATGAACAGGAGCCCAAGGTGTGTTTCAAAGCACTGCATTGCAAGGCAATTTTTTTACGCTGAAAACCTCAGAGTCCTTCTTGAGGAGCCCAGTCCTCTGCCACAGCGCACCGACTGGTCTGACACAGACCGGACAGTGAGCGCGAGTGCACATGGCTTGCAGCCACCCTGTCCGGCTGCAGCTCCTGCTATTTTGTGCCATATGTATCGGTAAGCTCCTGCTTATTCCGTTCCACGTTGTCCTTCATCCTCTCGCTAGCTTGCCTACGAGTCATATCTGCTGGATGGTAGTCATTAAACTTGAGTAAGTTATAGCGCCAAGGTAAGGCTTCCAGTGCATGCGTCATTGTCTGTGTGGATTAAGACGTAAAAATTGCTCTTGGATGCCTGTTGCTGCCTGTTGCAGCAACTTCTCGCCCAACCTAAGGTCTTGTTTGCTTCCGCTTGCAGGATTCCAGAGTTGCGCACAAGTGAGTATTCATGGACCTCCGGTATTCTATTTGTGCTTCTATGCTAGTCTTTGTTCTTTTTTTGCTTTGTTCACAGAGGACCTCCTTCCTTGACGGTGTGTTCATGTCTGGGCCAAGCTTGTTTGAAACTGTCTATGAGGATTGACAAGTTTTCAATACAAGTGTGTTCCAATTATTTATCAGCTATCCCTGCTTTTTGGGAGCGCTTGATTCTGAAGGGTGCAACACCGAGATTCAAGTTGAACCTGACTCACTTTGTGGCTGTCCCTCTGGTTGAAGGGCACCAAGCTGGTCTTAAACACAGCTGCCAAGGAAGCCGTGACAGCTGTCCTCAACGAGACATTGCCACAAGGCCTTCTGGATGCTACCACTCCGGTGGATGCGGAGTCAAAGGCCATCATCAATGAGACATTATTTGAACTTGGACATGTACTTGAAGGTAGGACGGGATCGCCACGCTTGATCTCTCGTTTGTTGTTGGCACATCCTCTTTTATTCTGTAAAAATCTGCGGATGGTATGCGTAGGCAAAAAGAAGCTTGACTTGAAGCTGAACCTCAACAAGTTCAAGCATCAAACCACCCCTACGCCTATGGTCACACTCCCACCACCAACCAGTATTCCAGGTGTTCACAGCCTTTGTTTTTCTAATCCAAAAATGTTGAGTACTACTAGTAGCTTTCAGCTTTGACGGCGTCATGACCTTTCTCATCAATCACCAGAAGTTGATATGATGCCAGTTGAAAGGTACTACTTTTGGACCTGTGACCGCTCTGAGAGGTGTATCATGATGAGTTATTGCGCAATGTTTGCCAGTGACTGAATAAGAACAACAACAAGGTTTGCTCAGCAGTACATGACAAGGTTCTGTTTCCCATTGATGTGGTATTATTATTACACGCTTTTCCTGCTAAGAGGCAAGGTGCGTCCTGTAGACAAGCTAGCTGTACTGGGCCGGCCATTGATGTGTTTGTTTTTTTCTCAAACTTTGGAAGCCACTGTGGTGTGGTGCCTTAATGGACAATCTGTGGCATAGCTCAGCAGCGTTTTATGCTTTGACATCAGCAATGTGAGTCATTGCCTTGTGATGAATCTTAGCAAGCGGCCTTGTGTCTTTGCATGTGCGCAGTCACGGTCACTCCAAGTGGCACGTCAACACCCCCTCCCAGCTCCACATCAACTCCCCCAGGTAGACCTCATCAACATGTCGATTACTTGTCTATTCCTTTGAGTGCCCCGATGGTGACTTGTTACCACTGTACACTAGTCTCTAATATTACCATATAGACTTCACTAGACGAAAAATTCTCTCGCGTTCATTGAGCTGTCACAAAATTGTTGATCGTGGTGCATGTTAGCCGCCTCCTAGGACACGACACTCATGATTGAATAAGTGCAGTCTGAGTTCAGGAATTCTGTTCATTTTTTAGTGCTCTTTACTTGCTACACTTTAGCGATGAATTGCTCAACTTAAACATTTATAGTATCGTATAGGATGCATTCCTGCTGAAGTTCTTTTTTGTGCTTGCAGTGACCACCAGCCTGGCCAGCAGCACGCCACTTCCAGCTACTTCTTCCAGTAAGCAACTTTCTTCTGTGGAATTAAAAATTGCATAGCAAGTTGATTTCGAGGCCTAGGTATAGGTCCAACCTGAAGTGCATGTCTTGATAGGTTGTGACGTGCATACAATCTCAGACACTACATCATGACACTACCATGATGGTAATGGTGCCGTCTCTATCGTGCAAGGCACCAGGCATTGTACAAGTTCAATTGGAACCCATGAATTGATGACTTCACAAACACTGAGATGCATCAGCATATGGGGCACTTTGAACATTTGTCTTCTAGGAAATAAGAGCGGGTCAAACCTATCCCTGCATGCAATCAAAGTATGTGCTGTCTGCAACATGTGACAGCCTTGTGATAGGGGCATTTTGCTGACACTTTTATGCATTGCAGTGCCAAGCAGTACAACACCTGACATCCCAGCCTCCACGCCGGCGCCCACTAGTACTACCGGTAGTACCAGTACTCCAGGTGGGTCATCATATTCTACAGATTGTATAGGTCAGCAACGAGTATTTCGTCATGCCAAATAATAATTGACTACTGATGTTTAACATAAAAAAATCGTGTGTCAGACAGCCTTTGTGTGTTCCACTTTGTGTGTAATCACTCCAAGTGAGTGAGTGAGGCTCAAGGCGACGGTTATGCAACATCCGATTCCTGCCGATAGACTCAAAGAACGCCGTGTAGTGTGACTAATAAGTTTGGTATTTGTCACAATGTTGTACAATATAGTACGCTAGCGCTGTACAATAAATGTGTTTTCTCACTGAGTGGCACTTGTAGCATTCTAATTAAGGAGCACCCCTTGACTTCACGCGCCGTATATCTACAACAAAATCAACAGCTTTGCTCAACATGACTTTACATATCTCAAAACATTACTTCAAATGGACTCAGATGCTAGAAGTTATTATTGTCCACATCCATGCAGTAAGGTTTTTTAGGGTTCAAATAAGGCTTATATGCATCATAGACCCTAAGATGTCTCTGGTAATTTGCAGTCCTCACCTGCCATGACGTCCTGGGCCCCAACATCTGCAACAGCATTGAGGCAGGCCCTATCAGCACAAATGTTGATCAGTGCTCTGACCCAGTCACATGCGCGTGCAATTTAACGAGTGTTGACACCGTCTGCACCGGAACAAATGGCCTGTGCTTCAGCACACCTTCCGACTACTCTCAGTGCGGTGCGCCCTCGAGAGACTCCTT